ATAAGCTCCGTTGCTAACATCTGTTCCTTCCAGGCTCGTGGGACTCGTTTCGGGGACTTCCCGTCTACCGCTGGACGAAATAATAATATAGACGACCAGCAGCCCACACAAAATACTACACTTGGCCAAGGCTTTGGTACAAATAATACTTGGAAAGCCCACGGAGGAATCTGGGGTAACGGTAATGCTATTGGAAGTGGATATAGCGTTGGAAAGAGGGACGCCTCGCGCGCTAGAGGTGTGTTTATTTGCCCCGTATCTCCTGATTCAGACCCTGACAATTGCCTCATAGTTATTGATGATGATGACTTGGCTGCCCCAAGTGGCTCGGGGGCACTAGCCGCCTCCTCCGAGGCCGACCCATGGGGGACTCGCAACAATGGACCCTGGAATCCAGTTGACCCCACATCGCCGAACCACAGTGGAGAGACATCCCCAAGCCGTCACCGGGGGAGCAATGCGAGCGCGGCCGCCAACGGCCTGCTCTCGGAAGCACAGAACACATCGCCGTACCTGGCCACGTCGAGGCCGGCCATCGGACAGGGCCCGGGAATGAACCACCGCCCCATGTCGAAGAGCAACCTCGACCCAGCGTCGGGGGCGTTCAAGTACCCATACAGCTCGGTTAGCTTTGGCGACAGCAGCGAGCAGGGTGGCTTGCAGGCGATTAATGGCGGATTTGACTTACAGGATGGATTCATGTATGATCAACGCCGTGAAATTGGCTCGGGCTACAGAAGCACGCAAGGAGGTGCCTCGCGTGAGCCGAGTCTGCCACCCTCGAGGCGTCCTGAGACTGCCTCGGGTGCGGCGACCAACTCTTCGATATTTGGCCAGGTCCCGTATTCGGCATTCGGCCATACCCCACAGAACTCTTTACATATTCAGAAGCCCAGCTTGACCGGCAGGACCCAGTCGTTCGGATCGGCAAGCAATGGGCGGAGCTACAATACCGGCTCGGACAGGTCGCAGGATGTGGATGCCCATTACACTCGTGGCACCTTGCTCGACAAAAGCCTCCAGGGTGCGCTTACCGACGCGGTGAGCGCTATCGAACAGCCTCGAGTGTCTCCAACCACATATCCGGAGTATAATGGACAGCAATCACAGCCAAATGGACAACATATAATGTGGGACGAGAATTCGATGCACAAACGGAACAGCTACTTCGGAGGCAGCTACGGTGATGGTGCCTTCTCGAACCAACTGAATTCGAGGAGGCCCTCGCGAGCCGGTGAGTTGGATGGCTTGTCGGCGCTGGCTGACCGCCCGAGCCAGCCGATAAGCCCACGGTTTTATAACGCAAGTGGAGTGATCAGTGCAGAGCTCAACGCGTACGCCAACGCCAAGGCGCAACATCTGCAGGGGCTCTCTGAAATTGAGCGCGGGCTCCAGAGGCTGGAGCTTGGGCAGCACCAGCAACAGGCTGGATTCTATAATCCCCAGGCGATGTACAACCCCCACTTCCAGGCACAATACCAGACGCAGCAGTGGGACTTCGGACCACAGTCATTCCGCGGGGCCCCGCAGGGCTTCGCGCCTTACGCGGTCCAGATGCCTTCTTACGCTCCTGTCTCGGTGCCCAGGGGCCCTGCCCGGGACCAAGATATCGGCCATGGCGTGAGGAGTTTGCTGTTGGAGGAGTTTAGAAACAACGCCAAGTCGAACACGAGGCAGTATGAGCTGAAGAACATTTACGGCCACGTCGTCGAATTCAGCGGTGACCAGCACGGCTCGAGGTTCATCCAAATGAAGCTCGAGACTGCCAACAGTGATGAGAAGGAGCAGATCTTTAGAGAGATTCAGCCAAATGCGTTGCAGCTGATGACTGATGTCTTTGGCAACTATGTCATCCAGAAGCTCTTTGAGCACGGAAACCAGATTCAGAAGAAGATACTGGCCGAAATCATGAAGAACCACGTCATCGAGCTCTCGCTGCAGATGTACGGCTGCCGCGTCGTACAGAAGGCGCTCGAGCACGTTCTCGCCGACCAGCAGGCCGAGCTCGTAAAAGAGCTCCAGGCCGACGTGCTGAAGTGTGTCAAGGACCAGAACGGCAACCACGTGATCCAGAAGGCTATCGAGAGATGCCCGACGGAACAGGTCCAGTTCATCCTCGACGCCTTCCGTATGCAAGTGCATACGCTCGCGACGCACCCGTACGGCTGCCGCGTCATCCAGCGCATGCTCGAGTACTGCACGCCTCCTGACCAGGCGTCGGTGTTGAAGGAGCTATTCGCGTGCGCGCAGATGCTGATCATCGACCAGTACGGTAACTACGTCGTGCAGCACGTTATTCAGCACGGCAAGCCGGAGGACCAGGCGAAGCTGATCTCGATGGTTACAAACCAGGTCCTGACGCTGTCGAAGCACAAGTTTGCGTCGAATGTCGTGGAGCGCAGCATCTCGTGCGGAACGACGGAGCAGAGGCAGACGATCGTGGCGAAAATAGTGGCGCTGGAGAGTGATGGGAGTAGCCCGCTGCAGCTGATGATGAAGGATCAGTATGGAAACTATGTTATTCGTAAGTCATCCCTCGTCCTCCCATTACTCATACCCCGACCCTTCCCCTATAGTAAAGCAACTAACACTCCTCTCCAGAAAAACTCCTCGGCCAACTCCAGGGCGCTGAGCGCGACGCCTTCGTCGAGGACATCAAGCCGCAGCTCCTGCAGCTCAAGAAGTACAACTACGGCAAGCAGATCGCCGCCATCGAGAAGCTCATCTTCGTCGCTCCCACCGGACCCAGCACCAGCTTGCACCGCCAAACCGCCAGCAACGCATCCGCTGCGCCCGCTTATGGCCGTGGAGCAGCACCACCCCAGGGACCGGCGATCACGCTCGACGTCAGCTCCGTGGCGCCGACGCCCATGCTCACTATGGAGCAGAATAGCCCCGAGAGCAGCAACCTGCCCAGCGCCACTGGATCGACTGTCGATGAGTCGGGCGATGTCGGTGGCAGCTCTGTGAAGGAGACTGACGTGCCTGAAGTGCAGATTGAGAGCGAGACTTCGTCGCTCGACACGGAATCGACTATTAGGTGTTAGGTTTTTACATTTTTATTTCTTCTTTTTGCACACAGAGGATCGGTGGTGTCGAAAATGGGAATTAAAAATGGGTTGGAACGATGTGTGGGGGATACTGGTGCTTGTGTCTATTTGGGGCCCCAAAAAGTTGTTTTTTGTGGTTTTCTCCTGGTGCCGTTCTTGCTTTTTGAATCCCCATGGTGGGGGAAGAGGGGGGTTTATATCTATGGGCTCGGCTTTGCTTTTGGGGAGTGATTATAATTTGTGTTTCAAAGCGGGGAAATAGGATGGGAAAGGGTGACTTATAAAAAAACCGGTGTGGGGTCATTATTAAGGGGGTGGGTGGGGTAAATGGGGGGGATAATGAGGGGTATAGGGAGTGTTTGTTGTTTTTTGTTCAAATTGTTTTCTTGCTGCTTGTTGGTTTTATTGTGGTTTTCCATCTTGGCTGCTTTGTTCGTATGGGAGAAGGCCGGGGGATACAGACGCCTTTTTAGGGGATTGCTTCTTCTTCTGTCCTTTTTTGGGGGTTGGAATTTGCTGGGGGGTGTTTTTGATTTTGGTTTTGATAACTCTTTTTTGGGAGGGTGGAGATGATTAATGGAATGGGATGGGATGTTTATCGGGGGAGGGTATGAACAGGGGCTTTGGATCTTTCTGGATGCGTGGTGCGAATGCTTGCTATGCAATGCGATGCGAGTCTGGGGGCGGGGCAGATGATGGAGCGTGATATGAGCGGTTAATGAATGTATACACTGGAACGCAGCAGCAGTTGGGGTTTTATTGTGCTTTCTCTGGTTTGAATCTTGTGAGCTGGGTCTGGGTCTGGGTCACTAGACTGAACTGGGCTTATTTGAGGTTTGGGCTGATGAAAGCGTGGGACTGTGACTTACTGACTGACTGGCTGATTCTGGTGCTCTTTTCTGATGCTGTTTGTTTACTGTGGGGGATTTGGGGGTTGGGGATAGATGGATGGGATGGGATGGGATAGGATGGGAGGGGGGTTTTTGTATGCTACGGCTAGATGGAAAGATTGCTGTGTTTACTCTCTGCGTTTTGTGTGTGTGTTGTGTATGTCATTGTGATTGTGCCTGTGCTTTGTAATGTGCTGTGCCCGTGCCTGTGCCTGTGCCGTGTTTTCCAAACATGAAGGTCTACGATGATACACACCTAATCGTGGTCGGAAGCAAAGTGCGTTTCGCGAGATTTTACATCGTAAATGTGTCAAAAGTCGGAACTTCTTCATTTTTCTATACCTTTAATATAAGCCTATTTTACGGACTATTTTTAGTAATTAATAACTCTATAGTTTTATAAAAATTTAAATACTTCTAGTGTAATAGTTTATATATGTTTTTTATTAAAAATTAATTCTACTACATTTCATTTCTGTCTTTTTATTACCCTTAACTCACATTATAGGTACTAGAAAAAAATCAGGTACCTGCTATATCAGCCGTCTTATTTGAGGCAAAATTTCCGGGGCACCTGCTATGGATGTTAAAGGGCCTTTCTAATGGACCATGCCTTAGTTGCCGCTGCGTCAAGAAGACGGGTTGACACAATCCCAGGCATAGACCAGGCCACAGAGCAGGTAGAGCAACTGCTAGATTCGCTCAGCCTTGTTAATTGGCTTCTTAAATGAGTCGCCGGGCCGCCACATCCACGGATCCACCTAGTATGGTTCTAACAGTGCATTGCGAAGTAACTACACGATCTTCTTACAATACGGTAATGGGTACCTGTCTGGCTCATGAATCAGATAGGATAATATATGATAGCTATAGTTGGTTCTAGATACAGTCGCTTGCAAAATTGGCTTCCCGTCCTTTGTCTCAGCTGCAGGGAATTCAGGCTACTGTACTCGGTGTAACGTCCACTTGATTTAATTCGATGTTAAGCGGATCCAGTAGACTACCCATACATGAATATTGATGCCTAGATTAGAGTACCAATTTTAAAGAATGAGGCTGTGAGCATCTTGCATTTTCAGAACGCAACAACAGATACCTAAATCTCATATGCTGAAGTTTGCATGCTGTAGGACCTTCGAAGATGGTTAGTGATATACCCAAGATGCTCCGACTTACGGATGTTGCCGTGGCTAGCAAGAACTTACCCCGCTTTAGTCTCTTAACCAGGTATACCCCGAGAACAATCCGGATGCTAGTAAAGCTGCCAAAGTCGAGTGAGTATGCCTCCTATAATGATTGGTAGCCAATATACTAACAATCTGGTGTGTAGTATTATCTTAGTTCACGGCCTGAATCCCAAAAGTAAGGACGATGAAGCACATGCGTTGAATACCTGGACCGAGAATGGCAGACTCTGGCCTAAGGACGATCTACCAAAGAGGCTCCCTGATGCACGAATATCTCTCTATGTATATGATTCATCAGCAGTTTATGGTGGTAGCCAGGCAACTTTTGCCGACAAGGCAAATGAGCTCCTGGAGACCATTAGATGCGACCGGGAGGACTGGGAGGGGAGGCCTCTCATTCTCATGGGACATAGCCTCGGTGGTATTTTGATTGAGCAAGCCTTGATAAATGCTCGACAAAATGAGACCTATCAGCATATTTATGACGCAACGTATGATCTTATCTACCTGTAATACTTCTAAGTACTGACAGAGAACCCTAGGGCGTGCCTGGCCTTTTTCGGAACTCCCCATGAAGGTGGTTCAGGAGGGATGGTTACCGCGGGGAAGACAGCTGCAAATGTGGCTTTATGGCTAGGATTTCAAAAGGGGGACAACATTATTGAGACCTTGGACAAGGGTTCTATGTTCACGGATATCCTCAAAGACCACTTTCGGCAGCAATTTGAGAGTTACCGGATGGTATCTTTCTGGGGTGACAAAGACACAGTATGTTCTACCTCGCGTAATGAGTAACGGTGTAAGACCTCATAATTGACTAAAATTTACTAATTGCCCCTTGACTTAGATTGTCTCAAGAGAGAGCTCTAAATTTGGGCTCGCTGGGGGTCGTGAGCGAATCGTTGAGTTGAAAGCAGATCATCACGGAGTTGCAGCTTTTGGCCACACTACGAAGGATGAAGGTAACCTGAAAAAGGTAACAAGTAATGTGAAATGGTTGTATGATGAGGCCCTGAAACTGGGTATGTTGGAATCACTCACCTCCCCTCCTAAGGGTATTGTGGCAGATCCTGACAAGGATGCTCTGCTCCGAAAGAGACTGGAAGCCCTTAGAAACTGATGAATTAGAGTAGTGTTGTCCTTTTTTATTAAGCTAGCGCTACTGAATTTAATTATTCATATGTGATAGATGTGCCCTAGAACTAATTTGGTTCTAGTTGACAAGATTCAGAGCCATCTTGAACACTCAAGGGTATGTACTACTTAGAGTTCTTAGCACCAACTTCGTCACTAACAGTGCAAACTATTAGGCAAATCCTAGACTGCAACAAAACGGTATAGCATTCACAATCAATCTCATTTTACTATTTCTGATTACGAGGCAGCCATGCAAAAAACTCACTGCATCGTACCCTTCGAAAAGAACCATTGCTTTACCGGCCGTGAGTCAGAATTGACTCAATTGGAAGAAATGCTTTTTGCAGAGGATCAAACAATGAAGGTGGCTGTATGTGGGCTCGGAGGTGTAGGCAAGACGAGTCTAGTGATCGAGCTCGTTTATCGTATTAGAAAGAATCATGAGAACTGCTCAGTCCTCTGGATACCGGCTACTAACCTTGAAAGTCTGCATCAAGCATATCTAGATGTCGCCTGTCAGCTCGGTATACGCGGGTGGGAAGAGGACTTGGCAGATGTAAAAGGACTTGTGCAAGAGTTCCTGAGCAGAGAAAGTGCTGGGCAGTGGCTAGTAGTTTTCGACAACGCTGACGACATTGATATGTGGGTTGGTACGCCGACGGAACAGGGAACTAAGCGTTTGATCGACTACTTGCCTACAAGTAAGCTCGGTTGCATCGTGTTCACGACACGCGATCGGAAGACAGCTGTCGAACTTGCACAGAAGAATGTGATGGAAGTGTCAGAGATGAGCGAAGACGTAGCTACAATGATGCTGCAAAATTGTCTCATTGATCCGGACCTGGTCAACAACAAAACTGACACGTCGAGTTTACTAAAAGAACTCATTTACCTCCCGCTCGCTATTGTCCAGGCCTCAGCATACATCAACAAGAACAGGATAACCTTCTCTGATTATCTATCCCTCCTAGCAGACCAAGAAGACGACGTGATTGACCTGCTTAACGAGGAGTTTGAGGACGACGGAAGATATCAGAATGTGAAGAACCCGGTAGCCACGACATGGCTAATCTCGTTTGAGCAGATCCGCCAACGCGATCCTCTTGCGGCAGAATATCTATCATTTATGGCTTGCATAGATTCGAAGGATATTCCACGGTCTTTGCTTCCTCGAGGCCAGTCCAGGAAGAAGGAGATGGAGGCAATTGGTACCCTTGACGCATACTCGTTTGTGACCAGGCGTCTGGCAAACGACGCACTTGATCTTCATCGGCTAGTTCATTTATCAACACGGAATTGGTTGAATTTGAGAAATGAATGGGATGACCGGGCAAATGCAGCTCTGCATCGGGTAGCATACATGTTCCCTCGGCCAAAACATGAGAACAGGGCTCTTTGGATGAGCTATCAAATACATGCGCAGTGTGTTCTCACATCGACTAAAGATCGAGAGAAGGAATCTAAAGAATGGTATAGTTTAGCCTCACAGATTGGAGAATGCTGCCTAAGTACGGGTAAGTATCAAGAGTCTGAGAGCTGGATCCGCCAGACGCTCAAGCTCACGGAAGAGGTGCTTGGAAAGACGCACCCGGAAACGCTCGCGACTATGAGCAACCTCGCTCTAGTGCTTGATAGTCAGGGCAAATACACTGAAGCAGAGACCATGAACCGTCAGACGCTTAAGCTCACAGAAGAGGTGCTTGGAAAGACGCACCCGGATACGCTCGTGACTATAAGCAACCTCGCTCTACTGCTTGATAGGCAGGGCAAATACGCTGAAGCAGAGACCATAAACCGCCAGACGCTTAAGCTTAGGGAAGAGGTGCTTGGAAAGATGCACCCGGAAACGCTCGCGACTATGAGCAACCTCGCTCTAGTGCTTGATAGGCAGGGCAAATACGCTGAAGCAGAGACCATAAACCGTCTGACGCTTAAGCTTAAGGAAGAGGTGCTTGGAAAGACGCACCCAGAAACGCTCGCGACTATGAACAACCTCGCTGCAGTGCTTAATAGTCAGGGCAAATACACTGAAGCAGAGACCATGAACCGTCAGACGCTTAAGCTCACAGAAGAGGTGCTTGGAAAGACGCACCCGGATACGCTCGTGACTATAAGCAACCTCGCTCTACTGCTTGATAGGCAGGGCAAATACGCTGAAGCAGAGACCATAAACCGCCAGACGCTTAAGCTTAAGGAAGAGGTGCTTGGAAAGACGCACCCGGAAACGCTCACGAGTGTTTTCTGTCTTGCCTATCTACTTCAAAACAAGAAGCAGTATGAAGAAGCATCGATACTTTATGTAAGGGCTTGCACTGGCTATAAGTCATCGTTAGGCTCCGAACATCCAACCACGAAGGCCTGTGTAAACAGTTACTCTACTATGCTTGATAATATTAAAGAGACTAATTAAATGTAGTAGCACTTCGTGGCTATGCTCGAGCAGGTAATTAAGATTAAACCATGAAGATTTCCTTTAAAGCCATCCTACTCATGTAATTTTGGAAGATGCACTTTTCTTACCTTTTATGGTTGCTGTAACTCGTTGCAAAGTTGCGTTTCCTCCCGTCTGCGACACAACTAGTATAGAAACCTGATATGTACCAGCCCTTGAAGAGGTTATGATTAGCTTGAATAATTCTTCTGTTATAAATTTTTATAACTTTGATTAATCGCGACTGGCACATTCGCGGTTGGGCCGGAACATAAATAAACAGCCCCCCTTGCCCGGGTGGCGGATACCTAAGAGATGGGATCTCAGGAGCATCTACCACATCTCCTGCACCACCCATAATGGTTCCCAGCTCTTCGTTGATTAGATCCGTCAGTTCTATCTCCCATGTGTTCTCATCTGCGTTTTCATCTCCACCTTCGTCTTTTTCATTCTCCTCCAATGGCTCTGTTACCCTCGCAATACTGGCCCCCGAATTTCGCGCCGCACTAGGACCAGCGCTTGCTTGTGATGCCCTTGGCACCTCCGGGCTCCTCGTCGTATTGGGGGTCTCATTTACCAGTATTGACGCGCTCCTCGCATTATCCGGTGTCTCATCATCCACAAATGACGACGCGCTTCTCGACCTATTACGTTCCTCCTCATCTGCAGGTATCGACAGTGCGTAAGGCAGATTGGGGGGAGGCATGTCTTCGCCAGAAGAGTGACTGTCCTCACCAACAGCTATCGACAGCGCATGCGGATAGTCGGGACTAGGCATGTCTTCATAAAGAGGGGGTCTGTCCTCCACAACTTCCACGCCATCCCCTCCTCCCCCCACTCCTCCCACGGTTGCCCAGCCCCGGGTCTAGCCCACCTCGAATTTCTCCATGCCCAATCCAGCGGAACCCCCCTTGCCTCTCTACGTTTAATAAACTGCGCCGGCACCGAATCAATCGCAAACCAGACGCCATCAACCGACATCTCCGTCTCGATCCCCAGCAGCTCCAAGCACGACAGCACAGAGAATAGGTGCACTCGCGGCTCTTCAAGTCCCAGCGCCGGCAGATCCACCTCCTGCGCCTCGTTCAAGCCCGGAAGATTAACCATCACTGGGACGAAGCCGTATCTGAACGTCTCTGTCGCGATGTGCGCAATATACACATCTGCGCACTCCATCTGGTGGTGCATCTCGAAATCAAACATTGCAGCTCCTGGACGTCCCTGTCAACCCGGTCCGTCACTGGAGAGCCTACCGGGGCCGGTCAACTCACCGTAATTCGAATATAGCGCGACTAAGCTTGTGGGCTGAACATTCATCGGGTCAAGCGCGCGCTCCAGATTCGTCTTATTGATGCGCCGCTCCAGGCATAGAGGTAAGATGGTTTCCGCGCTCAGGCCGAGGGCAGTGCTATCGCGTGTTCGTGAGGGGGGATAAGTCTCATTGCCGTGCTGGTCGATAGCAGCAGAGTGTTGGACGCGGTAGAATAGCCTGGGGCGTGGTATCACGACTGGGAGGGTGAGAGAGGCGGGTGGGTCGACGGGTTTAAAAGTCTCGATGAGAAGGGGTATATGCTGAATTTCAACAGACGGTTCGAGCAATATTGGGTCGAAGAAGTCTGGTAGAGGGGGACCAGCCTCGTCTACTGCCGGCCGCGGTGGCACACGATCGAGTATCTCGCCAATTCTCTCCCCGTACATTGCGATCCACCCAGCCAGCGATCCCTCCGCCGGCCCCTGGAACGGAGCAATATCAGGCCAAGGCTCCACGCCCTCCTCCTCCTCTTCCCAATCATATTGCAGCGGCCCCAGCCTCTCTCCCGCAGCAGCCCGTCCATAATCCCACCGCGGAATAATATCACGGACACGGAGCAAATTCCTCGTCTGTAGCGGCGCAATCCCTTGCTGCGGGCGCAACTGGCCGTACGTCCCTGGTGAGATCTCATTCGCCCCCTGGAACGGAAACGCGGGGGGTTGCTCTGGGGCCCTCAAGGTAGGGATGTCGGCTTGCCGCGACGCGCGGGGAGGGAGCGCCCACTCTTCCTCGTCTTCTTCTATGCCAGGAAGAACTATCCTTGGGGGGCTGAGGGGGTCGCCGCTGGGTAGTCTGAGCTTGACCAATTTCGAGGGTCGTTCTGGCGCCATTTGGTGTATCTCGGCCCCTGTTGTCGGGAGGTAGTAGGAGATGGCATCGTGGGTTTTGTGGCGGGGTCTGGATCATTTAGATTCCGTGGTGTGGGGGGGAGGCTCATTGGGAAGCCGCGAAGGAGGTGGTGACTGCCAGCTTTGTGAAGCTGGAGTCTGGCTGAAAGGCAGCATTGTCCTGCTCGGGCTTCACGTTGGTTCTGTAAGGAAGGAAGCTGCGAGATGGTGGCGACTGCCGCCTTTGTGAATCTGGCAAGTCTACTATAAAGGAAGGCACGTCCGGGGAAGCATCCAGACGTAGACGGCAAGCACGTTGAAGCATGAAAGGCAATCACACCCCATTGAAGCCCCATACTACTTCCCTACGTACGGCAGGCACGATGACAGTAGCTCTTGCCAACTTTATGAAGCCAGTGCGTCTAGCATAAAAGGCAGGCGCGTCCGGTCATGAAAGACCAGTGCACGCAGGACATGAAAGGCAAGAGCATCCCATAAACCTCATACCAATTCCACGCAGAAGGAAAGTGCATCCCACAGACAAACACCAACGCACAAACGGCAGGCGCGTCCAATACAGCTATATAGACGGAAGGAAAGAATCCCAACCCCCCCCCATCCCCCCTCGTGCCTTCCCATCATCACAAATACCAGTAAAAAAACGGCAAGAGCGCCCCTTCGCGCCTTCCCACAACAACAACAACCCCTCATAAAACAGCAAGAGCCCCTCTACCATCACCATAGCTCCCGTCTTCACATTCGCCCACCACATATCCCTCCTTTTTACACACCCTCTCCCAACCAACCCCCCCACCAGCAACCAAAAAGCACAGCCACACCCACAAAACACAGATACAGTCATCCCCCCGCCCGCCCCCCTCTAGCATCTCCAAAGGAAAGGGCGGGCTTACAGCCGCCCATACATCCGCTCCCCGCCCCCGCCTCCGCTTCCGCTTCCGCCTCCCGACCTGAGGCGCCGCGGGCCTGGTCCTGGGGAGGAGGTGAGATGGTGAGGATGCGGTAAGCGCTAAGCGCTATTGTTGTTAATCGTGCAGCAAAGAAGTGCGTTCGCGAGCTTTGACAATAAGATACCTGTGAATCGTACTGAACAGAACCGGTATAAAGCCCGAATAGCTCCAATGGGAACTCGGCAGCGCCGTCAACGATCTCGATCCTAGCACTTCTGAGACTAAACATACAACGTTCGCACCACCATCTAACATAATCACACGCACAAGGGCAGCCACCATTTCCAAGTTCAATAGTATATGTTCCGGCCCAACCGCGAATGTGCCAGTCGCGATTAACACACATATTATCATATAACTCAACAGCATATAGATAGAACTTTATAAGATATAAGATATATATTATCTACTATATACAGTTTGTCTTTTAGGCTTTAATTTTGAAAAATATAGTAGACTTTATGCTTATATAGTACCTTTTATAGCTTTTAAGGGTTCCTTTAGTTACACTTAAATCATCTAAATTTTAAGTAATATTAAAAATTCTAAGGAAGCAAAGTTGTAGAGAAGTGTCTAAATTACATATCTCCCTATATATATAAATCTATTAAAGCACTTATTAATAAGTTATATTAAGTTTTGTTTAAAGAAGGCATTTTTATTCGCGACTGGGCCAGTGTGGGTCGGCCCAGTCACGAATGCCAAAATTTGTATGGGGAAATTCGTGGCTGGGCCGGCCCATTCGCGAATATGACTTATTCGCGACTGGGCCGGAACATTTATGATAGCTAATGCATGTGGTGAGCTACTGTGTTGGATAGCTGAGTTTGTATAATGAGAATTGGATAGAATTGGAAACACGCTTGGACACTAGGAATATTACCCTTTAACGACCCACATTTGATAAGTGGTGAGAGGCGATAGCTTCACAGACTCTATAAAGCTATCGTCTCTCACAAGGCTCTGTGAATCTGAATGTTATAGAGAGTGACGACCGTCGTTATCAAATTATGGTTTGAAGTGTGGCTCAATCGGCTTACGTAAGGTTGCAAGGATAGTGCAGCACAGTCGTTAGGAACTGTGGCTGGTGAAGTTGCGCGACGCAGCTCGTAAACTCCACCAGTCAAACATCGCAGTCAAACATCGTAACTTCCAAAAAATGTACGTATGTAGGCGCTAAACTCGGCTCCTTTCTGACGAGTTCCCTTTATTGAGCATGTTAAGTTCCACGATTCTTTGTCATGATTACCAATTAAGTTTCCAATTCTAGATATCCTGACATGCTAGCTCTTACTCAGCCCAGTTTATAGTTGTAGTTCGCTGACCTTGTCAGTCAATTCGGTCATAGCGACGCGGGGTCGGTTATAGGAGGTCCGAATCTATACCAACCACAACGACTCTGTTCCGAACACGTGAAATATTCGTAAAATACGAGGGATCGTAGACGTTACTATTTTATAGTCTAGTGATAAGAGCAAGCGTTAACCAAGGCTTGTACTTGAACTGCCGGGACGTGGAGGGCGTCTAGCCGGAACAGTGAGCACAACAGTTGCTAATCGCCACCTTACACCTCCAGGTTAGTAGATGAGGGGTTAGTGATCCTCCGGCTAGCCCTACGAATGTGACCCTGTTGGATACTACCTACCAAGCTTCAGCTTCAGCTTCAGCCACTCAATTGGCGGTGAATCCTGAAGGCGTCTAATACCTCATCCCGCTGGCTAGGTGGCACTACTAAGCTTATGGTGGGCCTTAGGGCCGCGCATCCTTCCCCGTGAGAGCACCTCGGGGAGCAATGGTCCCAGAGTTAGAGTATACGTGGGGGACGCATAAATACAAGCTTTGGACCCCTCCATAATGTTCTAGATCAGCTATTTCTCTCTGGATACTTAAATCATGTCTACACAGGATCTCACAAAGCTCGCTGCTGAGCTGTCGGCCCATGCCAAAGTTCTTCAAGACCATCTTGAAGCTAACAAGCTCTCGGGATTGTCCCTCGATAAAGATGCTTTGATCGATGCCCCATTCGATCCAGCAAACCTGGAGATTCAAGGTGCCAGGGCGGCCCTTATCAAGACGTCAAAGTTGATCCATGATCTGGCACTTGGTCCAAAGGAAATAATGCTGGAGCGCTCAACGAATGTATTACCCCCCCAGCGTTGCTATGATATCATTGAGTTTCCCTAATCTCTATGCAAGACAAAATTCGATCAGATGACCCTGCACGCCGTTGTGCGCTTTGGAATCGCAGAGGCCATCCCTCTCGATAAGCCCATTACCTTTGAAGCCGTGGCAAAGAAAGTTGGTCTCAGCACCGACCGAGTAACGCGCCTACTTCGCCATAGCATGACGAACAACTTGTTCGAGGAGCCACGTGCGGGATACGTTGGCCACACGGCCTTGTCGTCCATCATTGTCAGGGAGCCGCTGAGCAGGTCGTGGATCTTGCACAACTTCGAAGAAATCGCGACCACCAAGTTCCTCGAAGCATACGACAAGTACGGCGAGACCGACGAGCCGACTGAAACAGCAACTAGTCTTGCGTTCGATTACTTTACTAAGCACCCCAAGGATAATCTCTGGACATTCCTTGAGAACGATGGTGAGGGTGAGCAGAAGGGCTACAGGATGCGCAGGTTCGCAGAGGCTATGGTCTGGGTCAGTGGCCACAAAAATGACCAGGACATGATCCTAGCCACAGGCTTCGGCTGGGCCTCCCTTGGCGAAGCAACCGTTGCCGATGTAAGCCCTCATTCCAATCTGCAGCTTCTAAACCAAACTAACAAACACGCTCCAGGTCGGCGGCTCCGTCGGTCACTGCTCCATCGCCATCGCCAAGAAATTCCCCTCCCTGAAGTTTATTGTTCAGGACTTCGGCGCGTTGGAGCCCGCCTTCCAGGCAGCCCTTCCCACCGAAATCAAAGACCAAGTCTCCTTCCAACCGCACGACTTCTTCACGCCACAGACCACCAAGGCCGACGTCTACTTCCTGCGCCATGTCCTCCACGACTACTCCGACCCGTACGCCATCAAGATCCTAAGGAATCTGCTCCCGACCCTGGTTCCCGGAAACAGAATCATCCTCTGCGAGATCGTGTTGCCGCCACCTGGGGCGCCGCTCCCACCATCGGTAGTGAGGGTGATGCACAGCATTGACTTGCAGATGATGGTCGTGCAGAACGCCAAGGAGCGGTCGGAGGAGCAGTGGATTGACTTGTTGGCGAGGGCGGATAGCCGGTTCAAGCTTGTTAATATTGGGAGAGTGCCAGCGCTGCAGTCGTTCCTCGAAATCAAGTTTGATAGCGCTTGATGGGGGTTCTGAGGAAGGTGCGACCTTAATTCTTGGATAAGCCAAATCTACGAAATACAAATGAATAAATTTAAACTATATTCGGCTCCGCAACCCAGCTCTCCACATTGATGCTTCTTTGCAGAGAGCTCCTAGGCGCTCACGAATGCGGAGGTGTCTATAGATACTATCAGCCTCCCCTTTTCATCACGTACCCCCACGAACCCTAACTACCTCCATAGCGCCGCTTCTTTGGCGAGGGCCTTCCAGGCGCTCACGAATGCCTCTGCGTCTACGGACATTATTACCCTCCCTTCCTATCCGGTGCCTAACACCCCAAACGGACAAGTCCAGTAATCAAAACGGCACACGAAAAGTGGGAAAACTCACCAACTCCTACGTAGAAGCTGAGAACCACCTCCCCCCCTAGTCCGATTCATAAACGTTTAAACCATTTTTTAGGGGCAAACGACGCGCGTGGAGTTCGATGAAGCAAATGAATACTTTGATTTTCGGGGCAAGAAGTTTGAGACACTGTCGCGTTTGGACTATATCAGGGCGGTTATCTTTACCGTGGGTTGTCCTAGGCACTCAAATACTATAGCGCCGCAACCGCCATAGAGTAGAGTTGAACGAGGATCGAGACCCTTAAGCAAGCAAATGGTTCCACCATGAGCTGGTTCCTGACAGCAGTTTTTGACAATATGAGCTGGTTCCTAACAACATGGCCTGGTTCATGGACAACTCAGCTCTTTATCTAACTTCACATTCATCGTCCCCCCCTCTTCCGTTGATGGCTCATCTTTCATGTCCTTGATTTTGCATGAATGGAGTCTATACTTCCCCTCCTCGCAACTCCCACCTTCGTGCTTGCTCTCGTCCTCCTCCTCGCCCTTGCCTTCGCCCTTGCCTTCGCCATGCACACCCCCGCCGGTCACCAGTTACCGCGGCCGCCATCTCTTAACTCGCCACCTATCACCTATCACCATGCTCCCCACTGAGATAATTCAGCACATCGCCTCCTTTCTCCCTCCATCTGGGGCCGCCTCCTTTGCCTCCACATGCCTCTGCATCCGCCTTGCGGCAGGGACACAATATCTAAGCGCCCTCCGTTCCTCTCGCACAGAGATTCTCGCTCTCCTTGAGCTACTACTCGCCGACGCTTCACATGATCCAATCGTCAATTTCCCCTCCCGCCTTCTATGTGCCGATTGTGCACGCCTCATTCCGATTTATATCGGCTGCGGTGCTTCCGCCACGTCAGTTTGCAGAAAGAGTTGGGACCTATCTACGCGTTATATTGTGTCTTCATTCTCACCCCCAATCTTCTACACAATCATGGCGATGCACCGGCATGGGCACCAATGCGATGAACTACTATCCCGAATCGCACCACCTACAACCACCAGATCACTAGCAGTAGTGGAATCGCTTCGCAACATAACGTGCACTATCGCATCGCGACTGCAGGGTCTCTACTCATACGTATCCAGGTAACCTACATCCTCCAGCATCCTCCCCTCGACGACCGTGAACACACACTAGGGTCGTTTTGCCACCACATTGGGGCCAAGACCGAACGTTTTTCTACCACAATGAAACTAGAACAAACCGAAGCACTCAGCGGGACCGGCAGATCGCAGCCAAAGTTCATCGACTGCAACTATTGCCGGACGACAGTGCTCGTAGGCGCGCGCAAGCTTCGGGGTCGCGGAATTGGCCTCTTCATCACTTGGTGGAAGGACCTTGGTGACGGACGTCCAGCGGACGAAACGTGGACTGATCAAATAGGCTTGTCTACTCGGCCTGAGAAATGGCGACATGTCAGATATGGTACTATTCCTGTTGTCGAGGCGTTTGAAGGACAAAATGCACGCTATTTAGACTTCGATGAAGTAATGATGCGAGCAGACTGGAAGGAGCTTTTAAGATTGAGCCCTATACAGTAGTAGTTAGGAAATAACTTACTGGTCGCCACCAGTCGTCGTGTGAGGTGCTAGGTTTGAGACTTGTGTTTGCCGGTTACTACTTTTGCTTTTTCGGAGTAAAGTAGAGTCCGGGGAACAAAGTCTGAATAGGGGGCTATTAATTTCGCTGGCTGTCTGTTTATTATAGTGTCACAGGATCTATCATTGGCATAGGGGCTTCATAGGAACTTACCGCGCATCAACCAATTATGATCTAAAAATGCGCATGTGTGATCTCTCAGTAACTCTAGCATGGAAGTGAAAACATAAACGTGGACAAAAGTAATAATGATTTATGGTATCTCATCTCATCATATTCGCTCCAGGCTACCCCCATGCAGGCAGGCCATCTCGGCCCCTAAATCGTCTACATACAGCATGCGCCTCCATCACGGCGCCGACATCTCGTACTATGCCAGTAAATCAAAAACACATTACACACTCTCTCGACATATATGCTGCCGTCCCCTATCTCCCATCCCACTTCCCTCCCCTGAAACTCCAAATACAAAAAAAATGCACAAGTCGCGGTCCAACCCCCCACCCTAGAAGGTACGGAGGCGGTGGTATATCCTACACGCCCATCCATGCATCATATCAGAATCAGTAAACCTCCCTAACCAGCTTCTGCCGGTATCAATCAAATCGAATCATCATCACATCATCAAACCAAGCCATGCAAGAAAGGAAGCAAAAAAAGGCTCAAGCAAAAACAAATCCACCCATAATCTCAACCGCTAATCACAAGCGTGTCCGGCGGCGATGTGGAGGATCAATAGGGGGAATCATCAAGAGAGGGAATCACATGAAACCCCCCTCCATCCCACCCAACATCCCATTCCCTCTCCACCCACCACCACATCTCGTATCCTCACTCACACCCCTCTGCAGCACCCCCGGCCGCGTCCCCCTAACCAGTCCACTCAGCCTCGCCTGGCTCAAGCCGCGCCCCAGCACTGTTTCAGCCTCCGGAAGTCCGAAGCCTGAGCTGGCGTCGCTGTTGTGGCTATTTCGCGAGCTGGCCGCTGCGCTGGAGACGTTCGTCTGCACGGGCAGGAAGGAGCTCGCACTGCTATGGCGGTGGTATAGTGGGGGTCGCGTGGGCGGGGCGGTACGGGAGCGTGGTAAGGGGCTGCTGGGGGGTTGTGGGAAGGCGGTGGAGTCGAGGTCAACTTCCTCGTCGTCGTCTTCCTCATCCTCTTCATCTGCCTCCTCCTCCTCTTCTTCTTCCTCTTCTTCCTCTTCTTCCTCATCTTCCTCTTCCTCGGCAGTATCAACAGTCCTCGGTGCAGGAGGAATAATCCTTGTTCCCATCCCTGCCAAACTCAGACTCGCCGGTCTCGCGCGTCCCCCTCCACCAGGACGGGCCCTCATAGTTGGCATAGGCGGGTGGTTCTCGCTCCGGGCGCTCCCCGGACGTCCCGTGGCCGGCGTGGTGCGACCCGAGACATAGCCGAGCGCGCGCTGCGTAGGCGCGGAGATGGTATGCATGCTCCACGCCATAGGGTCGTCTTCGGGAGTATCGACGCGGCGCGCATTCTGTGCGCGAGGATTTGGGGCGGTGGGGTCGATATCGGAATCATCTGACTCGGAGGCTTCGTCGATGTCCCACTCTGCTACACTTTCGTTGCGGTTATGCGTGGGTGCGGCGGGGCGGTTCTTGCGCGCTTCGTGGTCGCGCATTAGGGCCTCAAAGCGCTCGATGCTGCTCAGCTTGCCCTCTTCGGATGGAGGAGGTGCATCGGCGGCACCGGGAATATAGCGCATAGAGAAGGCGCGGTCAAGGATTGTTTCCCGAGGAGCGGTGGGCGGGGTGGAAGCGTGTGTGTAGTGTGAGAGGGCCGAGGATCGACCTTGGGCGGAAGTCCAGCCGGAAATTAGGTCGCCGTCGTGGTTGAGTGTCGAGGCTGGTGAGGGGAGAGGGGGGTGCTGGATAGGCAGGGGCCCGGATGGTGAGAAAGACGAGGCTGGAGAGGAGAGGTCGCTATGCCGCGAGCGTAAGGAAGGAGAGGGCGAGATCAGACTAATTGATTTCGGGGGGCGTCGGTGGTCTTTGGTCGAGGTGCGATGGTGGAGGAATGGCTCTGGTTGTGGGATGGGGTTGGATATTGTAGGGCGCTCGGATGGCTTCTGTGAATTGGCAAAGGGGTTGACGAAGGCGAAGAGGGATGCCGAGTCGTTCGACGACGCATCTCCGCGTTCTGCTGTGGTCGGGCGGATGCGCGGCGCGATCGTCACCTGCCAATCGTAGATATTAAAGCGCTCATCGGGCATCGGGCGGAAAAGGAGTGAGTTCGGAAACGTGCTCGACGGCGAAGTCAGCTGTCCGGAGCGACTCGAGCGGCGCTTACGCATGCGCTCTGCCGCCGCATCGAGCTCGAAGGTCAGGATGAGCGTCGGGACAGCCGGACCTGGCTTGCGGAACTGGATGCTCTGGATTTCGCAGCTGCGTATCGATGAGAGAAGGTTCTGCGATATGATCTCCGAGTCGCCCTATATATACGAGTTAGCGGTATGCCCCGCGCGGACGAGCGGGTTCGGGTTATAGTGTCTGGCGTACCTTCTGTTTAGTCACAGTGAGCCAGAGCTGGTCCTGATCGAAGCGCGCGAGGTCATCGGAACTCTGGAAGACAGAGGTGGCCTTGAGGCCCTGGCGCGCGGCATGGAGTTTGCTTGCTGAGGTCGAGCGTGGCAGGGAGGGTTTCGGGGCCATGGGATGCCTCGGGCCATTGGTTCCGAGGACGACGTAGCGAGGCTGGGCGACAAAGAATTAGCATTGATGTTAAGGTGATGGGTAGGGTAGGTAGAAAGCCTGTAGCTCATAGAAACATACCTTCCACACAGCGCGGCCTATTATGGCGGACCGTTCGGGAGGCACGAGAAGATAGCCTTCCATGATTGCGCGGGCGGGTTCGCTGGGTCGGACAGTGAGGCCAGGGGAGGCGGATTACAGCGAAGATAAAGAAGTTTCGCTGCTTGTCTCGAAGGTTTGCCTAGAATGGAAACATGGTCTCGGAGAGAGCAGTCGGGGGGGTTGTGAGTAACTCAAAGAGCAAACAACAAGTAGAAGGAATGAGAGTGCAGAAAGTAGAATTGGTGGTGGAGAAGAATAAGTAGAGAGAGTTGAGAAGTTGAAGGCGAAGGCGAGGGTGGGAAGGGTGAAGGGGGAAAGAGCGATTGTCGATCGGTGTTCTGTCTAGCGGGGCGCGGCGAGCAAACGGAGGGAGGGAGGGAGGGAGGGTGGTGTAGTAATCAACGGAAGAACACAATTTTACTACGAGGATAAGTACATAATCATATAAAATTGTATGTAAAGGTACATAGAATACCAAGGGATCTATGGCCGGCGAGGTTAAAGTACATACTACCCTATATAGTAATTAGAGAGTAGAGTGTAGTGTATGGAAGCATGGAGGACTATGTAACTACCGCGGGATTGAGGCAAGGAGGTGCATGGTATCTATATTACTGTAAGTATAGTTCAGATAGTATGTATTAGGGAGTATGTGCTGTGCAAACATCACCGCCAGCAGCATCATACTCATACAAACAGACACTCATACAAACAGACAGACAAACAGATATACAAACTTCATTCTGGTCCATACATCATCGCATCCATACGCACATCCCATACACACATCCCACTCTCCTCCTCCTCCTCCTCCTTCTCTCCCCTCCTCCCCACCCCCCCCCCCTCCCCCCACCATCCCATCCCACACACTTCCTCGTACATGCACACTAACAGACTCATGTAGGGAATAATGTCTCAACTACCCAAACCCTCGAGAGTCCGAGCACCGGGTCGAGGAAAATGGCAAAAATATCACCAGATCAGGAACAATCCCTCCCAAGTGATCCTGTCCTTTGCTGCACCATATGCACAGGATGGAGTACATGTCATACTTTAAGACATGCAGTGCAGCCACCAACACGCCTCCGGTCCTCTGCTGTCGAGTGCAGGCAGGTGCTGTCGACTGCAGTTGCGTCGCACCGTACCTGCCGTGCCTGGCGAACGCATGCAGAGTCGATCTGGATCTTGACAGGAGAGGCAGGATCGTACTTGGTTTGTCCTGTCCATTGGGGATTCTCCTACCTGCCTTGGCCCTGGGCGTGCATGTGCGAAGTGCTTGAAGATGATTCCTCATTCCTCATCCCAAGTCACCCTTCCCCTTCTCTCTCCTATCCGCTCCGCGCCATCACCACTTGCCTCACCGTCTTATTCTCCCCCTCACTCCCACCCAGAGTCTCACAATCCAACAGCGCTTCTCAAGGTACTCTCCAGTATCCGAAGTACTCTACTTTTGAAGTAGTAGAGTACTCTCCCCCTACCTTCCCCAATTACCCCTCCATCCCTCCTCTCCTCCCTCATCCAGCATCCCACCGAAGGGGGGGCCACCTGATACTCGTACCTCAGAGTACCACTCTATACCTGCATTCTAGCCCAGCAATCTCCGTCCCCCGCGTGCGCCCAAGCTCCTGCTCTGACCCATCCCCACAGGGTCTCACCCAAAATGCCATCAAGAGCTCAGCTTCACCCTGTCCGGCGCCCACTAGTCCCGACACTATCCAATATATCCGGTGCCGCCAGCACCGCACTATCGTAACTATCGTGAACCGCGCCACGCCCCTCACGAAACCGCCCAGATTGAGACCTCTTACCGCACACATCCACAGTCCACCACAGTACTCCACTGTGCCACACATAGTGCTCAGGTAACTGTTGCAGCCACCGCCCGAGCCAGATCTGCGAACGTGGCCGCGGGCGGGTCAGGTCCCGCAGCGCAGCGCTGCAAGGTACGGCGCGGTGCGGACTATTGAACACAAATCCGACTATAACTCGTCTCCACCCCACTTCAAGCGCTCACACCCGACATGTCGCGATCGATAATCAGAAATATCAATCACTCATCGTGGCCGCTGTATCTGGGAATAGCTCTAATTTGCCTGGGTATAGCTTGCTCCTTCCGTCAGGTCCCAGCTGTCTGTTGTCCGGGTTCAGTAAATCTACCCGAATGAACAAGGGCCTTGAATCGGGAGATGACGAGGACCCCCCAGTTTGTGTGCTGCGTGACCCCCCCAAGCCAGCCGCCGGGTGCTTTCATCCGTGGCTATGTTTAAACTGGACCGGGGCATCTTTGCAGGAATCGGTTTAGCTCAGATATTCCGTCGTGACGATATAGTGGACACAGGGTTGTGTGCAGACACAGTGCATGCAGGAGTAACTGCATCTATCAAAAAACACAAACCGAGACCAGTCTCAGCTCGTCCCTCCTCGCGTACCTGATCTCCCCTGGCTGCCCTGGCTGCACCCCTGGCTCGACAACGCAGTAGCGCCGCCTAGCTCAGGAACAGAAGCCGAAGCTGCTCAACCACCTCCACAACACACTGCACAGCTAGGTTAGTGAGTGCTAGTGAGTGCACCAAGGGGCCGACCATGCCAACTTCGACGGCTTGGCAGGCGCACAGAGTCTGTTCTCAGCTTCCTATCCCCATCTCATCGCTGATCGATGTCTCACTTCATCCTATGTCCTTCGCATTAGCCCCGCCGCACGGCACTGCTTCCGTCACTCTATCTGACCTGTCTGTCCATTCCTTGCAGACAGACACAGCAATACAATAACAGCGACTGCATACTGCATAGAGGTGCTATATCAGAGCAGTCCTGGTAATATGATCACCCGGCGCCAGCACCGACAAAAGCCGGCCTGCCGACCGACCGACCGACTGACCAAACCCCGAAGCCACCATGCCCAGAGATTCAACGAAGCCACCACACCACCACACCACGCCCAAAGACTCCACGGAGAACAGAACATAGATCGGCGCACCCCGCTCAACGCCTCCCCCGCCCCAGCAGTCTCGCCCGCTGCCTGCCCCAGCCGTCCCGCGCGCGTTGGGCCGTCGCACTGTGCGCACCGCCAAGCTGCCGTGCGAGCAGCGTCACAGAAATCCAGACCGCACCAATGCCAACTACAGTGCTCACATTCAGACTGGACGGTACATACAGTAGTACATGCAAGTGCGCGCGGGGCATCACAGCGTTAACAACGGGCGAAAATCCCCAGATGATATGAGACAGCGGGTTGGTAACCTTGGGTAACTCCAGCCCACAGAGTGACTGTATCCGTTATAAGATCAACAAAATCCTAGATGCTCATCTTTTTCGGCGATCTCTCGCGACGGCGGCGCTGGGCTGGGAGGGATGATGTAAGCGGGATTGCCGCGACTGGGGGAAATGTGTCGATCCGGACCCCAGGAGGAATTTACAAAATATCGTGGAGTGCCTGTTTCGAATGTACGTACTTTGTACACTAATCGTGGCTTGTTGCACAGACCGTTTTTCATTCCCGCCTAGACCGCGATACGAGAAGGGGTGACATCGTGATCCTGAAGGAATAGGGCAGGACGGACACCACTAAACATCCTCCGGCCTCGCCACTCGAATCCCCTTGAGCAAGCAGCTTCTGTGCTGTCGGTATCACATCGCCCGGGCGCATCTGTGGCGACTTTTCACGCCCCCAAACTGATATCTACGTTCCCAACGAACTCACTGATGATGAGCCTCTCAAGCCAACCGGAGAAATTATGCGGGTTCCCTCACCGAGCATCTCATGGGTATGTGCAGAATCTGTCCCTACCCGCTCTGTGTCCCCGTCACCGACCCCATCGTATCATGGCGGCAGCGTGTCGCCCACTCCATCGGCGCTCCCGGCGCAGAACCCGTTACTCCTGTATCCATCCGCTGTACGCCGTGCCACAGGAATTCCACGAGAGGTAGCCCGAGTAAGCACTACAACATAGCAGTAGCACCGATATCCATCTCCTCATCACAGAGCAAACAAACACTCGGCTTCCCACTTACCCGAGACAACCCCTCAACATGCCCATTACTCGTACACCCATAACCCCCCCCTTTACATAGAACCTCCCCTCCTTTCCAGAAGCCTTCCCCCTTCGCCCCCTCCCGCAGCAACGCGACACCAACTCTCCCGACCCCTATTCCCCTCCCCCTCACCGACTTTTGCCCTGCACTCAGCACAACGCAGTAGCGGCACACTACATGTTGTCCCCGCCGCGCGCCCCGAATCGAGGGTCTCGCGTGGCATCCGTCACCGCAGCCGCGGCCCTGCACCGCACGGCCTGCGCATCCATTCCGGACCGGCCTCACAGCGGCCGTGCGCGCGCGCCGGGCAGTCGTGCTGGTGCATCCGACGAGGCATCCGTCCCATGGCATTGGTAACTCCTGTAAGAGCTACACTGCACCGTCCCTCCCTCCCGTCGCACAACAGCGCCCTTATGCGGCCAAACTGCGGGAGAACCCCTTGCTGGCCTTCGCCGGATAGGGCATGGTTTGCGAAACTTGGTGTGTGTGTGTGCCTCCTGGACGGGAGGGTGGCTACTGTTTTGTTACCAAGGTAGGTTCACGCGAGTCGTACGTTGGATGTGGCGTGCGATCGGCGGCAGGTATTTGTGTTTGTGGTGGGGGAGTGGGAGAGGGACCGGCAGATGGCGTGCAGGATTGGTGATGATGCGGGGGGGATTGGCGTTGGGTGGATTTTTGTTTGCCGGATGGATTGGATGCCATGGCTGGACCGCGCGATGGACGGGCGAGGTGGCGGTGGTGGTGAGGGGAGATTCACTAGTCGGAAGTAGCCGTATGTGTGTGTGTGGTATTTGGTGGTGGGACGGGCGGGCTGGGACAGGCTGGGACAGGCTGGGACAGGCTGGGACAGGCTGGGATGGGCGGGATTGTTGGGATTAAGACGTAGATCTTAAGTTTACTTGCTTATTCCCGTCCACGTCGGGCATCATACAGGTCATTGGAAACGCGTCTTTGTGTTTGGGAAAGAGGTCGTGCCGTGTGTTAGTGTTGCCGTTGATTCACTTCCCCGCACTGAGATGGAGATTCATACCCCTCGACCTGCCCCTGATTTGCCTCGTGGATGGGGGATCTCTGGTCCTTGCTACGGGTTTCTCTTTGCCCCTCTGTATCCCGTGCCGTCCTAGTGGCGGGGTTCGAGACGCGGCGGATTAGTAGGTCATTTCTAACTTCTCAGATGAGGGGTGGTGAGGGGACATGGGAGGGCTTGGTGGTTGGGGGGTCTACTTCGAGGATGCATGATGTATGGCATTTAGGTCTACGAAAGTATTGCTTTGGCAGAAACACTCGGCGGGATACATTGAAAACCAGTTTGAGATCCAGAAGGGTTTGGATCAGAACGTCAGCTTCCAGGATTGAAGATATCATCAAAGCATAGGTTTGCCATTGCTCTTCTGTCATAAAGTTTCATTCTGTAGCTGAGTCTCTTCTCTCTTCTTGCCGTCTTCTTGATTCCCTTGCATTCCAGGTCCGCCAACGTCGTATTCAGCGAGTAAAGTTCATGTTATTACCGCTAGATAAAAGATACTGAGTTTCTTTGTGATATTAGCTCTCTCGTCGTTGCTTTCCACGGTTTCGTTAGCCTTTCTCAATTAACGATGGCAAACTTTCAGAGCATCAGTGCTTCTAAAGGGGCATACCTCGCAGAGTGACTCCTCCTCTCTTCTTCACTTAAGACACCCCCCGACAAGGCACTGTTCGCAGAATCGTTGTTGGAGGCCTTAAACCTTAACATAATAGTTTCTGGCAGCAAAGGCAGGGCCTCTGGTCGACCTTTCAGCTCGCATAGCGAGCATCATCATGATATCTCCAGCCATCTCGCGTGGCATGAAGGCAACATCTGTCCGATATAATGGGGCTTTTTCACGATAGCGCCATATGCACAAGTCCACCAAAAACTTGCGCATCGGCGAGCCGCTTTGGGTGTGTTCATAGAAATATACGAAGTCCTTGACGGGTGGTAAACGCCTTTTCATGATCCTTGATGTCATCGTGTCGATAACGAAATTCTGTAACTGGGGCGCTATCAGGTAGTCTGCGAGGATCCAAACATCGAGCAGCTGAGAGAACGTAGGCTTGTCTTTAACCATCTTGTCTGCAATCGAGAGATCACTGTCCGTGCACAGCTCCTCCGAGATTTTCCCAGCATAAAGCCATTCAATCATCATGCCAAAGGCCATAGCACTTGTTTCCTTTAGAACCACCTCGCCTCGAACGGCCTCCTGAAAGCTGCCTTCAAAAGCCGCCCTGAAGTAGGCCGAGCTAGAGCACAGCTTATCTTTGTGGATTCCAAACCTTTGTTCCTCAGGCCCAACAACCACGTAGACGACTTCATGGGGGAGCCTGTAGCTTCTTAGTTGAATGTAAGGATATATATTGCTGAAAATAACTTACCATAACCAGGACAGCACATCTGGCTTCTTGGTGACTGTTGTAGTGTCTGCTCCGGTGGCCTCCTTGCTGACTTCGACTGCTCTAGTAGTTACTCCAGTGACTGCTTTGCTGGCTTCCTTGCTGACTTCGACTTCATCGGTTGCTTGGCGGGCTTCAGCAGCAGTAGGCCCAATTGTTTCAACCATGTTTTGCTGCTTGAAGTAGTTAGGATCGATAGTATAGAGTATGATGAACTTGTCCTGGAAACACAATTCTTTGTTGTTAAGAAATCACACGGCCAAGTCTAGCGGCGAATGAGTTGTGTTGAGAAGGGAGGATGAGTAGAGCTGGTATTTTGGATCGAAAGTGTGGTTGTTTTGAGAGTGCACCCAGCTAACAAGCGGTGCTGTGGAAACGCGGGTTTTTGTTTTTGAAGTCACATCGCTAAGAGTAGTGACCGAAATTACAATCTCGATATAAGGATCCTGTAGATAAGGATGTCTGGCTTAAGGACTGAGATGTTGAACACGTCTACTTAGATTTTATGGTTACAGAAATTTCACAGGGTTACTGAAAACTGCAAACACTTCACGAGAGACTGAAGTGACAGGAATATAGTAGAATCTCCATAGAAGGGTCCTATAGATAAGGATATCTAGCTGTAGGGACTGAAATGTCAGCCACGTCCACTTAGATTTTATGGTTATAGAAAATTCGTAGGGTTACTGCAGACTGCAAACACTTCACGAGAGGCTGAAGCGACACTTCACAACTCTAAAATCATGGGGGGGGTGAACAAATAATGGATGAAATACAATGTGTTATGATACTAAGCTAGAGGTCCAAGTAACAAGCTCGTCCTCTTCCAATATTCCTGGGCCGACTTGGTGAGCCTCTCGTTCGATGAAGACGTCAAATCCACTTGTTTTGTCAAAGACTTCTCGAGATCAACCAGCTTGTCCTTAGAACCAGGCGTGCCAGGCACCGAGAGACAGAGCCGGAGAACGACGGTGTCGAATAAAGTCTGCACCAGAATATCTTTAGCAACGACGGCAGGATCGACAACATCACCGGCAGTACTATCCACAGCTTTGTCCTCAGACTCTGCCTTTTCAACTGTCGTCTCATCATCAGCATTATCTCTATCGCCATTAGTCTTCGGCGTCTCCTTCTCCGCAGACTTCAGATCTGCAGCCATATTGCTTCCCAGGTCGTCACCCATACACCCCTTCAACACATCCACAGCCGCCCGACTCCACAAGTCCCGTCCAACACCCGCCATGGCCACTGTCGCCGAGTTCAGGAACTTGAAAGTCGGCGGCGAGGGGTAAATCGGCAATTCCGGCTCTCCCTCCCACAGCGCACGTCCTGCGACGCGCTTTCTTGCCCGCAAAGCAGCCCGGTATGCCGGCACCGTCTCGGACGAGATCTTCGTGGCGAGGGCCTGGTGCATCTTCGGCACAAGCGAGACTCCGAATGAGGATAGATCCGTTTGCTCGGGCAGCTCGGCGCGTAAGTCTCGGAGGACGCGAAGGATGAATATTGTGGTATCGCCTACATGCTCGCTCTTTTCGTAGGTGCTGAATGAAGCTTCCAGCTTGGTGTGGAAGGTGATGAAAGCCTGTTCCAAGTTCGCCTTCAGGCGAGACTGGAGCTGTTCTGGATCTTCTTGGCTCAGTGACCTCTGCCTATCTTCGAGCACGTCTTCGTCTTCTAGGCTGTCTAGGTCGTCGTTCCATTTCTGCTTCTTGAGTTGGTCAATTGCTGTCGCTACCTCGTCTACCAGACGCTTCCATTCCTCGTACGACTTGACGACCCTTGAGACTGCGTTATCCCTTCCATGGACATTGTTGACAATTGCTTGCTTGAACGCCAAAGCGCCGTTGCCAAGCCCCATCTCCAGCAGCTTAGCATCCCATAAGCCTCCTTGTCGTTCTACGCCTCCAGATGCAATGACACCCAAAGCTGCCTCGACCTCGGTGTTGACGAGATGCAGCTTGTCAACTCTGGCTTCCAGTATTCCAACCATTCGCTCATTAACAACCTTTCTTAATCCATCAAGCATCACGGATGAATCAAACCCCTTCGCCTTCCCTCCTTCGGCCACCCACTCCTCGAAGGCCTTAGTCCTTAATTCAGCCACAGCGCTGAAGTTCTGGACTGCATCTAATATCTTCTCAAAGCCTTCCAGGAATACTTCAGAGGCCTTCTTTGCCCATCCCTTGAGCGTTGCGACTGCTTGTGGGCCATCCAGATCGTCGTGCCGGATATACGGCGTGAAGTATGTGATTTCGTCCCCAAACCACCTCTCGCATATATCCAGTCGCAAGCCTTCCAGTTCCCTGACACCCTCATCCTTCAGCAAATGATCTCCTTTCAAGTTCAAAAGCGCATCAGCCAGCCTCCTCGGCACTAATGCCTGTACATCAACCAAGGTCTTGGCCAGTAATCCCAACGCGTGTATAATATGTTTTTGCACTCCTCCTTCTCCCAGATCTCCCTCGTCCTGGATGTCAAGAGCAGTCGACATCGCCGCACCTCTCACGTGTAGGAATTGCCTCACCACATCCCTCGCGCCTGAGCTTGTAGCCAGACTGTACGCGCACAGAGCGTTCACCAGCTCTTCCCTATCTCCATCCAGGTTCTCCATTGCCCTTTCAATGGTCCTCAGCAGACGTCGTCGCAGGGACCCGAGTTTCCTCTTCAACTCCGCAATCACCGCTTCTTCCTCCTCGTCCTCATCCTCCCCATCATCACCCAAGCTCTTAGCCAATAGTCTCGAAAGCACCAACGTCTTCGCCGTCGTCACCAGTCGCCTTCCTTTCCTCACTTCTCCCTCTCTGCCCCTCAGCAACCGCCCAATGGCAATCACACAGCCCCCAAGCACCTTAACCCTCGCCGCCCTTCCCAGCCTCCTTTCCGCATCACCATGTCCCGCCCTCGCCCCCAGTTTTCCCAGCGCATCAACCCTGCGCCCAACAACAGCCATCCCGCATCCGTCCGCCACGCCCCCAAGCTTGGTCTCCACAACCTCAATGTCGCGCCGCATATCCACGATCATCTCCGCCGTGCCCAACAGCTGTCGGTACGAGCCGCCCACGAGCGTGCGCAGGCGCGCATTCTTCTCATCGAGGGAGGTATGGAGTTGGCGATGCAGCAGGCGGACTGTGGGGAGGGGCTGCTTGAAGACTTCGGCGGCCGTGGCCGTGCTTAGGTCGGGGGTGGAAGAGGCCATGGCTTGGATGCCGAGGGGGGCCGAGTGGTTGGTGGGACGTGGTGGGGGGTTCACGAATTGTCGGTCTAGGTTATGAGGAAATTTCAGTATAGCATTGGCCGCGCATTTCGATTTCTTTCACGTATGAACCATGTGGGCGAGTTCCACGGTAGCTTGGGAACAAAGTAAGCTGGATAGATGCTATAATCTACGGAGCTGTTATGTTGTCGTTATCCCAGCGGTCCTTTTGGTCCGTGCGCTACTATTATAGCCTCGCCGAACCACAGACTCCAGCCTCGCCTGCCAATATCAACTTGGCATTACAGCACAAAATCAATCTCGGAATTTCAAATACACCATGGTAAAAAACGAATGTACGATTGTTCATAAATAGTAGGATCTGAAACAAATGCTTGCACGATTAAATAAACACAGTTACATTCTCACATTTCTCTCAATAAGCGCCAGCGCCGTCAAAAGCACGGTTTGTATCCACGCCTCATCACCTGTGTCTTCCCAGATCCTAATCGTCCCCTTGTTCTTCCAGCTCAGGCCAATATGGTTTGTATATGTTGCCAACAACTTGCCTGTGGCCTCATCGATAAGCTTCAGGTGTAGCATAGACATCTTGGAGAATATTGACGCCTCCGACGACCCATCGGGGCTGTGAGTACGTTTCCAGAGAACGGCCCTTGAACTGTCCCCGAGTCCAATCTTCAGGCGATAAGTGTTGGAAGAGATCGAAAGATTCTCAAGTCTTTCCCAAGAGGTGGTGCTCAAATTTTCAGGGTCGTCCCCGAAGCCAATGTCAATGTTGTTCGACAAGGGCACGAAAATTGCCACTCCAAGGAGACGCCCTTCCTTTGTCTCGCCCAGACGAAGCTTCACAGCGGGCTTCCCGATGGCGTTGGAGTTTCCAACATAGTGCGTGATTTTTGACTTAGATGTGGGTGTTGACATATGAAGGAGATAGTCGCGGTGATTCGAAGCATGCGTGATCCTATACTCTCGAAACGGCTCGCCACGCTCTGGTACAGCAGTAGATTCCACAGGCGCCGGAGACGTGCTTGATGTCGCTATAGGAGCTCTAGAAGAGCCTTCCATTTTTAATGTCGATGAGGCCTCTGCTGCCATATTACAGTTGGCGGGCGATAGCTCTTGTTCGTTCCACCTTTGTATGAAGATAATTACAAGACTTACTGGCGATTTATCTGCATTCTTGCGATGTTATATAATTTTTGATTGACTTATCTTTGCTCTCAGCCTTGCCAACAGGTAGAGTATGAATCAAAGACACTTGCCGCTTAAGGATGATTTTGCGAAAAAGCCACAGTAATCTTGGGGCGCAGCAACGTGGGTGTCAACCCACCAGCCGATACATGCCACCTTAAAACTTACGTTCTACCACACAACTCGGCGCAGTAGTGACAGATCTGGTACGTGTGTCTCCCAGAAGCCTAAATTAATACTGTCCATAATACCAGTGATTACCGGGATGGCGTAGTGACGGCGATTAATGCTCGAGTGTCGGAAGCTTGGCAGCATTGAAGTATTGGGGGGCGGCTGCCTTGCATTTTCACCTTCGCGGGTTACGAGTCTCACAAAGCAATTATGTAATTTAAGAGCTGGACTTCATTTCATGAATGTGTGACTGTATTGAATGCCTGTATTGAATGACTGCATTAACTGACTGTATGCCTGTACGGAATAGCTGGGTCTGAGTGACTGAGTGACTGAATATAAATTTCGATGAATACCACAACGTGTAATATCGAGAGAAGTCAAGTTCTTATGAATCGTAATGGGTACATAGGCCATCATAGGCAAATCAAAGTAAACCAGCCGCTGCAAATGTAAACACTTCTGCGTTCATAATGAAGCCGAAGCCATTCAGCGAGTCACCCTCGTCATGGAGATCACCCCCGAGCCATTCCACCAACATAGACGTATACCATCGGGCTGTGGGGAGCGCCCGGGAAACAACTGTGAAATATCAAAACGCACCGAATTCATGTCCAAAGCCAGATCAATAGGCGGACATTGCCGGGCCACCAGGTTCTCGTGAGCCATCGCCTCAAAGCCCATCTGTCTGTTTATGCGCCAACACCCAACATTGTTGTTCTCAATGATCCGTAGGCTCCTCAATCCGGTGAGAATCGGGAGGACGAACCTTTCTTGACCACGGATCTTGTGTCTTCTCCTCCGGTGCTGGTACATGTCGTGCTCAATCATTCTCCAAGTCTGCAGGTCAAGTCCCAGGTGGCGTATCTTCGGGAGCTGGGCTGGAGGGAGTGAGTGCAAAAAGTCCAGCACCACTTTCGACTGCTTCTTGACGCGCAGCGGAATCTGCCCTTCCATGTTAACCTGGCCTCTCTTCTCGAACGTGAGAAATAGCACGTCGACGTCAAAGTTGAACAAAAGGCCCCTCCTGGCCGTCGCGTCGCCAAATGGTGATCTCTCGTACACGCGCCTCATAACAGCATTGCTTTGTTTGCATACGAAGCTCTGCGCTGGCCACTTCGTTGGGGACCACATGCGCGTGAACTTTGGGTCGTATTGGATTTCGACGACGCGCGATTCGAAAGAAAACTCCCATATCAGGTCTTGCACAAGGGTCGGGAGCTCGGCAAAGCGCGCGAACTGGTGCGGTGCGACTGAGTGGAATGCGTGGGCGTAGTAATCTCCAAGGTGGATCTCTTCAGGTGAGAGCGTATTGAGTTGTATCATCCTGCATCTTCTGTCGGGCTGGGTGTGGAGCCCAGTCCTTCCTGACCAAAGGGGGCTGGCAGAGACGTTCATGACTCGAAGCTTCGTAGTTCCATCTTCAGAAGGGGCTTTAAGCTTGATCACGGAGCCTTTGATCGTTTTGTCCAGAGTTGTGGCCGGGAAGGCCGTCGTAAAGTTGAAAGAGGCGTTGCCGAACCTATCGACCGATTCCTTGTCCGGACTTGGGAAGTTAAGCTCGTTTGATTTTCCGAATGTCATAAACTCCACGTCGCTCAAGCGTTGCATTATCTCTTGGGGGTGTGCCTTAAAGGCTGCCTCAAGGATCGCGTTAGCTCTAAAAATTGACGCTGTTTTCTCCTCTTCGGATGGATGCTGGTATCTTTCCAATCCCGGAATAACTCTATCGAACACGTCCCTCTTTGTTGCCGAGTACGGAGTGAAGTATACTGTGGGATTGAACACGGCGGATCGTCCCAGTGCCGACGTGGTGAGATTTTTCCCTTGCCTAGTCTGCACTCTGCCGCCTGTTATCATATCCTCGACGTCCGAATCCATTTTCTCCACGAGCTCTTCATCCTCCCCCGAATCCATATCATCCGCGAGATACCAAGATTTTTTTACCTTCTCATCATCCGGGCTGGGCTCTGTTAGTCCGGCAGCTTCGTACAACGTCTTTGCCGCGGCGGCCTCCATGCGTTGTCTGAACCTGGCAGCATCTCTGTGCCCACGCTGGAGTTTCAGAGATTCGACTGCTGGGTCGATGCCGTGATGCTTCAAGTAGGCTTCAAGGCACCCGTCAATGGTTGTTCCGTCATGAAATGTCAGCTTGCGGATCCGCTTTACAGCCTCTCGGTTTGCGAGATCAACATCCTCGATGCATCTTTTTGGTGGCACTGTGATGGGGCATTAGCCATATTGAAAAGTGGTATCAATCCAAACTCAGAACTCACTCTTGAGGTAGATGCAGGCTTTGAGGCTGCTCGTGGACAAAGGAACTAGTAGTAAGAACAAACTAGAATAGTTGGAGTAGTATAAGATGTGGATATAAAGATTGATTTTGGCAGGTCCATGCCAATGAATTAAAGGGGATAAGAGAAGGGTGCGTGAGACGGCTGGGTTCGGATAATTAACCGACGAAGACCAGTGATTGATTCATGTGAGGATCTTAAAGAACAGAGATTGAGATATCTCTCGCCTGGGTTCGCGCCTGTGGGTCGCGGAGGCTAGGTGGGTGAATTTGTATCGAGTTGGAAAGAACCGGGGCGGGCGCTTCAAGCGTAGCTCAGGGGGTCTATTAGAGGCGCACGCCAGGAGAGTAACGGTACCATCTACTTGCTTCTTGAGAAAATCTGAATTATAATAGCAAAAATGTTTCGCCTATAACTCCTGAATTCACCTCGAAGTCAGCCAAACCTATATGCCAAGCTAATGGCTGTCCCAACTCCTCTCATTTTGCAAATATCCTCCAAACATTAACGGGCATATGAGCTGATATAATACTTTGCGATGTTAGAAACAGTATCCTCATTTATGCCAGGTTAAACTCACCGTGAGGACGGATTCTTTTGCACCGGGGTCTTCATAGTTCGTCAGGTATACGTAAAGGATCAACGCATGGTTGTCCACAAAACCTGCAATATATCAAAGTCAGTATACATTCCAATTCATCATCATACAACAACATACAAGCAATAACCTTCCCACCCAGCCTTCCCACACTAAGAACCCGACTCCAATCCTTCCCATCAATTCTCACCGTCGCCCACGCATCCGGCCCCGCAGCCCTCATCTTCTCCGTCGGCAAATCATCCACATCCCCGTCGATCTGATTCGGCTCCAAATCCGGATTCGTCAAATCATTCCACACGCTCTCAATATTCAGCGCATCCGTCGTAATACTCAGCTTCAAACTCCCATGCATATTCGCGCTCAGCTCCAACTTCGGCGTATTAGCAGTACTATTCACAGCCGCCGCTGTATTGGTCGTCGTCGCGAATGCGAGCTTTGTGAACCGGTCCGAGATGGCTTTGAGTTGCAGCAGCGGCGGGAGGAGGATATGCACATCCGAGTCGCGCACTTTGGGCTCGTGGATCCCTTCTACGCCTTCGGGGGAGAGGACACGGATGGGGATTTCCTGGGTGACGATTGTTTCACGCTCGGCGGCACTGCGGGCGTCGAGACTCTCTTCGTGGAAGTCGTCGTCGGCGAAGGGGTCGTCATCGCGGCGGTTGCGGAGGAAGCCATTGCTGTTCCCGGCGCTGACGGTGTTGGTTATGATTGTCAGGGAGAGGATCGCATCACCATCTCTCTTTGTGAGGCGCAGAGATGCAGATGTGGCGTTTTCTGCGGATCTGAGGGCTGTTTGGAGGGGTGCCAGGGGAAGCTCGATATTGATGGTGTTGTTCTCGATGCGCGACTGGACCGAGTACTCGTAGAATAGAGAGTCAATTGAGATACAGCTGCATCCATATTAGTTGTCTCTCTCTGCTATGTAGATTTGAGGAATCATACGCCCAGACCTGTGATCCCTGCTCGGGGATTATAGTGAACCGCACATTTTCATCGTCCAGCCTGACCCAGGCAATCTTCCCCAGGGTCGCCAGAGACGCCGTTAACTCTAGAAATCGCGTCAGAAGAGGTACGTAGCTAAATTCAGGACAGCATAATTACTAGAGAATGTCTTTATATTCCTTAGCGAGGTTTTAAACCTCATTGTCACGGCTAAGGGGGACGATGAGTCTAGAGGTGACGTTGGCCACAGCCGCGATAGGCGCGATATTGTTAAAGAGCCGAAACAGGCAGCGACACCATCACAAAAAGTTCCAGAGCAAACATATCATCAAAGAAATTAAACTACAATAATTCTCACAGCCTGTATAAATCAGCAGGGTCCATAGTTTAGAACTTTATAAATCATCCCCTGCACATTATAGTTCCGTACCTGACTTTCCAAGTACATGACTTTGCGACCACATGACTTTGCTGGCACATGGACGATAGCAGGCTACTGTCTCACTCCTCCTCCAGCACATTTCACTCACATCCAAAATCACCACAAAGTAAAAAATATTAATATAATCATTCCAATGTAAATTTCATTAACTAATTCAGACACCTCTAATGTCCTCGCAAACACCTTAAAAGCATAACTAAGAACCCCCAATGCCCATCCTCGCATATGCAGAACAGTAAATCATGTAAATTAGATCTCTCTCATCTCCCTTCAAAGCCAAAATGGCTTGTGTGCCATATCATTGCTTACAGAGCGTAAACTGGGTTGGGGCCGATGTTGGGGAAGTCGGTGACGAGGTTAACATCGTTGAATCCGAAGAAGGCATCAACCTGTTTTGGGACATTGACAACAGTCATAACAGCATATCCATACTGGTCGTTGTAACCCCACGAGATGACCCAGTCGACCTGCTTCTGGCAGACGGCGGTGTAGAAGCTCTGGGTTGGGGCACCCTCCTGGGTCAGGTAGCAGTTGGTCTTCTCAGAACCGTCGTTCTGGTTGATCTGGAAGGAGTAGTTGCAGGTAGCGATGTTGCTGGTTTGGCAGGCTGGTGCGCGTCAGTCTTTTGTCCAGCAGCTTCATAGTAGGATTGAAGGGATGGGGTTAGAACTTACTCCTGTGAAGTCCCTCAACAGTCCAGGCTCCAAGGTTAGCTGCGGCATCGCGGCCGATAACAGCTGCACCGGCAGCCTTCTTCTTCTCCCAGGTCCCGACAACCAGAGAAGGCGAAGTGTGATCTGGGGTCACAACCTTGCCATCAGCGAGCTCAGCAGCTGTGTATCCAAAGAAGGCGTTCAGCGAGGTCTCGCGGTTAACTGGGACAATCACGAAGAAGTTTCCAGGCTGGTCGTACCCGACGTTGACATACACGGGTGAGTTAGCCGCGCAGTGCAAGTTGGAGGGGGAACTCCAGCGGGCCTTGCGGGTGCTGTCGGCGATATCGGCGAAGTCGCAGGCGTCGACGCGGCCGGAGTTGTTGTCCTTGATCTTGAACTTGTAGTTACAGGTGTTGGCGCTATCGTTGCAGGTGCGCACGAAGCCCTGGAGAGTCCAAGTGCCTTCGGCGCGGGCTGAGTTAACGGCCGGGGCGGCAGCGGCAAAGGTAGCGCCAGCGAGGGCGAGGATGAAGGAGTAGTGCATTTTGAAGGTGGTGGTTTGGGTGGTTGTTTGACGGCGAGTGTGTGTGTGAGAGAGACTGATGCTTGAGATGAGACTTTGAATGCTTGATGCAGGGAAAAAACACCTCAACACCGGACAAGCAGCTCGTCTTTATAGGAAACCCTCCCATCACCAGGCCACCGACCGAAACATTCTCCTTCGGGCCAAACCTCGAATCCCCTCGTCCCCAAACGAGCTCCCCTCCCCCCCCAAGCCTCGTAACCGGACAGCAGCATCTATTCTATCCCCGTCCCACCACGCAGGGCAATGATCATCCCCTCAATACGAGGCTCCGTCCCCCCGGCCCCCCTCCCCACACACGCTCATTCGCTGCCCTACGCCCCCAGCTACGCCGCCCCGAGCTCCCGCCAGCCACATCAGCAAGCGGGCGCAGTGGATCAGCGCTGCCATGGCTGCTAGCATCGTCGTAACCAAGCACTGACACTGCCAGTCAATGCAATCAAGAATTCTTCACTGCCGGTTGGATAGCTCATGACGTCCCAAGCGAACGTTGCATCGTCTCCGCTCCCCGCTCGTTGGCACTCGTATCCGCCGATCAGCTGCCTAGCTGCCTACCCTTCCCAGCTCGCGTATGCATCTGCTTGTCTTACGTACGCCGAGTCCAGCTCCCTTCGCATTCTCCCATCCCCCTGCCCTTTTCTTTCCCTCTCCATTCTCCGTCGGCGACAGCTGGGTTCGTACACCCCGCGTCCGTATCTGTCGTGCCCCATCCCCCACAACCACCACCGGCTACCTTACGCCTTCCGCGCGGCACGGGAACGGCGTCAGACGGCCCCATCGTCGGCTTAGGTGAGAGAGAACCAGAAAAATAAGCTTCCGCCTTCCGTGACGTAGCGCGATCGGCGCGATCAGCGTTGAGTACGAGATGGTCGCTGTCAACGCCCATCTAAGGTGGTTTAGCGTCGGAGGCACCAGGGGAGATCTTAACCATATGAGGGTCTGGGATGGATTTAGAAATACTTGGCCACGAATGAGGGCGGTCGGTTGGTGTAATGTGGGGATGTGGGGATCGGTGGTTGCTATATTGGGCGTGTCACGGGAATACGGGTAGATTTTTTGTCGGGGGTTGGGTTGGTGATGATTTTTCGAGAACCGAATGAATGCATGAATGAACTCTGATTGTGCGTTTATTGGTTACCCTACGGAACGGAGAAGGGTATTGTTTTCAAACTGTGGATGAGATGCTGATATGAGCTGAGATGCGGCTGCTTTGTTGTTGGTCGGTGTTGTCTGTAGCTGTGAGACACGTACTATACTATACGTCAGCGCTATATCGTTATTTTTGGCAATCTCAAATTTACTTTCTCTTATTTTTTACCGTATCCCATTTCCTATGGTCGACAATGTTGCATTCACCGCTGCTCAGCCAGGTATCACGTCGCATCGAACCGTTCACGGCGTTTACGAGGTGAGGCTGAAGATTATTTCTATTTCCATAATTTGATATTTGATATGCAATAACCTAACCATACGCAACAAACTTCCTACGTATCCCGTCTCCACACCTGCCAAGGACTCGCTGCATCTCTCTCCGCTCAGGAGGTGAGGCTGAGGAAATACCACGGATTTGATATATCGGCCAATATTTGCCCATGCTGCCAAACGGCAAAAATAAATAACAAAATAACATACAACAGTACCTAAAGAGATCCCAGAATTTGGTGTATCGCCCTATATTTGCCTTTGCAGAAGAGCAAAAAATAAATAGCAAACAAAAAAAACATTACAACAGTGGGTATTCGCTGGTGGTCACCCACCCAACTACTAATCCACCGATCTCAAGCAATCCTCTAGATAATAGTTAAATCGGTGCCATCCAGCCTAGCGGGTGAGCCTCGCCGCCCTTACCCTTATTTTGTGATCGCGACCATCTACCTTGACCACCTAAAAGTGGGTCCATTTTTGACAACGCGTCGCACCGCGACAGTGGACGCCCACGGGTAAGTAGGGTGAGTGGGTGAGCATGCTAAGTAAGGTGAGCAGGGTGAGCAGGGTGTGACGGCGTAATGGGCACCAACCTTCCAACTTCCAATCAATTGTCAACCACGATAATGGCGAGACGTAGGAGCCTCAGGTTGCTACTAAGAGACGGGGCAAAGGGCAGTGGGAGGGACTTGAAGTTGCTCACGGAGAATATGAAGCAGATCCGGCAATTGATTCAGGAGAGCACGACTCTGTAAGCTGGCGCAGAAGCAAAGGTGATAGAACAGCAAGGTCAGACAAAGCGCATTGGTATTCAATACAAATCGAGACGAATGGCAGATAAATTGCAACCAGGGCAGATCTATAACTCCGACACATCCCTCATAAAAGTAATACTACCCCACCGTAGACTCACCTTGCCCTCCTTCAAATCCTCCAACTCCTCCGCCATTTCTTTCTCCACAACACCAAACAGTCTTTTTGCCTCGACTGTAGTCGGATCATCGTCTCCCAATTCTTCACTCGCCATCCTCGCAAACATCCGAATGACATACCCCGCTTCCTCCAGCGCTCCCTGCCTGAGCAATTCTTTCCCCATCCGCAATCCTTCCTGACGTCGCATCACCGCAGGCGTACTTCCATACAGCAACTTGAACATTTCCTCTTTCTTTTCTTTGTACGCTTCTCCGACCGCTTCATCATAGCAACAAGGCTGTCGGTGGAAGATCTCGAGTAGCAGGGTAGCGTGTACAGTGCTCAAGCTCTTCGGCCCAAACACCTTTTCCGTCGTCTCCAAAATCCGTACGAGGTACGCCTTGGCTTCGCCATGGGTAGCATGATCTTGCAGAAGAAGCATCACCTTCATTTTGCGCATCCACACATACATGTCCTTGTAATGCACCCGTGCAATGTCAGCTTCAGAGAGATCGACGGAAGGATACATCAGTTTGTCTACCAGGGCCGTTGCTTCTTCAGTTTCCCCTTGCTTCATGAGTAGCCGAAAGAGCTCGAATGATGCACACTCATACTTCAGATCGCCTGGGGTGTGCTGAGCTATAGTTTGGCGGAAGAAAACCATTGTGCTTTGGATATTGCCGGCCAGTCGGTCGCGTGCAGCTAGAACCTGCTGGGATTCAAGGGCTTCTGGCATTGGAGTCCCTCGGAAATGACAGACGATATAGGTCAGTAGCCACATTAGAAATGCCGACACCCGAGACTTCCAAGTACTTTCGAGTGGCAGATGGCTGATGCGATAATACAATGAGCTCAACTCTGGCTTTCCACGCCCAACGTATGCCGCAGCCACCGCTCTTGTGAGCTCAGAAAGTAGTGGAGTGAGATTAGGGCTCGGGTTTCTGTAGATCTCCTTTAAACAAGACTGGTCGAAAGTCGTGGCAGGCCGCGTTCCATCTTCGATTTGCTTGAGTGCTGCCATTGCCGATGGCGTCATTTGTTTCTTGAGATACTGTCTTATACACAAGTCATGCACCTCGTCTTCAAAATTGGAGTACGCTCCACAGATCCCCCGCACAGTCGCAGCAACTCCCAGCGTTATGGCCGTATATTCCGTATCCTCGGTATTTTCCAAACTGTCCATGACCATTATTGAGTACATATGTAGCTCCTGCATTAATCCAGCATCTCTCCACATAACAATATGCGAATGCATTAGAAAGGTGAGGCAGAACCATATCTCTGTCGACGGGAGGCCATTTTCTGGCTGCTTTAACCTATCTTTCACTGTTTCTAAGACGTGCTTGACGTGAGAGAAATGAGATCTCTCAAATGCATTCGCTTTTGTAAGCGTAAAGAGAGTATATGAAGAGAAATGAATCCATCTCCATTGATCGACCTGAGAAAGCCTCGCTTGCACACATTGATGGACGAGCCCATGCATCGAGATAAATGCGCCTTGTTCCGTCCTGCGAATCTGAATGAGAGAATAGGAAAGTAAAACCTTTTTCGCGTCATCAAAATCATCTGAATAGTCTTGATTCCAGTATTTGTGCATCTCTGTCACATGCTTTGAGACTAAGAGGCTTTCAGGTACAGCTGTCCCATCCAAAGCGCTTATCCAAGCAAGTAGATATTGTGCTTTAATGTTACGCTTGATAATGGCTGTTCGGGTCACCATATAAGTTGCCATCATGGATGATTTATGGCGACTAAAACGTGGAGATTCTTCGAGGACTTCCTTTTTTCTCTTCTCGAATTCCATCAAATAGTCCTCGGGCCTGGATGCCATGTCGTTGTTATGCACATAAGCACCTGCATGCTCAACAGCCAGAGCAAGGCGCCCAAGCTTGTTTACGATCTCGGTACAGACGGTCATTTGCTCCTTGGTCGGGTTTGCGATGCAGGCTTTCTGAAGGAACAGCGCTTCAGCATCTTCCTTTTTCATTTCTCCGAGCTCAATTGTAGCAGGACAAAAATTAGCTGCACCGCGATCCTGACTAGTGAGTATGATATGGCCCTTATTTCCATGAGGTATATACTCTTCAATGCTGACTCCATCGAGGTCGTCTGCATTGTCAATAATAAGAAGCCAATCCCCATTCTCTTGTTTTCGAAGCCAAGATTTGACAGCCTCGATTGCTGCAACCTGAGCAGCAACGTCTGTTTCAGCCAGTTCCTTTCCAACAGCTTCGGATAGACCAAGGTGGCTCGCAATATCAGCGTAACCTCTCCGAATTTCGGAAGTGTCTTTGGCATTGACAAAGAAGATCGCAGAGAAATCTTGACTGTACTGCAAAGCATAGTTGACCGCAACTTCGGTTTTGCCAGCGCCACCAATTCCCCAGATAACGGCTTGGCGTCGTTTTACTGAATTTTCCGCCGTCATGTACTGTCGCAGCTTTGCAAGCTCCTCTTGCCGGCCGGTGAAGTATGAGTTCGACATATCTTTGAGCATATTAATGGTGATTTTCTTGACCTTGCCTGTGATCGATGTTTTTGGTTAGTAGGTTCCACCAAGCAGTACCAGTGGCGTATTACCTGACACAACTGAGAAGGTATTAGCAAAATTAGATCAATCAATGGGCCAGACGAAAATAGGACGAATTCATTATGTTTCTCAAATACAGAAATTAGAGAACCGTACCCCTTTTCTGTTCATCATCTGTCTCCCACCGATGGTCTATTTTGATCGCCGCATCTTCCATCATTAGCAGAAGATGCCCAGATATTTTCTCATAACCATTATCGTCCCGTGACAGAAATCTGACCATATTTCGATGGTCAGCCATGATTGCCACTGCTTCTCCATCAGCAACTCCCGGAACCATTGCAGAGCCTATCGGTACAATCTGCGGCTCTTGTTAGAAGACTATATTAGCCCAGAGATCTTGCCTCTTACTATCATTGACTTGCCAAATGCAGTCGGCGTCGGCAGAGTCTCGTAAGCAAATTTCGTCGTAAACTGGTTACTTATGGTCGCAAACTGGCCCAACTGTTGATGCAGCAGCTGTGAATCCCTTTCCAGATTTTTGATAAATTTGGAATCAGCTTTGACGAATATGGACGCTATGTCGATGATTGCCCTTCCCAATGCGACTCCGTTGCCGCCTTGATGAGGAGTGCCCATGAAGACTATTCCATAAGTCGAGAGTGCGATTGCCTTGTGGTCTTCGAGTGCACCGTTCCTCGCAGCATCTGAATGGATCAAAGCCTAGACAAATAAGTATCTCCCTGCAAACTAATGTGAGGGAAATGGAACCTACGCTTTTCACAACGATACCTCCCAAGCTGTGAGCGATGAAAATGATAGGACGTCTCTGCGTCTACATCGGCGTTAACAATATCGATGCTGAGTTGGATAAGGTTAATACTTTTGTAAGCCGTCTTTTTAGACACAAATCGCTGATGAGGGTCCTTCCATGGTCATATATATGCTGCTGGTCAATGCCGTGGGTACCACCAAACACATCTGCGTTGTATCCCCAACTAAAGATCCTCGCATTTGGGAGATCAGTGGGAAGTAGATCTCGCAGCCAAAGAACATCATTTGCGGCAGTCCATGTCTTCTCTCGGTGGCCATTGAGTCCATGAAGAGCCACGATGCTCAATCCAATATTTAGCACGCGGTTTCAAGACACCAAGGTGAGGACGACTTACTCAACGATGGGGTCAGCTCCTTCAGCAAAGATCGCGAGTCCGAGCGATTTTGTTTCCGAGAGCGACTGCGAAATGACAGTCGACTTGGAATATTTGGATGATCGAGGGATGATCTGCCAAGGAAGCTTAGCAGCCGCTCATTCTGTAGCGCAATCTCAGCTTACTCGAGAGATACCGTCGAAGAGGTTTTTAGCAGGTCTCTCCATCGTGGATCTCAATAGTGCGTGAGATCGCGACGCGATGAAAGAGCCAAACGGAGAATGACAGACCAATATTCCTGAAGACCTACCGCCCTGACCTACCTGGACGCAAGATAAGCGCCCGAGGTCGCTTATGTTGACCTGGCCGCAGTCGCCAGACCAGGTAGAAAGCGGATTGGATACCAGTCAGTGCCACTCTCTCAGGTGCCAAGACGTCGTCGTCTGCAGCCCTGTGCAATATTTCTTGACATGGGTAAACTCAACCTGGTATGTGACCGATACCCCATCGCTAAGACGTTTCGTACAGAGCTAACATCTGTGCAGTTGAAGTGTCGCAATATGCAAAGTCAAGCTCGAAGCCTCTAATTGAAGAATCTGGTCAGTCCTCGGAAATGATATTTACCATCAGACGATAATAACTCCAAAACACCCCCTGCGAGGGTTAATACACAACATGTCGGTAATAAGCCCTGCTATAGATGAAGTATATATTGCAGGGGCGCACTCATCAGATCACCCAGAAAAAGAGACGTGCTTCGGTGTTGATACGAAAATGACGCGAAAGTGACGCCAAACTGACACGAAAATGTTGCTTCGCCTCACTCACCCTGCTCGCCCTGCTCACCCTTCGCCTCACCCTTCAGGCGGCAATGGGCCCCGATTCCGCGCTATGCCTATTAGCACGATTGAGGCTATCGTCTAGGTATTTAGAAAACAAAATCAAAAATATCAAAAAATAGCAAAAAAACATACAACAGTGGGTATTCGCTGGTGGTCACCCACCCAACTACTAATCCACCGATCTCAAGCTTGTGTATGGCAGAGCGGACGGGATGCCCAATTCTCTTGAGTCTATGGTCGTATGTAACAGTTTCTCTCTTAATGGGATATAAGTATACCATTATGCGCTAAGGTATATAGATACTTTAGTTACAGTCCTCTTCTACCTTGCACCTTTCCTATAAAAGCAGCTAAAAAAGAGAAAAGCAAAAACATACAATAGTAGATATTCGCTAGTAGGATGGTTGGTTAGCTTAGTGCTTTTACTTGTATTGCCTCTTCTAGCTCTAAAATCTACATATAGGCCTAGAGTGCACGTAACCCTCTAGGCTGACACTAGAGCCTCCTTACAACTAAATAAACCTGAAAATCAGCGTATATAGCTGTGCTTTGCTCATCTCTCCCCTACCTCTCGGCGCAACCAACGCCTAAGTTCTACAGAAACTCACCCTGGATCCTAGATAGACCGACCTCAACTATGGCGGCACCGTAGACGAGAGGGTCTTCGAACTATGCACAATATTGCTATCGGCTTGGCCGGAGAGAAGAAGGACCTGCGCAAGAGCGATCAGGACAGGCTCGAGCTCAACACCAAGCGCGATTGGATTGAGGAGGCTGCTGAGCTCGGTATTCGTGGAGCAGCCGCTCGCTGTTGTTCCAGCGCTGTTGAAGCAAACTCTGCAATCACGTTGTCAGGTTCTCGGCTGTAGTCAATCGTGATGGCACATAACACGGAAGCCGGAAACAACCCGAGCAACCCGTAGACCTTGTCATGAGGAGATGAGCAATTCCCACATTGTGCAAGAAGCTTCAGCTCCCGGATGAAAAGCGTCGTTTAGTGAACTTTCTATGTCACCTGGCTCTAGTGTCCTCCAAAGTGTAATTAATGCTAGGAGGTCCAATTTCGGCCTCAGCTCCTCTAGGACTGTCTAGACTCGGAATGGGTGACGAGAATATCGCCTACAGCTTGAAGAGTCGATAAGTAGAACACAGACTCTCCCTAATGTACGGTCGATGTCGTAGGGCTGACTGTCAGCTCCTGGATAATCCATAGTCGAGACCAGTACTCCTTCCGAAACATGAACGACAACTCTACCCGGACTATATCGCGTAAATGCAGCCTGCCAAATCCCAGTTCATCGTTATCGTCGGAATCTGCGCAGTTGTATTGGTCAAACACTAGTTCATCGACATCCTCTACTAATTCCTTAAGCTGTTCTTCTTCATCCTCTGCGGCTCCCTAGCTGCGATCCCGGGCCCTAAGAAGCTCCTCTAGAGCGCCCCTGCCATATTTTCTAAAGATCACCTCGCAAAGAACGAGTCCTTCCCCCGGTTTGTGCAGCCCAAGAATCTTCAGGTCCTCGTGTTCGTTCGTCCAGGCTATAACGGAAAAAGCCCGCCCAAATATATTCTTCACACGTATCACGTGGCTATTCCGGTCAACGATGTCGGCCTAGTTGATACACAGGGCGTCCGCCAAGACTTTCATACCGAGTTTGCATTCGAGAGTCTCCCGTAAGTCCCCCAGAGCCGCCTCTAGATGCTTACTCACAGCCGTGGCAATACCGTCCAGGAAAATTGTGGCCTTCTCCCCCGCGTAGTCTCCCCATGTATAGCTCAGGCAGGTGTAATCACAGACAATGCGGGGTAGCTAGGGACGGAGTGAGCTAATGACGCGGGAATGGGTCTCAGAACATTACAAGTCCATGTGAGTGAGCCCTAGCAAATATCTGTTGCTAGTATTTTTTGTTTTGCTGTGACTTTGCTTTGGCTGTGACAAAGGAAGATGGGTCAGTGTGTGTGTGTCGATGTGCTTGTTTAGCCACAGACTAAGAAGGACTGTTTTGAAGTAGGGGGTTGAAGATACTAATGAGATCATTTCGTAAGTGATAAGAAATTATGTTGAGGTTTGCTAAGATTCCTACCTCGAAAATGTGATGTTGGAGAGATGTATGAGTGTCTAGCTATGGGTCTAGACTCTATCCAAGGAGAATCTCAGATAGGTACAAGCATACACCAATTCTGCACGAAAACGGATGTGCCAAGTCTAAGCTTCGCGTTGAAGGCGAGAGCTTGTAGTATTGCTGTTTGGTATGCTCCTTGATGGCCATAAAAAGATATTCTAGACGTTAGAGGGGGAAACAAGAGAAAACGTAAAATTTGTGTAAAAAGCCAGAGATTGTTCTATCTCTGACTGTGAACTATTTGCCTAGGATGTATTTGTGGCTTTTAAATCGATGATTCGATTCTAGGCGAAGGAAGGAGGTTGAGCTGATGATGAGAAGAGACAGAGGATGTTCTGAGAATAAGAGATTCAATACCAGGGATAGGCGCACTAACAAAACTACATAAGTTGAAATCAGCGTATATTTTGGGACTCCGGCTGATTGAACATCAGGTATTAATTGGGAGATAATTATACTAAATAGGTGCAGCAATACATGCTATTCTCTCGCCACTCTTCTGGAATCTCGCGGAAACGACCACGGAGTCGGCGTGAGCAGAAGTCGACAAACTCCGAAACACATATAACTTTAAATATTAGGGCCAATGGACCGAGTTCATTTATGTACTTCAGCAGTTATTGCACTCTGTAGATGCAACAATCTGTGGGATACCCTCCTTTAGATAACCATCGATGTAAGCTTTTCCAAAACATTATAACTTTGAGTGTGCTCCAGAACAAAGTCTTGCACCACCATCCACAGAGATATCTTCGCCGTTTCTGAAGGTTTGTGTTAGCTTTATAAAAGGAATGGCTCCTGGCGTTACTTACATATAACTTCCTGCAGGGGAGGCCAAATATACCATCACACCAGCAATATCTTCTGGAATGCCCAATCTCTTCCTAGGATTTGAAGCATTTAATTCCTCCTCCCCTCCTAACTTCTCAATGAGACCAGCCGCAAGCTTACTCGGGAAGAAACCTGGTGCGACAACATTAGTAGTGATATTGCGAGGTCCGAGTTCGACCGCAAGATTTCGTCCCAAATGCTAAATACTTAGTCAGTACTCGCATCCGCAGAAGGATACTTTGGATATACTTACATGTGCAGCAGCCTTGGAGACTGAATACATAATCGTGCCATTCTCTCCAACATGAGGGACGTTGACACCAGCCGTCGAGCTGACAATGATAACTCTGCTAGGATCTCTCCGCGTCCCAGCAGCCTCTAACAATGGCAAGGATTTCTGCACCAAAGTGAATACTCCTCGAACATTCAAATCTAATATCTTGACACTACTCGCATCAGGCGCATCCTCGAATTTTGAACCCCAGGTCGCTCCCGCATTCGGGACCAGAATGTCCAATTTCCCTTCAGTCTTCTTGATCTTCTCAACCAACGCAATAATTTCGTTCGTGTTCGCTACATTGGCAGCAATGCCGACCGCAGATCCACTGATCCCCGGAAGAGCGTTGAGTTTTGCAACGGCTTGATCGATGCCATGCTCACCCCCAGCCTTACGCGCGGTGATGATCACCCGGGAAGCGCCAGCTTGGAGAAATGCTGTTGCAGTGTGAAGGCCAAGACCGCGGGAGCCTACCTTGAATGTCAGCTGGAAACTCGGCCTCCCTCACCTAAAATTAAAAGGGTACAGCCAATAAATGTAGACATACCACCAGTGATGAGCGCAACTTTACCGTCGAGGCGGAACAGTTTATTGAAATCCTGGAATTGGGACATGATAATGCTAGCTGTGTGCCTCTGGTGGTCCGTTTTGGAGTTGTGGGTGATGTATACTTAGAGTATGGCGGGCAAATCAACAGTCAATTGAAGGTTCTAGCACAGAGGAAATATCCAAGTTGGAAGAATTGTATTTCTGTGACCTTGAGGGTAAACGAACCCCGAAATACGCCCGATTACTTGGAGTTACCTCGGAAATGATTAGGCGATGCCTACCGTATTATAGCCACGGCTCGACGCTTTCCGCGCCAAAACATAACCTTTGGACCTTTGGACCTTTGGCTAGCCGAGGCTGACCAGCGCAAGGCTGTGGATATCTATGTGTACATAGTTGTCATGATAACCAAGTAACAATATTCTTTTGTACCTAATTTCTTTCCATTCGTGCACGTTAATTTCATCCTCATCAAGATGCCGTTCAAATCCCTCCACCCAGATCTAAGTATTCCAGAAACTGACGTCCTAACGTATCTCTTCCCTCCACTTGAGACGCCGAGCAAAGATCCACTATGGATCGATTCGAAAGACCCAAGCATCTCGCTATCGCCAGCAGAGCTCTTTCTTTGGGTTAGGCGCCTCGCCCTGGGCCTCGAGCGAACAGGTGCCAAAAAGGGAGAAGTTATTATGATTTACACACCAAACCACATATACGTGCCAGTCGCATATCTGGCGATCTTGAGCGCAGGCTATGCCTTCAGTGCCGCAAATCCCGCCTATACTTTGCGTGGTGAGAAAGGGGTCTTTCGAGAACATGGAGCATGAGCTAATAAGAACAAGAAATGATCCATCAAATTAAGAACACCGAAGCAAAGGTAATCCTTGCTCATCCAGATATGATGGAAACTGCGCTCGCGGCGGCCTCAAAATCCGGGGTCCCTTCTTGTCGCATCTTTCAGTTCTCAGATTCCTACTGCCCCCCACTTAAAGGTATTAAGGACTGGACAACTATGGCTGCTACCCCACAAGAAGGCGAGCGGTATATTTGGAGGAAGCTCACGCACAAACAATCCAAAACCGTAGTTGCAACAATCAACTACTCGTCTGGAACCACTGGACCACCAAAGGGAGTTTGCGTCAGCCATCACAACTTGATTGCGAATGTCGAACAAACGATATACATGCGCTTTCAAGAAAAGCCGTACGCATACGCCAATCGCCCACAAGAGCGATGGATTGGCTTCCTCCCGCTTTATCATGCATACGGCCAGCTTTACACAATACTCATGGCCGTGAAATTGAAGATTCCGGTCTACGTTATGAAACAATTCGTTTACCGCGATTTCCTGCAAGCCATCCAAGATTACAAGATCACAACCCTTCAAGTCGCACCACCGATTTTGGTCATGCTTGCGAAGAGAGCCGAGACAACCGAGTTTGATATCAGTAGTGTGAAGGATGTGCTATGCGGTGCAGCGCCGCTGTCAAAAGAGTTGCAGAATGAGTGCATGGCGCGCTTCGGATTTAACGTCGTGCAAGGGTGGGGGATGACCGAGGTTACATGCGGTGCAATTCATGTGCCTGGGGGGAGGAGAGACGACACAGGAAGTGTGGGTGAGCTGGATCCGAATTGCGAGTGCAAATTGCTGGACGATGACGGAAATGAGGTTGGTGTTGGAAAACCAGGAGAGATGTATATCCGGGGCCCAAACGTCTGCCTTGGTTACTGGAAAAACGATGTTGCCACAGAGGAATCAATCAGTTCGGATAAGTGGTTAAGAACCGGTGACGTGGCGGTTAGGAATGAAGCTGGATCCTTTTGGATTGTGGATCGTAAGAAGGTTCATACTCGGAACAGCCCTTCTCTTTGGATACGTTTTGTTGACAACGACAATTTAGGAACTCATCAAGGTAAACGCATTACAAGTTGCTCCTGCTGAGCTTGAATCTGTTCTTCTTGAGCATGAGGATATCGCTGATGCTGCCGTGGTTGGTATCACCCTACATAGCGAAGAATGGCCAAGAGCATACGTTGTTATGCAAGAGCATGCGAAGGGCAAGGTAACACCTCACGATATCCAGCAATGGATTAAGCCTAGAGTAGCAAAGCACAAATGGCTTGTAGGAGGAGTAACATTTATCACAGATGTGCCCAAACTTGCTAGCGGAAAAATTCAGAGGAAAGTTGTGAAAGATTGGGCAAAGGAAGATGCAAAGATATTAGAGACTAAAACCAAAGCAAGATTTTAGAAGCACATGAAAAATGAAATCATGTTATTTTTCGAAAGTAATTTCTTTACATTAAAGTTGGCCGCTCCGCCAAAGCAAGTAGCTGTAGTTAGGAATGCATCATCAGGTGATAAGAAGCCCAATTTTAATGATCAAGACCTCCATCCAAATAGTGTCTCAATCAATTGTGACTCGAATCTTCATCGTCGAAACCAACCTTCGCCTCTATATGGGCCGGGGTACGCAGTTAGCTCTTGCGGAAGCAGTCGGCGTGCACCAGCGGTTGTTCACCGCCACTTGACTATGGCAAATTTTACTATTGTTATAGCTATGTAAACTCATTCATGGAAGACCCTATACTATCTCAAGCCCCTGAGTGGCTTACTTCATACATCTAGCCTTGAAAACCGGACGTCAATTACTATAATTGAAGCTGTATCTGCAGCTTGGGAGGCATAAATATAGTAGAGAAAGCTTTGGCTATATAGACTTCTAAAGCTGAGTGGGAAGCCGAGAAACAGCTTTTGATGGAAGCCCGAGCCGCTGGCATAGCTGTTGCTCAGTGGGCAACAGAAGCGAGGGTTGGTTCCGACAATGATAAATTCCAGCTCACAAATCTAAATAGCGCCCGTACGGAACACCAAATTCTGCCAATTTGCATTTATCCTCATCTTGGTGGGTGCGATAAGCAAGGATGTAGAACCCCTGCACTAAAAGCGTTGTCTTGTAGTTTCCGGGAATGCCAAGAATGCGGGGAATGTGGAGTACGGGTACGTTTTTCCGACCTTGAGGAACTACTTCCCCGCATTTTGTTAGAATAGTGTCGGAGGCAGCATAGCCTCGACAGTCGCAAAAAGAGGCCCTAGAACAGTTTTGGGATGCCTAGTAAGTGGATATTGTGATATTCCAGGTAAATATCGTTGGATAGCCGAGTTATGTGGTTCGACTTTGTTGAGGAGCTGAGGAAAAATAGCCGGGATTGGGTTCCTGAGGAAACTCAGAACCCGAATACACTCCGGGCCTGGATATGCAAAAGCGAAGTGCAACTCGGAATTATTTAGACTAATTTGATCTAGCATTTGAGTGCCAACTAGTTGACACTATGGGACCCGAGGACCAGCCGAAACTGGTTCAAATGATCCGTTTCCTCTTGCGGTTCGATTTTCTCATTATCAAGATCGTGTACCTTCGTTCTTTAAGGAGAGAAGATGTCCCTTTGTTGTTTCTGGAAGTTGTCACAATCAAAGAAAAGAACAACGATGTCTCCATCTGCTGTTCTAAGTAACATTGAACCTGAGAATGCTCCACCGGTCATCTTAAAAGGCATTCAGGATGACAAGAGTGCATTAGTTGTTGTTGATGACATCGACGGCGCGAAGACTCCATTAGAAGTTACAAATGGCGTAGATATCGCGACTAGTCAATCTGTTACACCAAATGGCATTAACGGCGCCAATGGGCATGCAGAGTTCTCGTACCCAGAATCAGAAACTCAGGGCCCATACCAGGTTGTGCGCCAGTATCACTCAAAGCCTTCAAAATTACGCGTCGCTGGTATTGGAGCTGGCGCATCGGGTATGTATTGATGAGGTCTCAAAGTTATCGTATGCCGCTAATAGATCTGCAGGAATATGCCTGGCATACAAGATGGAGCAGATGCTCGAAGCTGGCTCATGGGAGTTGACGCTTTTTGAGAAGAACCCACACTACGGAGGAACCTGGTACGAGAACACGTAGGTTAATAGAAGTCATAATATTTTCAGGAAACCACGTTAATGTCTTTGCAGATACCCCGGAGTTGCTTGCGATATTCCATCCCACCTTTACACGTTCTCTTGGGACCCAAATCCAGATTGGAACCACTACTATGCGTATGGTCACGACATCCAGGCATACTTCGAAGGCTTCGTCAAACGACACGGGACGGAGAAATATATGCAGTTGAATACAAAGCTAGTTGAATCGGCATGGGATGACGAAGAAGGAATATGGAATATCACCCTTACAAACACCGTGACCGGCGAGATCACGAAGGATTGGGCGCACGTTGTTATCAACGGGACCGGAATCTTGAATAACTGGAAGTGGCCAGAAATCGAAGGTCTTCATGACTTCACGGGTCCAATATTGCACTCGGCTAACTGGGATCATTCCGTGGATTTGGCGGGTAAGACTATCGGTGTTATCGGCACTGGCTCGTCATCTGTCCAAATCGTCCCACAATTACAAAAGAGAGCAAAGGAGGTTCAGGTGTTTATGAGGAGTCCAACGTGGATCAGTCCTCCATTCGGCGGTGGTAAGTCTCATCACCTAAGAGGGATTATAAAAGTTCGCTGACGATTAACGTTTCAGGTGTCTTGGAGTCGGAACTGAAGAAGGGTGCAGAGTCGTCGCCTGCTGAGAGACAGTACACATTTACTGAGGAGGACAAGCGGAAATTTAAGGAAGATCCGAACCATCTGCTCCTCTTTAGGAAGAAGATTGAGGCCGAAATTAACTCATTGTTCGGCATGTACCAACAAGGATCCGAAGTCTCACAGAACTTCAGAGAGGTCATCACAGCCGAGATGAACAGACGACTAGGTGAGGGGCATGAAGAGCTGAAGGAGTTCATCATTCCTAAATGGTCCCCGGGATGCCGAAGAATCTCGCCTGGTGATGGATATCTCGAGGCTTTGGTTCAGGACAATGTTACGCCAGTGCTAAAAAATATCACGAAGGTCAACAAAGACGGGATTGTGACGGTAGATGGAAAACAGCACTATATGGACGTATTGGTCTGTGCAACGGGCTTCCAGGTTGCCTTCAAGCCTGCCTTCAAGATAATCAATGGCCGAGGAATAAGCCTTGATAAGGACTGGGGCAGTGGAGTAAATCTTTACATGGGCCTGTCCGCTCCTCGTTTCCCCAACATGTATACCATTGTGGTATGTATACTGCTGGACTAAAATTACCTTCCCCTGCTAACCCATGTATAGGGACCAGGCGCAACGTGGAGTAGTGGTACCTTATTGCCTTCCATCGAGACCTCTGTGGAGTATGCCGTTAAGATGATGCGAAAGATCCAGACGGATAAAATCAAGTCCATAGCCGTCAAGCAGGATGCCCTCGACGATATCTATAGCCACTTCGACGAGTTCCATAAGACCACCGTGTGGCAAGAAGAATGCCGAAGTTGGTTCAAGGACGGCAAGAGCAAAAACCGAATCTACCTATGGCCTGGCTCGGTATGTTGAGGTCATCTCCTAGCGTCGTTGTGGCGACACTGCTAATATATCACATCACAGACCATCCACTTCCTCAAGACCATCAAGGATCCGCGTTTCGAGGATTACGATATCAAGTATCGCCATAAAAACCGATTCGCATTCCTGGGCAACGGAGAAGTCAAGGCGCACACGCAGCAAAGCGTAGAGGGATTGGCTCCATACATTCGTTCCAGCGACCACGATTGGTGTGTCGGGTAGGCGGTTGTATTTATACACAACAACTCCTTATTCGCGTCAGCCCGTGCGTGTCTGTGTGTACAGAGTAGCCAATGATCCATCCCCATTTGTACATACATTTATAGGGATTTAATAGAGGAGTCCCTTCTATTGAATGAATTGCGTATAATTATTCAGTAAACATATACAAGTTATGCGGATACCGAACTTTGCTTCCTCTAACCTAAAGCGTTTGTCACGACTGTTAGCGATTCGTTAGCTGAAGAATTTAAGACAGATTAGGGCTAATCAGAGCCTTAGCTTCCCCCAGAGTGCCCTAGATCTAGCCACTAACTACATACTAGCGAAATCGGCCCAGTCTAGACAGATGTTCCATGAATCTTCAAGAGCCCCTTACCACTTCCATCTGGCCGGGACCTAGCCTTGGTACTTGCATTACGCTGCCACTCGGCTCCCCGCTTCCCCGCTTCCCCAAGCTCAGGTCCCACCCATCCGCTTTGTTCTCCCCTTCCCTAACAATTTACACCACGTCGCGCCGTCTCGTCCCTTCCCTCCTCTGTGCTTCTTCTTCTGTCTCCGTCTCAACCTCCATTTTCGTGCAGCCTCGCCCCTTCCCTCCTCTGTGCTTCTTCTTCCGTCTCCGTCTCAACCTCCATTTTCGTGCAGCCTCCTTCCCTCCTCTGTGCTTCTTCTTCCGTCTCCGTCTCAACCTCCATTTTCGTGCAGCCTCTCTCAATTACAGCCGTGCCACATTCGCTTTAGGCGCCTGAAATACATCTTCCGACTTTCTGAGAAAGGACTCCTAACCCCACCGTGATTGGGAAGTGACCGAGGCAATGGCTGACATGGCCTTCGACGGCACCTCTGCCATTCGGCCTGTTTCGCCGCCGCAGATGCAGCAACATCTGGAGCAACAAGCACAACAACCACAACAAGCACAACAGCAGCAAGAACCGCAACAACTACCGCTCCCACGGCCTCATGGTCCACCCTCTCCACCGGAACCAGCCCCGACCCGGAAAACGGGTAAACAAGGTGCCCCTCGTCACAGAGCCTCTACTGCGTGCGTCTCGTGTAGGGACCGACGAATACGAGTGAGTTTCTTATCTCCTGGGCGTCAGTTTTGATTTAATATCGGGAATGTAGTGTGTTGTACTAGAAGGGGAGCGGGGGTGCACCCAGTGCCAGCGGAACAGCAACGAGTGCATTATAAAGTTCGACGATGAGAGAAGGAGGTTAGCTCAAACCCTATGAGATCAGTCAGAAAAGAAGGCTAATGAGCCAGTAGACCTGTGTCAAAAGCGTACACAACGTCTTTGACAGAGCGCATTGCTCTTTTGGAAGGTATGCTGAAGGAATACGGCGCAGAACCTCCTGCGGCAGACCATCCACCAATTACGAAGGCCGAAGCCGCGCGTGGCCAACAAAGTTCTCCTGAAGCCAGCTCTCGTAAAAGCTCGAGACCAACCGCCGCGATACCTCAAAGCCAGACTCGGGGCAACGTTCGAAGTATGAGCCAAAATCGCACAACACCAAAGAGCCTTACCGATGAAGATGGTGAGGTCGGCGGCAACAGTCCGAAATTTGATGTTATTGAGGGGAATTCACCCAAGCGAATTCAGGATCCGAGGAGGGAGAGTCTAGTGGATATGCTCGTCTCAACTCGTGGCCATATGAGCTTCGACCAGCTTAGTGGATGTCTGCGATTCTTCGGTCCGACCACAAATTACCACATATATGCAGCGCATGAGTATGCTTTCATGGGCGTGGAGCCACCAGAACAAGCTCGTCGTACAGAGAGGATCATTCGATCCCTCCCAATGGAGACTCATGACTACCTTATGGGATTGTTCTGGGAATATTACAATACCGTTCTTCATATTGTGCACAAGGAAGCATTCACTGAGGACAGAGAAAACTCGGGAACGAAATATTACTCGGGGTTTCTACACATATGCATACTTGCTATAGGATATAGGTATGCAGATACCGAGAGAGAAGATATTAAGAAGATTACCGTCGGGCAGCGAGAATCTTTCCTACACCGAGAAGCAAAGTATATGCTAGATATCGAGCTGGAGCGACCAGGAGGCCTCACGTCTGTTCAAGCGTTCCTGCTCTTAGGAGACTTAGAATGCGGAGTTGGAAGAGACAACACGGGGTGGATGTTTGCTGGTACGTAACAAGCTTCGTGACTGTTCATATTTAGTAACTATTATTGATATATGTGATAGGTATGGCAAACAGGCTCTGTTTTGACATTGGATTACACCTTGATTGTGGGAACGAAGATCTTCCGGAGAAAGAGATACAAATTCGTAATATGACACTTTTCGCCTGTGTTATCTATGACAAGTAACCAACCATATTCTTGCTAGTCAAAACATAGAATCTTACTGACGAGGGCTAGATATTGGGCACTATTCCTCGGGCGGCCGACTGGTATAAAAAGCTCAGATCTGGAAATGTATCGCCTGGCCAACCAATTTTCGAGTCTTGGTAGGTGCAAACCTGCAGGACCGACGAAATCCCTAGAAACACAAATCTACGAACAACTCTTAGAGTTGATGGAAATATCTAGCAAAATCATCGAAATTGAAGACCCACGGGTCACTACAACGCAAGCAGTGAACGATAATGCGTACCTGCAAGTCATGAATCTCGATAGACAACTCCAAACTTGGTATCGACGGCTGCCAGAGAAACTCGCCTGGAAGCCTGCAAACATTCAAACAAACCCGTTCTCATTTTTCCTCTTACATCAGCAATACCATTGCAGTCTTATCCTCCTTCATCGGCCATGGGCTAAGTACGAAGATCAAATCGACAGTGATAAGCGCGAAGACGATTTCTCAAAAGTCGACAATGATTACTTCTACATGTCCCGGTCTACCTGTACTCGTCAAGCCGTTCGTGTGGCTCAAGTTTTCTGGCACCACCGCCAATCTCTTGACATCCGAAAGTGCTTTGTCACTGGCCTCCAGCATGCTGGCACTGCCGCAACTGCTCTTGTTGCCGCTATAGCTGTAATGACAGATGTCGATGAGCGCAAGAAGAACATGAAATACCTCGAATGCCTGGCAACGGCACTCCACGATATGGGCCCGACATATTATCCAGCCGATTCAATGTCTAATATCCTTCAGGCTGTGATGGTAGAGCTGAGTGAGTCGCGGGAGATTGGGTCTCCAATGGAATCGACTCTCAAATTAGGTGGTTCCCAGCGCCATGAGAGCCCAAGTCAGCAAGAAAATAGCGAACAGCGTGACTTCAAGAGGCGAGCTTCCTCAAAGTCAATGACACGACCAGAGATCTCCGAGTTCTCTCGCCCAATTCCTACTCAAGCGCCACCGTCTTTCAACCAACAAGCAAACAACAACAATGCTATTGAAAATCATAACCGAGGCAACTCCTATAATATGATCACGCCGCAAAGCGATGGTAGTGTGCCGAGGCCATTGTCAATTGATGGCCAAATACAGAATCGAGAAAGTATGACGCAGCAAATGGAGTACCCATTTGGCGTTTTTGGAATCGACCTTGACAGTATGCATGATGGTAGTATGTGGGATGGAGCATCGGGTCCACTGGCGTTATTTCAGGAAGACTTGACGGGTTTAGGCGATGAACAATGGAGTGGGGATAGGAACAATCAAGAGTTGGATTTCTTGGCACTTTGACTTTGCTTTGAGAAAGGGGGGTTTTGGCGGCGAATGTTAGTAAGGCGTTATGAAGCAATATAACTAGATTAGACCTTGAAGGGGAGTAACGTTGGTTGTAGCGTATTGAACATAGTGGCTTAATGAATGCCACTATGTCTATTACGCCACGACTTACGTTAAGTTATGATAGATAAATAAATAAATGCTGCAACAGCTTTTGATTATCTTAATAAATCACCTAGGAACTACTCTATTAGTTAATACCGACATGAGAACCCCATGCGAAAATTATTAGAAGTGCACTTATGGTTATCTATGGTAGTAGTAAAGTCTATTCGAACGCTTGTTGATCTAGAGGGCGATTTTATTAGAAAACTGCGGTTGATGTGATGATGGTAATAAAATAATTTATATTTTTGCCCATGATTCTAAAGTGTGAATTACAACTAGTAAGTCAAGTTAACCATAATAGTTTTCGGCTCAGTGAAGGCCCTTAGAGCATAGATTCCGGCCTCTCTGCCAACGCCACTCTGCTTGGTGCCACCAAACGGTGCGTTCTGGAACATCAAGCTCACGCAGTTCACACCAACCATACCGGAGTCAAGATCTGAGGCGACTCGCAGCGCTTTGTTGATGTCTTGGGTGAAGACACCGGCCATGAGACCGAATTGGGTGTCGTTTGAACGAGCGACAATCTCAGCCTCGTCCTTGAAGGTGTTGACGACTGCAACAGGACCGAAGATCTCTTCGGTGATTATCTCCGAGGTCTCGCCGACGTTAGTGAAGACGGTTGGCTGGATGTAAAAACCCTGATTGCACTGTTAGCTATAGGCATCACATGTCACGAGGAAATGATTTGGACTAACCTTCTCGCCAATTCGCGCACCTCCGGTCAGCAGTTCTCCGGGCCCCTTCTGTCCGCGCTCGATGAATCCGGTAACACGCTCGAACTGACCCCTGTCGACCAAAGGACCGAGTAGCGTGCTCTCATCATCTGGGTCACCGGCAGTGTTTGCCTTTGCAGCCACGGCCTTCTTGTATCCCTCGATGAACTTGGGCGCAATTCCTTCCTGTACATAGACTCTGCTGGCGGCGAAGCACACCTGTCCAGTGTTGGCAGTAATCGCGTTGCTGCACCAGGTAATTGCATTCTCCAAGTCGCAATCGTCGAACACGACAGCTGGGCTCTTGCCGCCAAGCTCAAGCGTAACGCGCTTCAAGTTGCTCTTCGCAGCAGCTTCTTGGATCTTCTTTCCGGTTGCGATGGAGCCAGTGAAGGAAACCTTTCTGATCTTCATGTGGCTGGCAAGAATAGCACCAGTCGATCCGTCACCAGAGAGGACTTGAAATACTCCTGGTGGGAATCCGGCCTCTTTGATGAGAGGACCAAGAGCGAGGGCTGCAAACGGCGTCTTCTCTGATGGCTTAAGAATGAAGCAATTTCCGGTCGCAAGTGCTGGGGCTGCCTTCAAGGCCGCAGTGCCCATTGGGCCGTTCCATGGGACGATACCGGCTGTGACTCCCAGAGGCTCGTTGCGTACGATCTTCATGAAGCCATCTTCTTGTGGGTAGGACTCACCGGCGAACTTATCGATCCAGCCGGCGTTGTATTTCCACGTCTGTGCCGCCAGGGCGGTCTCGAACTTTCCGAAGGAGCTGAATGGAGCGCCGAGGGTGATGCGAGTGAGCTCTGCAAGCACTGGGCCATGCTCGTTAATCAAATCGCCAAATTTGGTGAGGATGGCGTGGCGTTCTGCGGCGGAGACTTTCTTCCATTCCGGGAATGCGGCCTCTGCTGCAGCGATTGCGGCGTCAACGTCCTCGGCGCCCGCGACAGGGACATCGTTGGCGACTAGGGAATCGTCTTTGGGGTTGTAGACTTCGAGTTTTACGGAGCCTTTGGAGTCGACATATTCGTTGTTGATAAAGAGCTGCTTAGGCAGGTTGTCCTTGCTGAAGTTGAATGTGAAGCTCATCTTGTTAGAAGCGGAATAGACAAGGATATGATAGTTGGACGGATTTGAAGTTACTTGAGTTAAATTCAGAACAGCGCGGTCAGGAGGGTTGTTGCACGATAAATCTCAAGGAAGCGTCCTGGGGCACTGTAGTACTCTACAGAGATATCGCGGTGATACGGGGTATGTATCTATTGTGCTGTACCTTACTGAGATTCACGGGCATGGGGGATACATCCACAGAAAAGTACCCCGCATATACTGGCACGGCCGCACGAGTACATCTGCCGCAGAACCGTACCATCCGATTGATTGGCTCTACTGGATCCGCCATTCCAGACCAGCTTGGATGGTGCAGTTGTTAGCGTCACCACTAGCTTGGGAATAATGGAGACAGTGGGGGTGTGCGGGGGGAACCGAGCCAGGGTTAGGTTGCGGGGTAGTCGACCTGGGAAGATCTTTTCCTGGACCCTGCGCGGGGAACAACTATCAGAGGAAAGGATAGCCTGCCCTACGCGCCTGAGTTATCCGAAATGCTTTTACCGGACTCTTCGGAAGTGTACAGGATATGAATGAAGTTATGAATGGAGTTATGAATGGAGTTACGCCTAGTGGTCTTGGGAACGCCGCGGCTCTATGTGGTAGTCTCTACACTGTATTTACGTAGTAGGTACGGAAGAGAATCATCGTTTTCTTCCTTCATATCTCAAAATAAGTCCGTCACTTATTTCTCACCATTCAAGCCACGAGTCATCCATCTATCAGAACCTACTCTCCACCATCTTACTCACGTCAATATACTACGTCGTCAAGATGTCCACCATGAAGGCAGCACAATGGGATCCGGTAGGCCTTAAAAAATCCATTTATCCAAGGTCATAGCATTCTAACAATCGGCAAAAAGACCCAGAAGAAGATCGTCGTCAACGAGATCCCGATTCCAGAGCCAGGGCCAAATCAATTCCTAGTCAAGACCACCTCGGCCTCCCTCTGCCACAGCGATATAATGGCAATAGATACTCCCGGCCGTGAAAAGCCCATCACTCTCGGTCATGAAGGAGCGGGCAGGATTGCAAAAATCCATCCCAGCGCGGAAGGCAAGGGCTTTAAGGAAGGCGACGACATAGGTTTCCTATATATCGTCGGCTGCTGTTTCGAATGCGACGGATGCCTAGTCCACAACTTACATTGCGAGACCGGAAAACAGCTGCTGCAGGGCTTCACAACAGACGGCTTCTTCGCCGAATATGCAGTCGTCGACTACCAGAATGCTGTCATTCTCCCAACGGGCTTAGATCCAAGGAAAGCCTCTCCAATCTTCTGCGCAGGTATCACTGCTTTCCACTCCGTCGATTCGTCCGAACTGAAGGAGGGCGACTGGTTCGGCGTAGTTGGTTGTGGTGGCCTCGGCCAGCTCGCAACTCAATACGCGAAGGCCATGGGTGCCAAAGTCGTTGGTATCGACATCAACGATGAAGTCCTCGCCACATGCAAGTCACAAGGCGCTGACGCGATTTTCAACTCTCGCACAAACCCCAACTGGGCAGAAGATGTCCGGACCCTCACTAACGGTGGAGTCAAGTCCGTAGCCGTGTATAGCAACGCCCAAGTGGCCTACGCCACTGCTCCCTCGATTATCAAACTCGGTGGCATTCTGATGGTTATCGGCATTGCGCACAAGCCGATCGAGGTGTCAACTATGGACTTGACTATTGGAAAGTACCGTATCAAGGCGGAGAGTACGAGCATACCGCAGCGAATGAACAAGGCGATTGAGTTCACCGCGAAGTATAATATCACCCCGGAGGTGCAGACTTTTGATAAGCTGGACGATCTGGCGGGGATGGTGGAGCTAATGAAGGCGGGGAAATTCACAAAGCGTATGGTTATTGTTTTCTAGGTTGATGCTGCAAAATATCCCAGTTGAGAATTGTACATACAGAGTTAATCGTTCGTTCACTCCTACACTACCAGAGGTGATTTAAAAATAAGTTATTAACCGAAGTCCTAAAAGCTGTGGACTGTAAATGTAGTGTGCCTTAAGCTGTACATTCTTAGGCAAGATCATCACAGGTTCTACAATGGCCTAGATTTAGTCTTTGTTCACTCATAATCACCTTCCATAAATTTACGAGCGAAGCAGGAAAATCAACTATAATTGTAATTACATAAATTTAAATATTTTATTGGTATTTCACATGTGGTAATATGGCCATTGTATGTTGTGTCTAAAAATATGATTATTTATTATTACATTAATATGTTCGATAAATAATCACCTCGCGACTATTTTTATAAGGCCTCAAGTCGGTCGATAATGATAAAGTTGAAGAACACATTCAATAAATAAATCGATCAATTTTTTCATAGCTAATCATTACATCGCATATATCCCCTAGATCCGTCCTCGTCTAAGGAACTTGTTTGGAATATCCACATGCTTCGCCCTCAAATACTCGCAAACGTTCTTTCCTAGACCATCCACCGTGCTGCTGGCGTTATACGATCTATCTAGATGATCGTGGAGCAAGAAATGCACAGCTCTTAAACCTGGAATCTCGAAACGATCAATCTCTTTGCCATTGTATTCTGCTCCAAGTAGTTCTTTCATTTTCTCCACGGTTAGCATGCTTCTGATCCATTCCCACTCATCGTCGTTCTCAACAAAGAGACCGACGTTGGCATCGGAGGCCTTGTCGCCGGAGCGACCGAGCACGCGCCAGCCGATCGGGCAGCGAGTCGTTGGGCCGAAGGAATTTAGCGGGACGGGATTCTTAGTCTCATAGCTCCATTGCCTGGTCTCGTAGAGCTGCATGGCAGTCGATGGCGGGATGTCGATGGCCTTATTCTCCCAGGTCAGGTTAACCTTATGGCTGACCTCGGACTGTGGTAGGAGCGCAACCCAGTACTCGTAGAACTCCTTTCCGGCAGACTGGCGGATGTCGTTCCCAATAGTGGCACCCGGTGCGGATTGCAAGAAGTTCTCGAGGCAATATCGATTGAAACCTGGGACATCAAGAGTGTCCTTGACCATAAGAGAGCGATCTTTGCTCTGTGCAAATATACGAAAGTCAACGGTTGCACGGTTTTGGTCGCGTGGATCCTCTGCAGCAGTGCCTATTTGTTGGAACTCGAGGCAGGAGAACTTGCCCACGTTATCGCCCATCGACTTGCGGATCTGTCTCTCGGTCCATTCACACTTGTCATCAATATCGAGACCGACAAAATAAAAGTGGAATTCAGCTTGATAGCCCCCGACGGCCGTGAGACCAACCTTAGTGGTTGTTGGTGGCGGCTTGCCCTTAACACCTGTGATGCGTACGAGGTCGTCAGCTTCTTGGACCATGTCGATGCCCTCGAGAACGGCAACAACGTCAGAACCGTAGTACTGTGGGCCTTGAATCTCATAGAGCAGTTGAGAAACAACGGTGCCGACGTTGATAGCACCGCCAGTTTCTGGCTCTTTCTCGAGAGTGCAGGAGCCGTCGGGAAAGACCGCGGCAATGGGGAAGCCAAGGTTCTCGCAGCCGTCAAATAACCTCTTAAAACCAGAATAGTAGCCTCCAGCTACATAAGAGGAGCACTCGATGAGGTGACCAGCGATCAGTGCACCCGCAATCTCATCAAAGTTTGTGTTCCTATCCCACCCGTGCCACCACATAGCAGCTCCAATTGTAGGTGCAGCATCTGCTACGCGGCCACAGATGACAATGTCAGCGCCATTCTTGAAAGCCTCCGAAATACCGGCGCCGCCAAGGTAACATCTATGATATGATCAGTCGCAGTTTTTTGTCAAGTCTGTCACACGTGCCGAAACTTACTGTGCAGCTACGGGGTCGAAACCCCAATCCTCCAGATTCCCGCCGAAGCAGATATTCTCAAATTTGTGTCCCTCCTTTAAGAGTTTGTTGACAACATCTGAGACCTCATCGCCCTGCACCCAGGCGACCTTTAGGTTAAGTCCCTGCTTCTTGACCTCCTGCACGACAGTTTTCGCCAGCAACTCGGTGTCACTGCTGCCTGCGTTCACAGCCAACTTGATGCCTTTCTTCTCGAGATAAGGCAACGCAGGTGAGACATTTTCCATGAAGGACGGGTCGTAAAGGCCTTGTCTGTCGGTATCGCTAACTGAGTTGGCGACAACGTTGGCTTTGGCAGCACCGTGCCATGACATGGTACATTCACTCATCCAGTCGCCGACAATGACATCGACATCACATTTTGCGAGGTCAAGGATGGCCCGTTGGCGGTCAGTAAAGCCGCCAGAGGCGCCAGCGATGCGGATTGCTCTCTTCGGGGTAAACATTATGTTGGCAGTAGTAGAGGTAGGAAGGAAAGGTTAAAGTGACATGGAGTAGAATAGGGATTGTCGAACCTTTTCACCCAAATATATCAACTCATCGGGAGGCGATACCACCAGCGATAAATCTCAAAATGGTCACAGGAACTCAATGAAAAGCGGAGATGTCGGGATCAATGTGATGCCGTGTTATGCGGGCTTGGTGGGGTGCGTTCATATGTAATTCACTTGGTAGATTTTGCGATGGGATAATCATGACACTCGAAGCTTCCCCGCATGGGCAGCGGGGCTTAGCTTGGACGGAAAATAACATCCGCCGCTAGCACATCGAAAATGGGGTTATGCGGTTGATTTAGTGGGCTGTAGGCAGAAAAATGAAAGCTAGCAATCCTCACTGAAAACATGTCACAGGAACTACACTCCGCCGGCGTAGAGGCTGAGAGAAGCGACGTTCCGCACGCTGTCATGAATCCCCTTGACCAAACAGCGACCCGCGGTGGGTGGCCGTAGGCCAGCGAGTTGTTTCCATCAGAATTGACCTCTCTTGGAGTTCATAGCTTGGGAACATGGTCGCACCCGATTTTAGGATGTACAGTTTGAGGATGAGATTTCTGTATTTTCTACGAAATGGTACGGAGTGATAGAGCCCACGATTGCAGGCCGTACTCTCCTTCCAAGTAACTAGTCCCTATGGCGTAGCTTCATTTACTCATGCATATTCATCCTCCCATAGATTGGATTAGTCGATATCTATCAAGAAAGAATGAACTCAATTGCCTTCTGCAATTTTTGATGGAAATCTTTCGTGATAGGCTCAAGATGCTTCGAAGGGAACGCCCAGAACCAATGCGGGTAACCCTCAAACTCGTCATATCTGTTCGGGACCCTAGTTTTAGAATTCGTCAGCAAAGTAATCACATTGAAGTTTCTTAGCATCAACATACCCAGCATTGTCCAACGCCTTCTTGAATAGCCGACCATCATCTCTCAAGGTATCCATTCCTGCAGTAACAATATAGGTTTTTGGCAAATCTTTGATTCTCTTGTGCAATAGCGGTGACGTGTAATGATCTGTTAGAGGAGGGTCATAAGCGTCTATAATTTTATGTTAGCAATTGATCTCTGTGATCAATATAGGTAAGTGCTTACCGAAGAATGCTCTCATGGCTGAATTTGTGTTTATGGTATACTCTGCATTCTCCTCATAACTAATGAACTCCGATTTAAACTCCGCTGGGCAAGCGTCTGGGTGAACGGTGACTGGAACAAGGGCCACAATACCCTTCACAGTCCCTCCCAATCCCGCATCGATCAGATTAAGAGCAAGTCCCAGAGCAAGACCACCACCTGCTGAGCCTCCAATAGTGAATACCTGACCAGCGGTTGTATTCAAGTAACCTGTATTCTCAATAACCCAGTGATATGCAGCGACACAATCTTCTAGTGCTATAGGGTACTTATGCTTCGGGGCGAGGCGGTAGTCCACAGACACGAGGACGGTTCCTGTATCTATAGCGATTGATCTGCAGAACCCATCCTCCCCGTCCAGATCTCCAAACACCCAACCGCCGCCGTGCATAAAAATACCTGCTGGTTTTCCCCCAGTGTAATTCGGTGGGGTGTAAATTCGCACTGTCACATCTGGAGATATCGCCTTATCTTCAGTCTTCACAGATATATCGGGAGCTGGGAAGGTTAGCTTGGAGCCCAGAACACCTGAAAACTGAGTCCAGCCATTGAGGAGGTCGTTAAATGTTGGGCCATGGAGAGTTTGCCTGCCTCCAAGCTCTTTTTCGAACTGATAACATGAATAAGTATGAAGTTCTCGACGCTCATGCTCACACGTACCTCCAACCAAGCCGGCGCAAATGAATTCTCTCTAGACATTTTCGTTCCGAGGTTAAAATGCTGCAGTGCGGGTAAGATACGAATTTTAGCAATCCATCAGGTTGTGTGGTGCCATTTAATAATCCGTCCACAATTTGGTGATATTCGTCGGGTCTTATTTTAGTGTACAACCTCGGCTTAAGGATCAATTTAGTGGCGGATAAAGGTTGCCGGTCGCTAGATCTTAGTCTGGAGGAACAGTGCCTTCAAGGTACTCAATCCATTCATAGGTACCGAGATTCCTTCGCATAATCACTATTTATCACAACATTCCATTCTTGATCTGCAAATTCTACACAGTTACTAAACTATACAAAAATGGACGGGCCAGCATTCCAACGCATCCCACCATGGGTTAAGGCCAAACTTACACCAAAGGCAATTACGACAATCCAGGAAGTCTACGACTGGGTTGAAAATGAGTGTATTCCCGCAGAGGAGGTCATGGAGGCGGCACTGAAGGAGCACAGATGGACAACTCCGCCGATCATGAAAGAATTACGAAAGAAGGCGAAGGCTCGGGGTCTTTTCAATTTGTTTCTTCCGAACCATTTCGAGGAGAGTCCCGGACTCACCAACCTAGAATATTCCTGCTGTGCTGAGATTATGGGAAGATGTTATTGGGCCGCACAAGTATGTTTGTCAGATCGCAATACAGGCGAGGAGCTCCGCTAATCCATGGCCAGACAATGAACTGCCATGCGCCAGATACTGGTAACATTGAGTTATTAGCAAAGTACTGCAACAAGGAGCAGAAGGAGAAGTGGCTCAAACCCTTACTAGAAGGCGATGTCATGTCGTCTTATTCCATGACCGAGCCTGATGTCGCCTCCTCCGACGCAACCCAGATCTCCTGCTCCATCCGCCGCGAGGGCAACGAGTACGTGATCAACGGGCGCAAGCTATTCGGCAACTCGCTCGACAACCCCGAGATGAAGACCATCATCCTCATGGGCTGCTCTGACCCGACCAACCCGTCCAAATGGAACCGCCACTCTATGGTCCTTGTCCCCGCCAACTCCAAGGGCCTGACCCAAGTCCGAAATCTCACTATCATGGGCGAGGATCATGCCCCCAATGGTCACGGCCAGTTCGTCTACGACAATGTTCGCATCCCAGTCGAGAACATTATTCTCGGCGAGGGCCGTGCGTTCGAGATTGCGCAGGGCCGCCTCGGCCCCGGCCGCATCCACCACTGCATGCGCCTCATCGGACAGTGTGAGCGAGCCTACGAGCTAGCGCTGATCCGCTGCATCGACCCGAGCAAGATGCCACGCGGGAAGCTCATCGGGCAGTTCGACTCGAACATCGAGAAGATTGCGCAGATGCGCCTCGAGATCGACTCCATGCGGCTGGTCGTCTTGAATGCTGCCGACACCATGGATCTCCTCGGCAACAAGGCGGGTAAGTATGCGATCGCACAGAGCAAGATCTTGGTGCCCATAGCGGCGGCGAAGATCATCGACGAGTGTATGCAGTTGTATGGCGGTGCAGGGTTGACGCAGCTTACCCCCTTGCCATCGATGTGGACGTACGCAAGGTTTGTGAGATTAGCAGATGGGCCCGATGCGGCGCATAGACATCAGGTGGGCAGAGATGAGATGAAGACTGCGGCAGGTTTTAGGGATAGGCATGCTAAGTACAAAGAGGGTTCGAAAGTCCTCGCGAAGAAGTGGCTGTGAGGGATAGAATCATTTTGTATGCGAGAGAGGCATTTTCCTATTGTATATCGATTACAAGGGCTTAATATATTAGGATTACATATTCAGAAGCGGAATTGTTAGTTCTAACTGTTTATTTAAAAAGTGAAGTTATAGAGGTGTGACGCGACTTTAACACCAATTAACTTTAACCCTTAATTTCAGATGGTTATAGAAGCTTTGTCTGAGCTACTCTACTGCCCATTGTATAGAAAATGGCATTAGCTTACTTATAATGTCATCTGATTGTTTGCATATTCTTTAACTGCTCGATCTTGGGGGGGTTTAGATACTATATGTTGCGCTTGTATCGTATAGTAGGGAGAAAATATTATTTTGATACTTCTTGATATTACTATTATACGCAATCTAGGTAACTATTATATAAGCTATTATCCTAACAAACGGACCCGATTTCCACTAGAGAAGATCATCTTAATGACTTGTCTAGAGCCAGCGGCGTGGCGCCTGTGAGCTGTTTTCTATTTCGTCAGAATGCCCCTGAATTGAGGAGACTAACGAGGTGAGCGGTTCGCGGGAACAAGCGGAGCCTTTAGGAAACAGGAACATTTCCAACATTTTATTCCATCGTCTATCTCATGGAATAATCTTAGCCTTTCTAAACCTATCAAACGTCATCCACCAAGACCCCTCCTCATCCAGTTCCTCCTTCATGTCCCCCCAAGCTTCATGCGCCCTTCTCATATCTAGCTGTCGATCAAAATCAAACATGCTCATGATGAAATGTTGAAAGCCCCCAGAGGATCTCTCATTCCCCACGCGGCCCGTTTGCAGTCCATACTTCATCTCCAGCTCTTTCCACCGCACCATATGCTGCTCGACGTATCGTCCTGGTTGTGGTCCCGAGCCTCCAGGTGGCGGCGCGGTGCCTTTGAGACCAAAGTACTCGCATATCACGGGCCACTTGTGGGACCACGACGAAGGTGTGGCACTGTCAGCGATGTTGAAGCGCCCCCCCGCACTAACTTCCGGGTGCAAGCTCGCGTGGACGGCAAACTTGGCGACACTGTCTTGATTGCATTCGTTGCTCAGAATGGCCCAGCTCTTCTCAGTGCCGGGGAAGGCGCACTCGGCGCCCTTGCCTTCGACGGCGACGTACAGGGCGAGATAGGTGGCCAGGGTCTGCGCGAGACAGTAGATGTTGTTGTTGGGTACGAAGCCGATGATGTTGTCGGGGATGACTTCGCACCAGTTCCAGGCTTTGCCCGCCGAGAGCTTCTTTAGCGTGTCGATCTGGGCATAGTAGAACATCTGCGAGACGTAGGGCTCGGGAATTGGGGGGAGGTCTTCGTGGAGGGGTAGGGAGTCACCGAAGGGGAACTTGTCGAGAAGGTGGACGCCGTATGTCTTGGTGCCCGTGGCCATGACGACGAATTGGAGGTTCGGGGAGAGGTTCTGGACGGCGGTTATGGCGCGCGTGAGCAGTTGGATGTTGATTTCGACCTCTTTGGCTGGGTCTTGGTCCATGATGTATGCTGCAAGAGACGGTCAGCTTTTGTCGCAGAGGTTGGGAAAGGAAGCTCGCTTCGCACCGAAGAAGTACACGTGTGTCACCTTCTCAATCCCCTTAATTCCCCTCTTCATGTCTTGCTCCAACCCGTCCTGGCCCTTAGTGGTGAGCAGATCTAGTCCACTCACGACCTGCAGGATGTCGGAGTCGGGCCATTGAGCGACTTCGCGGCTCAGCGGCCTGTTGGTCAGCGCTGTGACGGACTGGAAAGGGCTTGTATCAGGATATCCGTTAATTATAGCATTTGTGATGGCCCATCCAGTAATTCCACTCGCACCTGGACGAGGAGAGTTAGTCACGTGGACAGAACTGGAGGCGAGCGAGTGACGGGTTCACGCACCAAAAACCAAGGCATGATTCTGTGCCATGACCCCAGTCAGTCGATTCAGTCTGCAGTTGTAGAATATAAAACGGAGCAAAGAATAACGCAAATACGGATGGATGGGAACAAGAAACACCAATTAACTGTTTTTCGTCTCTCTCTAGGGAATTGAGGGGGAGATGTGGGCTTCTCTGGACATACTGTACTGTGCAGTAACCCATTGTATAAATGTATGAATGTATAGATTAGTACATGCTCTCTAGCGTCTTCCAGAGCTCGCATTCCTGGTACCTGGGTGGATCGTGGGGGTAGGTCCTCCCCTGCCGCTAGCGCTAGTTGCATTTGGAGACGCTAGTATTTGCAGGGGGGAGGGGGCCGGGGGCGGCACGCACAGTCTGGATAACGTTTTCCGGGAGGAGGGACAATGGACGGGAGTAGGGACCGGCATCAGACAAGACAGTAAGGAGTACATAGTGGAGTGAATACTTGTCATGGATGGTATCGCGTCTACTACAGTACGTAGTATGGCAGGTCTTCGTTCTAGGTATGGATTAGAGGCATGGGCTGTAAGGCATGCACTATGGTCGGATTCATGTGGCGAGGCTGCCGCTCTGCCCAGTCCCCAGCTTCCCCGGCTTCCTCAGCTTCCCCAGATTCCATTCGTCCTCCCTCGGAGAGACTGTCTCTTTGGCACTAACAGCCTGTCACCCCGCACATTAGCCTTGGTGCGCAATGGTGCTAGAGACATGGATTTAGAGACATATGGGAAAAGGGCGCCCGACCGGCTTTCGGCTCACGAAACCCATCGAGACCTCCCCTAACACTTTCTTGTCCACGCTCAAGAGACTGGCGATTCGTGTGAGTAGTGCCGACTTTTCTCAGATATATCCCCTTCTATTCCGTGCTTTCTAACCCCCAACTCCCTCCATCTCTCAATCCACAACTATCCCCCTTTAATTCTCCATCCCCTTCCTTGTCTTCCCCTTTCATCCTCGCAATGTCTGCTCAATCGATTGCTGACCATCCAAGGCGGCGCATGGATGCTCCTATCAACGCCGAGAGACACGTCAATATTATCTGTGTGGGAGCTGGCGCATCGGGCCTCTTGCTCGCGTACAAGTTACAGAAACATTTCCAGAACTTCTCCTTGACTGTCTACGAGAAGAACACGGAGGTGTCAGGCACGTGGTGGGAGAACAAATACCCCGGGTAGGTCATTATCCGTCCCGCGACCTCTCCAGCTCCCCATTCTGACTGACGCGCCTCATAGCTGTGCGTGCGATGTGCCATCCCACAACTATACTTGGAGTTTTGAGCCAAAACTAGACTGGTCCGGCGTCTACGCTGGTAGCCAGGAGATTTTTGCATATTTCAACGACTTCTCCCGCAAATACGGCCTAGGTAAATATATCAAGACCGAGCATCTCGTCTCCGGTGCCCACTGGAACCACCAGAAGGGCGGATATGATGTGACGGCCAAGGACCTGAAAACCGGCAAGGAGGTCCACGATCACTGCGACATCCTCATTAATGCCAGCGGAATTTTGAACAACTGGAGGTGGCCAGCAATTCCAGGTCTTGACAAGTACAAGGGAAAGCTCCTGCACACAGCCAATTGGGACGATACTGTCTCGCTCGACGGCAAGCACGTCGGTCTTATCGGTAATGGGTAGGTCGAATACTAATTCCAGACAAGAGAAATTACTGACAGAACTAGATCCTCCGGTATCCAGGTCCTTCCAGCCATCCGCGAGAAGGTTAGCCACGTGACCACGTTCATCCGTGAGCCAACATGGGTTTCACCAGTCCAAGGTCTAGAAGGTCATGTTTACTCTCCGGAGGAGCTCCACGACTTTGCAACAAAGCCAGGAACCCTCACTGAATACCGCAAAAACATCGAGCGCGGTCTGAACGGCCAATTCGGCATCTTCCTGAAGGGTGCGCAACCAAACGTTGACACCAGGAAATACATGCTTGAGCAAATGAAAGAGAAGATCAACAACAAATATCTTGAGGAGAAGCTCATTCCAGACTGGTCCGTTGGATGCCGAAGACTTACACCTGGCATCAACTACCTCGAGTCGCTCACTAAGCCGAACGTCACTGTCGTCTATGGCGAAATCAACGAGGTCACCGAGAAGGGCTGCCTCAGCGATGACGGCCAGGAATACCCTGTCGATGTCCTCATATGCGCCACCGGCTTTGACACCACCTTCAAACCACGCTTTCCTCTCATCGCTCCCAACGGCAAGAATCTGCAAGATGTCTGGTCGGGGGAGCCGCAATCATACCTCGGACTCGGTGCTGCCGGATTCCCCAACTACATGATCTTCGTCGGCCCCAACTCACCAATCGGCAACGGGCCGGTGTTATCGGCGATCGAGGCCCAGGCAGATTACATGCTGAAGATGATCGACCGTTTCCAGTCCCAGAATATCACCACCTTCGCTCCCCGCCAAGAGGCCGTCGACGACTTCATCAACTTCAAGAACGAATTCATGACCAAGACCGTATGGTTCGATCCTTGCCGCTCGTGGTACAAAGCTGGACCAGACGCTCCCATCACGGCGCTTTGGCCTGGATCGACGCTCCACTACATCGAGGCGCTCATGGAGCCCCGCATCGACGATTGGGAAATCAAGTATGCGGGTAACAGATTCACGTATCTGGGTAATGGATACAGCCAGACAGAATTGGACCCGACTGCCGACTGGGGGTACTATATCAGAGACCACGACGACGATGGGCCATTAAGCACAGGCGGAAAGAGGAAGCTGATTTCGAAGAGTGGGACGATGGCTGGTAATTCCGGTGTTGTTTTTTCGGGCTATAAGGAGGAGAAGGCGCAATTGTAAACATGTTATATATCTATCGATTTGAAGAATTTGTATATAGGCAAGAGGTCAATGTTGAATAGATTTGGTTATTGAGTAGGAAGATAATGAGAATGCACCTGTATGACTTGACCTGTTGGCCACAGCAACAGTTAAACCTTCTGTCCACATTGCAGCGCTCTCAGTTCTTGCCTTCTCCTGACAACGGGCAAACTTTCTCCCATCACCTCCCATGCCTTTTACCACCTAAGGGTAATATGATCTTGTAAATATGTCAAAGACTTAGGGTTTTCCGATTTTAGAGAAGCATGGGCAGGAACAGGATCCGCGGACTTAGTTACCCTACGCCGCTATTCGGGGATGGTGTCAGAGCATGTGTCTTTGTGCTTACTCAAACTACAATCTACACTCCTACAAACTCGTAAGCTAACTATAATACATTCGATTGCAATGCACACGTGCAGCTCTAGTAGCAGTTTTTAGGAAAACGCGGGTCCGAGTACAGCCCTCGTTACCTTCTTTTTGGACAACTGTTCAATAAATGGCAGGTATCTCATTCAGACGCTGAACATCTCCGTGGCGGTTGCAACGTATATCAGCTCCTCCATTTAACTTTTCATGGCTCGCCTTTGTTTGACTACGAAGGTGATGGGCCTCGATGCGTAGTTCTTGATATGACGAGGCTCAAGAGGTGTGAGATTAACGCGTCTACTTTCTGTTTACTTTCAATAGACGCGTATATCCAGATGGAGTACCCACCATTCGCGACCAAGGCGCTCCGACCGAAACTCGCCGTCAGCGAAGCTACGACAGAGATCGCCTTAGCCGTCTCCTCTTGTAGTAACACGCGTCATGTCACAATGGCTGTGACTTCGTCCAATGAAACTCGGCACAGGCCGGAGAAGTGTATCCGGCCAGGTGAAGGGCCTCGGTAGGGCGCGGGCGGGGATAACTTAGGCCCACGCCCCAGATTTCCCCGCAATCTAGGTCCAACTAGCAGATTTTGGCAGGGACCGTTGGCACGGGCCAGGCAATTCGGGTGGGAAAAGGCAGACTATCGATAATAGATAGATCAAGTGCACATTATATTGTGGCTGCCGCATGGAACACGCAGGCTTCTCCGCACTCGCGTATGTCACACTGTGCAATTCCGCACAGCCCCGCCTGCACAATGCCCCATAACCCCGCACGATACATGAGAAAAAGTACATGCGTCCATCCAGGAGCTTCGGGCTTCCATTACCCAACATCTACCGCTCAAATCGTCTCCTTTTATCATATTGAGCATAAGTCATAGACGGGCTTATTATCAGCAACATCCAACCCCATATTACGTTGCTCTTTTCCTTAGCTGTAACCGATCTTGTCATCTACAACGTCTGTGCTTTATCAGATCTTAATAACTTCTTCAGCTATGTTTAATATATATGGTAATGTCCAGTTTGTACCTGGAAAGTATGACGCTGTGAGTTTTTCTCCTTAACATCAACCCGTTCGGCCCGTTACGTTCTATCGGAATCATTGCCTAACGTGAATATTCAGTGGCAAAATGCCTACGACAAGCTCGCCACGTACGTCGCCGACGCGGAGAGGAACTCGACCTTGACATATTACTTTGGCGTCCCCGTCGAGTTTGAAGGAAACCATTCTGCAACGCCCCACATGCTTGCATTTGAGGTTTACAATACCCGCGAGGTAATTTGGCATCCAATGAAACCCCCCTAGAGCCGCGGAAGTGACTTTGTGATACCGCACAGGATTTATACGATACACATCTCAAATCCCCAGCCATGGGGGAATTCCTCGTCACCGTGCCTGATTCCATGTCCACCGGCCTGGACCTCACGCATTACACAGAGACGTCAGGTTTCCTAGATAAGTCGACGAATTGCCGTGAATGCAAAATTATCTACGACACGCAGATCGTGTGCAACAGCGCTCAGGACCGCGACACCATTTTGGCAAAGCTAGCCGCGGTGGCGAAACATGCAGAAGAGAAAGAGGAGGATACGTACACATTTTTAGTGCAGAAGAGTTTGGATAATGAGACGCACGTGAGGATTTTTGAGAGGTACGCGAGCTGGGCGGCTATGGAGTCGCATCAGAAGTCGTCGGTGTTGGTTAATTTTTGGTTGGGCTCGAAGGGGGAGATTAAAAGTATGGAAGGCAGGCCATATGTGCCGAATAACAAGGGGTGGCTGCACCATAGGGTTTAGAGGTTGATATGGTATGTAGATTCTGAAACGGCAAGCACGTACGCTGTTCAGACTTTGTTTGTTCACCAGATCATGTTGTAGTGTGACCTTATGAGCCCACAATATTAAAAATTACCTGCACAGCAAAGTATTGCGTGTGTTGCGTATGGGGCTGGATCTGTGTGAACTATATATTTCTATCCAAGGAGAATTTCATGAATACTCTTTGTCTATTAGTGCAGTACTGGAAACCTCATGAGGAAACCAGCCCTTCAGTAGCGAACAGACTTGTGGACAGCTTCATTGAACAGGGTATGTCTGGATTGTTATTGGGCAATAAGAGGTGAAATAAATAATACTCTACGAGTGGCTATATCATGCTGTCGACTGCAACCGCACAAGGTAGCGAAAAAGAAATCTCGATACGCCTACTTCCGTGTCTCAATCTTGGAGATATGCTTGTTATGTAGACCTTGGATAAAAGGACTCGCTATACTGCTTTAAACTAACAGTTCCAGCCGCCATCAATAGAGTAGACAACACCGGTGATGAATGAGGACGCATCGCTCAACAAGAACGCAATCAAATTCGCCGCCTCCTCCGGTGTCCCATGCCTCGGTAATGGCGTGTCGAACTTAACACCAACGCCGCCATTGATATCCAACGATGTCTTCAACATAGGTGTTGCGATCGCGCCTCTGTCCTCACATCAGCAAGTATCTCCGTAATTAGAAGTGCATAGACGGAAACTTACGGCGCTATGCAGTTAACTCTGATTCCTTGATTGCCAACTTCCTTCGCCGCCGATCGCGAGAGTCCAATTACGCCATGTTTGCTCGCGGAGTAAGCGGCGTTCTTAGCAAAGCCCTCGATGCCGGCAATACTAGCTGCGTTGACAATGGAGCCGTTGTTGGCCATGACTCTGAGCTCGCCGCGCATGCAATACATGAGACCTTTCAGGTTGACATCCATCACGAAATCCCACTCGTCGCTATCAAAGTCCTTAACCTATTTTGCAAACGGTGCTCAGCTACTCTCCTGGGTATGTTACACATTGGGGAGAGGCTCACGCTCATCAGACCGATCGACTTCCCAATCACGCCTGCCAGGTTGGCAGCTGCATCGAGTTTCCCGCCCCACTTGACCGTCTCATCGATCCAGGCGTCAACCGTCTCGGCCTTGCGCACGTCAATGGTCTTGGTGAAGACGTCGCCGTGGCCGGCATCTTTAATCTCCTTTGCGACGGCGTCGAGGGCCTCTTGTTGGAGATCTCCGATAGAGACTTTGGCGCCGAGAGAGGCGAGGAGCTTCACTGTTGCGCGGCCGATGCCGGATGCGCCCCCGGTGACGGCGATGACTTTGCCTTCGAAATTCATCATGTTGTGTTTGAGATATGGAGATTGGGGAGAATCTGAAATTATAGACGTCAGATGAAAGGATACCAAGTCACTTAGGGTATCACCGAGACCTTAAGGACGAAACAAATAAACAATTATGTTCAAGCGCCCCATCCCTATGCGTAGAGAGGAATGGATATACGGAACCGAACAGTATAATGCGCAGGGTAAACAGTAAGCTCTTGCCCGTGTTACCAAATTAATGTGGTCTTCTCGTCACCTACCCCGCATCCCCACACCTTAGTAGAAGCCAATATTCGTCACTCAAAACTGTCAGCGACGGAAACAGAAACGGGAAATCTTTTCCTGTGATTCAGAATTTCTAGTTGTTTTCCCCAACCAAGCCATCCGTACTCGTAGTTTTAGATTGGCCTGTGATTTAGTACATTTAACTAGATTTAGCTTATAAGCGCACCGAAATGCAAAGTTGAATAGGACATGCACTTGCAATCCTTCGGCTAGTATTTTCCAATACTCCGAGTTTATTGAATGACTTTACCCGGCTCCCTATATAGCATGTTTTCATTCGCTTTAGCAGGAGCGTCGAGAACGAGCATCTTTAGCATCTTTAGTTGGCTGTCGTAGTAATCAAACAGCACTGTGGCGAGTGAGACCATTGCAGTCCTGCAAACAATGAAATAATTATGAAACCGAAGAGCCAATGAACGTAGCAAGGACAAGGGTAGATTGTAGATGCGGCAGTGGCGTTCTATATATAATTCCTCCTAAAGAATGAGAGGCCATTATCACATCAAATCGTTTGAATTCGTACCCTATTCTTCGACCATGACATATATACATGAACTGCATCTTCATCTGAGGGACCCTGTTACGTCATGGAAGACAGGAACGCAATCGACCCTCCTTCTGAGTTACTGGATAATCTCCTCACATCGCACTTTTGATATACATAGGATCGACTCTCGAAACCATAATTCTCACGCCCTTGCCCGGATGTATTATCAAGGCCCCATCCGGCCCCAAAATATCCCTTGCCTCATCGCTCGTCGCAAACACTAGATAGTCCTCCCAAGACTTCACGTACATCTCTGAGCATGCATCCCATTCGAATTCCACGAGCGGGAGGCCCAGCTCAGCGGCCTTCTTGGTCAACGACTTGTCGTTGTGAATTTGTGTGTATTGCTGTATTTGAGCTTCGCGGAATGCCTTGGTGGCAATGGCAAGGCGACCATGCGTGTCGCGCCAGTGAGACTCAAATTGGGACTGCGACATTGAGGGAATCTTAGTGAAGAAGAAGCTGATGCGGATCAGACGGTTGGTGGGGCGAGGGAGGACATTCAGAGGCGCGTTTGCGGAGGCTACCATTGCGGTGGAGAGATGACTTGCTCGGTGGGGCTTAATAAAATGGTGCAGGATAGGGAGCTGCCTTGCAGTGCAATTGAAGCAGAACCTGTCTATTTACAGTTTATAGCAAGGTATTAGCTTGCAACATTGGAAGGCTATCGACCTCCTTTGCCCAGCTGTTATTCACGTGATCAAAAACTGATACCGGTAGACGTTTTCCGCTGTTAGAGAATGAGGAACTTATTATGGGGAAGGGGTGGGATTATTAAATAGTGTTGTGGTTGGAGAAACTCCGAAATTCCGGAATATGAGGAAAAGATGAAGATGGCCTATGTCGCATTGCGAGCTTGCTGAGGTATGGTGGCATTCCTATATTGTATCTGTTACAATACGTTTATTACAGCGTATAATCGAGTCTCAATGAATGGTGCTGCAATAAGATCAAACTGACGTTCGTTATACGTGTTGGAAGCAACAGTCTTGGGGCTTAAATTTCTTCAACGGGACTACGTCGGATTCATGTCTCACATACCCCAAGGCGCTAAAAACATTTCGCATCGCCGCCTACGGAAAAGCAATCCCATGCACAGACAGTACAACATGAGGGGTATTATGCTAGAAGATATTTCCTTCTCCGCATCTTAGACAGCCCGCCACCTTGTAGGTTTATTCCTAATGGGGCTAAACTTGGTAATATCATACTGCGACCCAGTCATCTCTCAATAACATATGAAAATATGGGCCCTGATACTAGAGTTTGTCTACTGTGTCCAAATAATGTGGTGGGGTAGTCATCGCGGAGCTGGGCGATATGTCTTTCTTGCCAGTCTCCATCAGTAGATTTCTCCAACAATTGCTCAATTTGTATCCTTCTCTTCCTAAACTACGAATCCTCTGCCATACTATAACCTGTCAAGATGACAATGGACGACAGCCCTATCGGAGGCGTTGTGAATAAGCCCGGACAAGCAAATGGCAGCGAAAAGTGCCCAAAAGCGGAAACAGTTCGCACTCGGCCCTGGAAAAGGCGGTCTTCCAAAGCCTGTACGAGTTGTAGGGTGAGGAAAGTAAGATGCGACCTTCTGCTGTTAGGAAAGTCGCCCTGTTCAAATTGCAAGCACGACGAGATTGATTGCTGTTTGCCACCACCAAAGAGGAGAAGACGGTATGTGTCCAACACTCTAAGAAGCCGCTCTCAAGCAGTCGTGTGAATGTCAGCTGATACGGGATACAGACTCACCGAGATGATGCCGGAAGAAGTTGTTTCGCAAATCGATACTAAGTCGAGCCCCGAAGTCGACTGCGCTGCCGGTCTTGATGTCTTGGATGCCTTTAGTCCCGCCAATATCCAAGAGTGGCAGCGCCTTTCCTTGGAATTCCCGGATTTCGACGAGCAACCCTCCAAGATGGACGACTCCACTATGGAAATGCCAATTATGAGCTGGGACCATTTCGAGGAACAACTCCAACCATCACCGATTTCAGATCTTCCAGAGCAAATTGCGTCGTCTTGGGACGATTTCAGACCCGAGACTCAGCAAATATTAGCACACGCTAATCCACTTCCAACGCCAACATCTCCATCATCCCTCTATTCAGACTCTACCGAACGCAGTCGGATATCTCGCCAACCAGTGTCTGAGTTTGCCAAGATCTTTCATGCCAAGATTGAGCGGGATGTACATGAATATCTTCAGCGGATGGAGTCAAAGATCAAGCACGATATACATGAATACATGCAGCGAATAGAGGTTCTCTCTGTGCCACAACAGCCACTTCAGGATGCTCTTTTAAAATCATACATAGAGTTTGTTCATGGGCACTTCCCCCTGATTGATCCCCTGATTGATTAGTGGGAGTTGTTAGATTTGGCGGGGAATAGTTATCGACAGGATAGGCAGATTAGCGTTATTACTCTTTCTAACTGTGACGTTTGCTGGCCCAAGTTAGGTGCACATGCGTAAGCTCAAGGACGCTATAGGCAAGTTGCATGAATAGGCCTATAAAGTTTTAAATCAAGCGTATTGGGGTGAGTCTCATACATTCTGCTTACCTCCCTGGTCACTGTCGCCGATATAAATATAGTCATTGTACGATTTGAATTACAATACTAATTAGATTTAGGTAATCTAAGCTCTGTTACTCGTGATATCTTCGAAAAATTAATGTCCAGAGGGAAGGTGTTTTTGCTAAGTTTTAATTGATATCTCTTAAATGTGATTGGATTATAATGATAATAATGCGTGGGCGTGTTCAAGTGAAGCTTTCGTTTGTCTAGGGACTATATATCTACATTGTCGAATAAGTTTCTCTAGATGAAAATTTAAATTTAAATGTATGTTCAATTCTTATTAGTATACGTACGTAATAGTAAAAGGGGGCATCTGCTGCAGTCTAATGACTACATATAACATTGTGTCTGATCTAGGCATTTAGCCCCTACACATCCTCCACATGCGCATGCCTAGTTTTCTCCTCCCTTGCACCTTCAATCTCGCCATTCCCACCCTTATGCAGCACTGTCGCAACCATGCTCGTCATCTTATCATCTACATTTGGACAGAAGAAGCTCAGGACCAGCGCCACGCCACTGAACGCGATTGTCGATAGGAAGACCGTCCGGTACGCCATTGCACTCGCATTCTTGTATGCTGCAACACCTATTTCAGTGATCTGAGGGGTAAGACCTTTAATACCCTCGAATGAGCCTGTGGTCATAGCCTCGATGAAGGACGCGACTGAGGAGGCAGGGAGGCCGGCATTTATGAGCGCAGGAGGGACTTGTGCAGGGATGGTCGCGCCGAGACGGTTGGTTAGGATCGCCACGTATATAGTTGAGGCGACGGTCGAGATGGCTGATCTCACAGTCCCGGCGATGCCAACCGCGGTTCCGATCTCAGATTGATCCTTGATAACGATGCCGGACATTGCTAGACCGATACTCTCAACCCAGCCTACGAAGAAGCAGCCTACAATGAGAAGACCGATCACAGTGTCCTTGTTGTCCGTTGTTGCACAGGCAACGCCACCGAGGAGGCCGGTGAAGGCCGTAGTCGAAACAACGAGCTGCCACTTCTGCTTCCCGATCCATTTTGATAGGAGGCCGCCAACGATTTGGCCCATGACAATACAAGCACCAACGATGCAGGAAAGAGCCGAGCCGTAGGCCTTATCCTCGGTATAGAGACCAAAGACCATCTGTGGGAAGATGATGGAGAAGGCATAGTAGACAGAAGCACCGAGGGAGATGAGGATAATGGTTGCGTCCCAGCCTGAATTTGGAGTCAGGTCAGTCTATTGTCATCGGAAGAGACGGGGATGGCTCGCGCAGAAAAGAGACCGTCTTACCGATGTCCTTGAACAAATGCATCGGCATCAAGGGTTCCTTCGGGTTTGCCATCGTTTCCCAGAGCACAAACGCAACGCATGCTACAAACCCAACGACCAGAGTACTGATAACATGAGCCGAATTCCAAGGGTGCACCCCACCACCCCATGAAAGTCCCATGAGGAAGATAAGAAGTCCACCTGAGAAGAGGATAAATCCCACAAAGTCGAAATTCTTCACCATCTCCCATCTGGTTGTGGTGCGATTCTTCATATAGAAAGTCGGTGGATGATAGAAGAAATACCAGCAGAGGGCGCCGAGGCCGTTAACAATTATCATTAGATAATAACACCAACGCCAGCCTGCTTTCGTGTGAAGTACAAAGGCGTATGCCACAAGTGGTCCGAGACCAGAGAATGGAATAGACCATACGTATACAAACGCATTTGCCATGAAGCGGTATTCCATTGGGACGAGTTCTCCGACAACAAAGGTAAATGATAATTGGGTTGATGCAGCAAGTCCGATGAGAGTAGTACCACCGATTACCATCGGGATGTTAGTCGCAACTGCGCAAATGATACAGCCGATGAGGGCGAGAATACTCCCCGAGATAAAAAACCAGCGTCGACCAAAGAGATCAGAAAGACGACCGACGAGAGTCTGGCCAATGGCAAGAGTAAGGGTGTAGACCAGGCCGATCCAGACGTAGTTGGGGTCGGGACCGATATCTGCATTGATGATGCCCAGAAGAGGGGCTGCCAGAGCAAAACCACCGACGCCCTGTAACATATTGTCAATAATCAATTCAGGCCTATTGAGTTGGTGATCAACGTACTCCAGCTATCGCAAGCCCAGATGCAACCATTGTCCCAAGAAAGTAAGTGCTGGTAAAGTATCCTGGGGGCAGAGAACTTGTATCGTGGGACAGCACAATTTCCTCGTCAGACGAGAACTTATGGACGACCGGGCTTTCGACGGCCGAGCCATGGCCGATGTGGCCTGGTTTTTCGGAAACCATATTGATACTCTTGCGGTATACGCAGATGGAAGAATAATGAGTCTGATGCAGATAAGGTGCAAAACAGAGGTGAACAAAGATTCTGGAAGACCTCGTTGTTCTGCGATCGAAAATAATGTTTATATAGTATATGTAGATTATGCATTTATGTATAAGTACATGAATGCGTACCCCACTTACATCCATGTAAATCTGGGGTAGCTTGAGATTTAGGGTACTAGAGTCTGGTACGTGGATCGGAAATCCTCATCCAGGCTCATGGGACATTATGGAGGCCCGAGTGTGCGGGAAGAGTGGCGAAAACAGCCCGAATCATTCTTCCCCGCATTACCTATCCAAAATAAAAACATCGCTCTCTTGACATCGCCAAATTAAAGTCCCAATGAATGATAATGAAGGGTTTGCTCTATTTAGTACTCAAACAATCTAGCAATTCAATATTTAATAGGGACTAGTTCTCTCATTATAAGCTGCAGCTTATTCGTATAAATTTTAGATCCCTTATGGTGTCATGGATATAGCTAAAAAGAACAGAAAGCAGCTCAGACGTAATCTCACAATTGAATTTTCCAATTACTCCGACACTCCAAAAGTGTTGTCGATAAACTACCTTGGAGGGATTGATATTTGAAATTTAGAAGCAGACTACCCGACAAAGGCGGCTGGGACTCGGTTGGCGGGTAACTTCTACCGAAAAACTCTCGCTGACCGCTGCCTCACAATCCCAATCTAGTGAAGGCTCTGCCGTGATCGAACCTCGGTCTTGACGCGCTGACCGGGCCTTAGGATGAGGCGTCATAATTTTTTCATTATATTTGTTTTATTTACCAAATAAGAAAAGCCTCACTCTTGTAAATTATAGTCGAAATATATGACCAATTTACCTTTGTAACTAACGTATTAACATCTTTGTATATGCAATGGCTGGCGCCATAAGACAACCCATCGACATCCCCGCGCTCGAGCGCTACATCTCACAACATGTCCCCGAAATCACGATTCCAATCGACGTCAAACAGGTCCTTCCCCTAAACCCCTCTCTTGCTCCATTTCCACTGACATCCTCTGCAGTTTGGATTCGGCCAATCCAACCCAACCTACCAACTGACCTCCACCTCGGGCCGCAAATATGTGATGCGCAAAAAACCACCAGGAAAGCTCATCTCCAAGACTGCACATAAGGTTGAGCGTGAATACCGCATTTTGCACGCTTTGCATGACACCGATGTCACAGTCCCGAAGGTCTACTGCCTGTGTGAAGATGATAGCATCATCGGGACGCCGTTTTATATCATGGAGTTTCTTGACGGGCGGATCATCGAGGACCCCGCGATTCCGAATGTTACGCCGGCAGAGAGGACGGAGATGTGGCACGACGCGATCCGCACCCTAGCGAAGTTGCACCGCGTAAACCCAAAGTCTGTGGGCCTGGAGACCTACGGCAAGCCAGCAGGGTTCTACAATCGACAGATCAAGACGTTCCAGATTCTCAGCGCGGCGCAGGCGCAGGCCGTCGATGCCGATACAAAGAAGGCCGTGGGCGACATCCCGCATTTCCCAGATATGCTAGCATTCTTCTCCGACCTCGCGACGCAACCAAAAGATAGGGGTGTTCCCATCCATGGAGACTATAAGATCGATAATGTAGTTTTTCACAAGACGGAGCCGAGGGTCATTGGGATCTTAGAGTGAGTACCCCGAATGCGTAGCCCCTCTCTTCGTAAAATTCTAGGATGCAAATGTTGACGAGCGTAGCTGGGAAATGTCCACCATTGGCCACCCCCTCTCCGACCTCGCCAATATTCTTAACCCCTATATCACTGCCCTTTCTGGTCCCAATCCGCACCTAGGTTTTGCTCCTGGCGCCACGCCCGGTCTGCCCAGCCAAGAACAAGTCGTGTCGTGGTACCGCGAAGTCGCTGGGTGGAGCCCAGAGCCAGAGCTCGCGTGGGGCACCGCGTTCAGTATATTCCGCCAGTCGGTCATTATGCAGGGGATAGCAGCGAGGGTGGCGCAGAGGCAGGCGAGCAGTGCGCAGGCGAAGGCGTATGCGGATTTGTTTATAGAGTTTGGGGAGTTCTCATGGGGGCTAATATTAGAGGCGAAGGGGAGGGCGAGATTATAGGTAGACAAAGAAGGTAGGCTATAGTAGTTAGTATGAATACTTATTATAAAAAATTTAACTAAGAAATATTGTATTGCTCTTAACAAATTACTGGTGGCCTAAAGCATGTGTATCAAAATCTCGGATTACCCTCTAGATCATTCCTTAATACTTAACTTTATGACAGCTTAATTCTTATTAGCGGAGTAAAGTAATTTTATGCTATTGAAGGTACTGATAACCCTGAATATGAAATGGATATTCATAAAGAGTTCACTAAATGGGCTGCTGTTCTCAGAGTGAAACTTGACGGGATTGCAACACATAGATTTCCTAGTAGGGGATTGGGTATCATTGCAGAGAGGGAGCTTAAAGTAAGTAGGGCTAGGCAGGTGTTTTTTATATGTCTAATTAATCTACCCTTATCTTTTGCTCTTTCTATACTACTGTTTCTGTGAGGTTAGTGTCGGCCATATTGAACATTTAAGTCTGGGTGATTTTAGGGGGATCTTGGAATATATTCTCCGCTCTATATGTTTGATAAACATTTCGTTCGCGTACATGAGTTTTCTACCATCGTGCTGAGGCATATCCTCACTGTCATTTATTCACGGATCTGCACGTCGCTTGCTATTCTTAACCTCCAACATATACCGGTCGTGTGAGATACTTATCCCCATGTTGATGCCTCAATTTGAAGACAAACAACCAAGCAGTCTCCCTCAAAACTAAGTAATCTAATAGCCAAACTCAAGATAACAACCGCAATTATGTCACGCGTTGATCACTGCCTCCAACTCGACGACCAGAGCTTTGCTCTACAGCTTCAGCTCGAAGAGATCAATTTTCAGCTCGCGCTTCAATCCGGCAAATAGACCGAAGATAGCCCTCCAGATTTCGCATTAGCATTCAATGGCTTCGAGGCCGAGCTAAAGAGGGCGATTGTTCTGGTCGAGGATCTGAAGTTCGCTCACAGCATTGCTAAAGCTGTTGATTCTGATCTTGTGGCCATCAAAGAATCAAGGAGACACAGTCCATTTACGATCGAAACTTCGCCCTAAGCTTGAATTAATATGATAATGTGCCATCCTAGGGTGTCACCGACCTACTAGATATGCCCCAACCCAGAGCGGAGCCAGCTGAATGGGACTATGTCTTACGAGCTACCGAAGCTTCGACTTTCAGCATCGAGCCCTGTGGCACTGTTGCTGGTCCTTCTGCCCATTACGCTCACCATAACCCTAAACATTAATCTACTAAATTCTAAGCTTATGTATGGCAGAGTAGACAGGATGCCTAATTCTTTTAAGTCTATAGTCATATGTAATAGTTTCTCTCTTGTTAGGGTATAAGTACTATTAAACGCTAGTAATGTATAGACCTTCGCTACCCTTCCCCCTTCTAGCTTCTACCTTCTTCATAAAACCAGCCAAAAACAAAGAGACAAGCAAGAATATAGATTAGTGGGTATTCGCTAGTGGGGTAATTCGTTAGCTTTAGTGCTTTTACTTGCATTGCCTCTTCTAGCTCTGAAATCTACATATAGGCCTAGAGTGCACGTAACCCTCTAAGCTGATACTAGAGCCTCCTTGCAACTAAATAAACCCGAAAATCGCAAAAGCAATTCACTAGTTCCAACCTAGAATATCATGCATTCGCTGCTATCTTAACTCGATTTATACTTGCAAGCATCGCCTCCTTCGTGCCTATCTCTAGCTTATATAGCTTTGCTCGTCTCCCCTACCTCTCAACGCAACCAATGCCTAAGTTCTCTAGAAACTCACCCTGGATAGACCGACCTCGACTATGCTGACACCGTAGACGAGAGGGTCTTCGGACTATGCACAATATTGCCATCGGCTTGGCCGGAGAGCAGAAGGACCTGCGCAAGAGCGATAAGGACAGGCTCAAGCTCAATACCAAGCGCGATTGGATTGAGGAGGCTGCTAAGCTCGGTATTCGTGGAGCAGCCGCTCGCTGCTGTGCCAGCAAAGGCTGACGAGACAAAGTTGAGCGACTCTACGATGGCGACTACCTCAGTGGTAATGTGTCCGCCGTTTGCATACGTGGTGAACTTGACGCTCGCTCCATAGCTACACCACGCCTTGGCGAGCACTGCGGCGTTGGCGTAGGGTACGATCTCATCCTGCGATGCGTGATACATGAATACAGGAACCGTGGGCGTTTCGTTCTTGTTCACACCCATGGTGTTTTGTTCTAAGATGGCAGCAACGGTAGGATCGTACCACAGACGGTCGCCCAAGGATTGGAAATCTGTTGACTTGATCGACTTGCCCGAGAAATTGATAATGTCTGCAACGGCGCAATTGGCACTTGCAAAGTTTAGGGCCGTCTGGCCAGCAGGCGTAATAATGCTGTCGATTACTGGCTTCAACGCAGCGCCGTATGCACTCGGCTTCGTAAGGCCGTCCACAACAGCTAGAACGAAACCGCTGAAGGTCGTGCCGTCGATAAAGTCGGCGACAGCAGTGAGGTTTGCAGGGGTACCACCAGAAACCCAGCCTTTGATGTCGATCTCAGGGGCATAGGTTGGCTGTAGCGACGCGGCCCAGCCTGTCGCAATTGCACCACCGGAGTAACCAACACCCACGACCATGGGGTTGGTAGTGGAAAAATGCAGGGTGCTTTTGAAGTTCGTGACGGCACGAATCCCATCGAGGACCCCCATGCCCGAAAGGTGACCGGGTCCGAACGCGGCATCTGGACCTTCGTAATCCGAAGACGCGACGATATAGCCAGATATGAGGTAGGCCTCGATAATCAGCAGCTCAGCCGACGATATGAGGTCTGACTGGGGGGTGCCGATTTGATAGCTATAACTCGGGTCACACACCGTGGCCGAGCTATCATAGGCTGTCTGGAACGAGACGAAGCGGTCAGTCTTTGCGAAAAGAGGCCTGAAGACCGTGATTACGGTGGCGATGGCGGACCCATTGGTGGCTGTGGTACGATAGAGAAGCTGATAAGCCTGGACTGGGTTTGGCAAAATCCCGAAGAACGAAGCCACGATAGTGCGGGTACGCAGGATTGTCCCGGGCACCTGGGATTCGAAGCCTGCAGGGGGTTGGTAGAAGGGGTCGCTACTCGGGACCGTTGCTCGAGGCAGGGACCGACCCAGCACGGTTGGCAGCCCAGCTCCAAGAAGCACGGAAGGGAGAACCCAGGAGAGGAGCTTCATCTTGGCGGCCGAGTGTAGTAATAGATGTTGAGTTCCTAGGGCAAGGAAAGCCTGTGTGCGAAGAACTTTTAACTGAGGGGGAAGAGATGAGTTCCCTTTTATAAGGCCTCCTTCAGGGCCTTTCACGAGAAAGGCATATTTCCCCCGCTTTCTCGTACTACACTACAAATTTCCCTACTGGGTCTATTATTTACGCACTGCGTAGACAGTTGACACTGTGCCATACTATGGGGAGCTATTCCATCATGAACGCTAGCCACAGCATACCCACTGTTAAAGTGTTGAAGTGCCGCTAAGCCTCATAAAAGCTTGATTTGCAGCGCCGGGGCTTACGAGCTCCCAAACCTGGTTAAAGCGAGACCCGGTGACGCTTGTGGTCAAGTAAAATTGCGGGGTCCCCACATGCTAAAATCCCCGACTACATTTGTGGGTTGCCCGCAGGAGGACTCTGCCGACAGATGCTGAAGTCAATACTCAGAAACAACAATTTACCTTATGATCGATGTATGCTTTCTCAGCTACGAGAGGTCTACTTCATACAGCGACTACAATATTACATATATTAGATCATCTACGGCTCATAAAGATCGCTACAAGGTATGATAGCAAGGTGTTCTAGGGCGTGTTATGTTGGGTGCCGTGGAGAGATCCCACCACGCTAACATAAACCCCCGTTTTCTCGTCACCTAGGTGTTCTAGTTAAGAACTAAGAAGTGGTAGCAATCGTTCCGTACCTCGGTACTACCGCGCGTCAGCCTACCATGTGAACGTAGGAGCCAGTAGCACCGTCGCCCTTCACATGCAGATTCCCCATCCTCAGTTGTTGGTTTTCTTCGAAGGCACCATCCCATGCTCTCTCGCTATTATAGTTAATATATATATCTTTATCTGTTCAAACTTCTATATAAGTTACAGGCTTAAAACACACTTTAACTACTCTAAGCTATACGAATCAAAATTGACACACGGGCGAAGGGCCGAGATAAAGGTTTCCGCGAGAAAGCCTAGGAAGATCAGATGCACATCCTACGTTGCAGGCCTCTTAATCTGCCCATCGTCTTCTCCGCCCTTTTTAGCTGCATGTGGAGTCGTGTTAGAAGGTGGTGATAAGTAGGCGTATTTCGTGTTGAGACGGATTTTCACGTTGCTAACGAAATACTGTCAGAGTCTGACTCCAGAACACAAATTATTGATTCGTGGTTGTTGTAGGATGCTGACCCTTGCCGCCAAGACCTGTCAACCGAAATGCCTCATGGTGTTGCTGGGCCTCGCGCCAATCGGTTTGTTTATTCCCTCAATTGAGTCTCTCCAGCCTACTCACGGCCTTATCTTGTCTGTATCAACTCTTTTTTGCTGTGATACGCGCCATTGTCAGAGCCAGGATGTTGTCAAAATGGTCTACGAGTGTAGCCGCTGTTGGCGCTATTGTTGTCTTCGTTGTACCCTCGATTGCGGGGGCAACCTTTTCTTCAAGAGCCCAGGATCAAAACGCCGGTCAGCTTGCTGCATCCGATCAGACGTTGGAGTCTCCGTTTCCATACTACTTCCCTCAGCTAGGGTCTGGCGATGCCGCGAATAGCGGCCAGTTCCCAATGCCATTATGCCATGGCTTCAAGTTGGAGGAGGCGACAATTGACCAGCTGCAAAACGCAATGGATAAAGGCACTTTGAGTTCTGTTAAGATTGTAATGTGCTATCTGCAGAGGATTTACCAGACCGATGCCTACTTGAGGTATGACGCTTGGGAATTGCCGCAGCACTGTCTGACTCCATTCTAGGTCCATCATGGAAGTGAACCCGGACTTCCTTCAAATTGCCGAAGTTCTTGATCGCGAGCGTGCTCGAGGCCACGTCCGCGGCAAGCTGCATGGAATCCCATTCATTGTGAAGGACAACATCGCTTCGAAAGACAAGATGGAGACAACGGCAGGGAGCTGGGCGCTCTTGGGTTCTGTCGTCCCAAGAGATTCACACGTTGTATCGAGGCTCAGGAGACAGGGCGCGGTTCTGATGGGCCACGCGACTCTCAGTGAATGGGCAGACATGCGATCTAATTATTACTCTGAGGGCTATTCCGCTCGAGGTGGTCAGTGCAGAAGTCCATACAACTTGACTGTTAACCCTGGTGGCAGCAGCTCTGGGAGTGGTGCAGCAGTTGCTGCGAATTTGATAACCTTTGCGCTTGGTACTGAGACTGATGGAAGTAGTGAGTTGCATATGCCGATTTAAAAAACCCTGTAGTACTAACAGTTTAGTTATCAATCCAGGCGAGAGAAATGCTCTTGTAGGAATAAAACCCACGGTCGGCCTGACGTCTCGAGCTGGGTGAGATTCTCAATTATTGATAATGTAATGTAGCTAATCCCATCAGGGTCATCCCGATAAGCCACAACCAGGACACTGTAGGCTGTCTCGCCCGCACTGTTCGCGATGCAACCTACTGTCTTGACGGCATCTATGGCCAAGATCCGCGTGACAATTATACCCTCATCCAAAAGGCTCCAGCCGACGGATTTGCTCAATATCTCGCGACGAAAAAGGCACTCAAAGGTGCCGTGTTTGGCCTTCCATGGCTTAGCTTCTGGCAACATGCTAGTGCAAACCAGCAGCAGCAACTTTTAGAGGTCGTTAATCTCATCAAATTCGCTGGGGCCACTATAATCAATGGGACCGAGCTTCCAAACTACGCAACCATTGTCAGCCCAGATGGCTGGGACTGGGACTATGGCACAACACGAGGATACCCCAATGAGTCAGAATACACGTATGTAAAGGCGGATTTTTACAACGACATCAAGGCATATCTTGCCGATCTTGGAAACACCGACATGAAGAGCCTCGAAGACATTGTCAAGTTCAACAATGAGAGCGGGGAGGAAGGTGGACTTCCAAACCAGCATCCTGCATTCGAGTCCGGTCAGGATAGTTTCGATGCGTCTCTCGCATCGAAGGGCATAATGGACGAGACCTACTGGCAAGCTCTGAACTTTTGCCGTAAATCGACACGGGAGGACGGCATCGACGCAGCTCTCCACCATAATGGCAAGAATCTTACCGCGCTCCTCGTCCCACCATTTGCTGCGCAGTCGATTGCCGCTCAGGCCGGTTACCCTGTCATCACACTCCCCGCTGGCGTGAACCCTGATACCGGAATGCCTTTTGGGCTGGGGCTTATGGGGACGGCATGGAGCGAGAGCACTCTGATCCGCTATGCAAGTGCGATAGAGGATTTGCAGCTCACGAGTAAGACACAATATAAGAGGACCAGCCCAAGGTATTTTGGCTACCGCGAAAAGAACATCCCTGTAAATAACGTCTAATCGTCGCAACCAACTTTTCGCTGTGCTTAAAGGTTGGAGGAAGTGATGCGCGCGTTTGAGAAGCAAGAGGAAGCAAAGTGCGCGATTCCATTTATAGGTACCTTTACGTAGTAACTTATATGTAAAACTGTGCATTTGCTTCCTCTTGCTTCTACAACGCGTGTCGCTTCCTCCAACCTTGAGCGAAGCGAAAAGTTAGTTACAACGATTAGGCGCATACGCAGAGAGGCTTTCGTCGCTTAAGGAGGACCAACCAGCATCGATAGAATAGGGGCCGGGGTGAGCTATATTTAGCTTTCAGTTTGGGGAAGCGCCGAAGAGAGGCACAGCCTTGCGAAGGTAAATATTAGATCTAGTATTTTCACCTGCTTCAACTTTGCAGCTTCATTTACTTTCAGTGCAGGAAAACCCAAGAAAGGATCCCCACGTCCAACTTTCTTTCCAAGTCATCGTTTCAGTGGCTTTCTTGAGACGGATATTTCACCTGTCCGTTGCCAGTCAACTGCCTGCTTCATTGCCTTACTTCCTTCTCATACCGTTCATCACATCAGGCCGATCTTCTATCTCCAGTCAGTCATGGCCGACTCGAGGGAACGAGCTATTGAATCTGCATCTCCCCAGATCATTAACTTGAAAGGGATAATGGCTAAATGGGAAAAGAAGATCCCGGAAATCCAAGCGCTATCGAATTCACTGAGAGAGGGATTAACAGCATCAGAAGCCGACATATCAGATGTAAAGGCGTCTAACCCGCGCCCCCCGCTCCCGAATATCGTTCAACCGGGCTACGAGGTTTACATAGGCAGGAAGGCCGACTACTCGCAATGTACCACATTGAAGCAAACGGCTGAAGTTGCATGGTTTATAGCCTTCAACCGCGGGCCATACACAAACTTCTACATGATCGATGAGCTTCTTAGAGAAGGCAGAATTTCTTATGAGCAATTTTTAAAGAATCCCAAGATCATGCGGCAAAGCGTTACTGAAGCCAACGTGCGCAAAGTTGCGAACTCCATGGATGAAAATTATGGAGATAGTGTAGTTGGCCGCTGTACCTCGTTTACTACTGAGATTGTCACTGCCCTCGTCATGGCAAATGAACTTTCGTCAGCTGGAGACTTTGAATTCCACGACATGGGCCGTCATCGTTTGGCGTTTTCGAAGAAAAGTGGACTGGTGATTGACTCGACCTTAAAACAAGGTCCTAAATTTTTACCACTAGACGGACAGAAAGAGCCTAACGACCAAGAGGATCACCCGAAATCTTTCTCCGGCAACGACCAAGGGGGGCAGTCGAAATGGTTCTGGGGTCCTAGTGGATCTATAACTAAGGGAGTCAATCGCAGGGGTGATGTTCTCAAGGTAACATCTGTAGCATTGTTTTAGGAGTATTGTAAACTAATCTCGTTATAGAAACACTCTAAAGAGTCAATCTCTTCAGATGAGGGCCTATATCAATGTTTCAATGAAATCAAAATTGATAAAGATTTGAAGCCACTGTGCTATTTTCGGTAATATACCTTTTTTATTCTATCTTTAGTCTAAGAGATCCTACAACTAACACAGTTATGTACGAGCACAGATCTTATAGGCGTCCTTGTTCTGAAGCGTATCAGGGCGACACGAGATATCATGGGATGATACGATGGTTACTAAAGGATAGAAAGCTAGAATTGATCCAGGATATAAAGAATCAAAATGCGACGACTGTGACAACATTTATATGGGACAGAACTACTCCCACATTACCTACACTTAGCTCTTCCGAAATATCTAAGGTGGTAGACAACTTTGTTACACGCTATGGAGGGAGCTTTGGATCCAGACAATGGAAGCTTTGCTCAGGATACCACAACAGTATTATCGACGCAGCAAATTCGCTTTGGGGTTATCCGCACATAACGGGAGTTACGAACTTTCCAATTGGGCCGGGCCGGGCCCTGAAGACCTACTATTTCTCCTTGCGGGCGATGAGATCGACGAAAAAGGGGTACAAGAATATGTGCCTTTTGATACTGAGTACGTTACGTTCGCTGTATCCATGACATCACTAACTCCTATTTTCTCTATCTAGCGATGAACCTATTTGGCCACCTAACGAGTATAACTTTCTACCCTTCTAAAGCGCTCGCTAGTGAAACATGATAATGGGATTTATATTAGATATTCCACTGGTTTTACTTTGTTTCACCAAGCACTCTCGTGGTTACATGTAGTTGCTTGAATCTAGCTTTGGCACATTCTTTCTGCGGTGAAACAAAATCACGTTTGCTTCTTGTCGTGTTTGTAGTTGTGTTCGGTCTTAGCAGCCAGCCGCCACAGAAACCGTTCTCTACATTCGCAATCGTCAATCAACCCCGCTAAATCCCACTACCACCTGGCACGCTTTATTCCATCTTCAACCTCTCACTCTTTCTACTTACCCCTTGCAACCTCTAGGCAGCAGCACTTGATACGACCTTGTCCTAGCTATCAATTATAACAATTTAACTACCAATTTCCCTTGGCACATCGTCTGCACCCAAGCTTCGAACAGGCACGATCCCCCAATCCTATACCTTAGCAGTTAAGCTCCTAGCCTCACTAAGATGACGTCATTGGCCTGGCTGCGGTATCTTATCGATAATAGCAGCTGAAATAGGTAGCAGCACCTGCTTTCTTTGGAACGCCTACCTTCCTTCGTCAACTTATGAATCCTCTCTTCTACAGGAGTAATCATAATCACATCGGGATTATGTAATTATTAATTATTAATTAGCCAGAAAGCAATCGACGGTAGGAACCTCGCCTTATATTCTAAAACCTTACCAAGATCTTCTATTTCTATGGTGCAATCCTGTCATTGGCAGGGGTCGCAATTAAGCGTTTCCTCTTTCCTGCCGCTATTCTACTTGCGGGTATTGTAAGTCTTGGCATTTAACCCCTGTCCATCGCCAGAAAGCCTAAAACTCCACTACGTCATTACAAATAATCGTGAAGCTATCGAAAAGTTACAAGATAGTATAGCCCGCGTCATGAAAAGTAAAGACAGCTTAGAAATACAACAGGTAGGCATGGGGAGATACGAGATGGTCCTACTGGTATATAAATGAGGTTTTGTCGCTGCTGTAACTCATTCCTCAACATCTTCAATTCACCATCACCAACACTCAACTGCAAATCCTAGTCAGCTTTCCTCTCAACGGAGTAACTTTTGATTCCCTCTATTTGTCGCTTTACCCCTTGATAACACCATCACCCTTCATTAAACTCCAGGTTATCACATTAAAAATGGCGCCTACCATCTTCATTATTGGTGTCACTGGATACATCGGTGGCGAGGTTGCTGTCGTGTTTGCAGAGAAGCACCCAGAGTACAACCTCGTCTTTCTCGTCCGCAACTCCGAGCAAGCCAAGATAGTCAAAGCCCGATTCCCATCATCCGAGACCGTCATCGGTGACCTCGACTCCCACGACGTACTCTTTGAGCAGGGCAAACGCGCCGATGTCGTTCTCCGTAAGTTTCACCGAGGTCACATAACCACATATATCCGTGACTAACACAAAACCTCCGCAGAAACCGCTTCGGCAGACCACATTGCCGTTGGCGAGTCCATCATTGCGGGCATGGCCCAGGGCAAGAAGGGCCACTACATCCACGTCTCCGGGTCCGGAATCCTGCACGACGTGACGAACGGCTTCGGAAACCCGAGCTCCAAGATCTACCACGACACCAGCGACCTCGCTGCGATCACCTCCTTCGACTCGTCGCACGTGCACGCCGACACCGACGCCTCCGTCACCGCCGCGGGCCTCAAGCACGGCATCCCCACCGCCATCGTCTCGCCTGTTACCATCTACGGTGTCGGCCGTGGGCCTATCAAGACTCGCAGCCTGCAGATTCCCTTCCTGACTGAGGCCATCATCAAGCGCGGTAAGGCCTTCACTGTGCTTGAGGGTAACAACATCTGGGATAACGTCCATATCACCGACCTCGCCGAGGCGTATAACGTGCTCACCGAGGAGGCTCTCAAATTGAACGGCGGCAAGTCGTCCTGGGGCAAGGAGGGCTACTACTTCGTCGAGTCCGCCGAGCACAGGTGGAAAGATATCGTGACTGAGCTTGCTAAGATCGCGCACCAGAAGGGCGCGATCAAGTCCGTGGAAGTGGAGAAGCTGAGCGTTGAAGACGCCAGTGCCGCGCATCCATGGGCTCCGCTGCTCTGGGGGGGGAACTGCCGCAGCAGAGGTGACCGTATCAGGGCTCTAGGGTGGAAGCCTAGCGCTCGCAAGATTGAGGAGTACCTCCCGGAAATGGTGGATTTTGAGATCAAGTCCCTGGGAACGCAGTCTTCCGCTACTACGTTCTAAGACTGTGTGAGGAGCTTCGGAAATTTGGCTGGTGTAACTGAGTCTTTATTTTAGCAGGCAGCGTATATAGCAACAACATAAAAGAGCTTTTACTCAACTTACTTTGTAGTAGTCCGTCCCCGTAATCCGATCCCCCTCTAGAAAACAGCACACACCACTTCCTAAAGGCCATCTCATTCTCCCACCCTTCAAACAAGCTTACCCGCGCTAGGTACATCATAAAGAACCCTCTCTCTGTCCTCGCAACACTAGCCGTGGCGCCCACCAGCAGCACCCACAGCCTCACACCTGGGTTTTCACGCCAGAACGGCGCGCAGATCGTGCGGTCCATGTTAGCGCTAAGGATCTGCAGCCAAGGTAGGGAGAAAGGGGAAGTGAAAAACGACGGCGAGGACAAGGCAGCGGCGTAGATCTGCCCTGCAGCGTGAAGAGCCTTGTAGATTGAGTCCGTAGTGCACGAGACCTCGACGTTGATGTGGAGCTCGTAGAACTGGATATCGCTGATGGTGGTATTGGTAAGGTCACGGAGGGCCTCAAGAAGCATGCAGATCTCATTGTCGGCGCCGGTGTTTTTGATAAAGGAGGAGAAGGGAAGGGAACCGGAAATGGGGGAATTATAGAGGCGTGCCTTGTAAGGTGAGGCTGGGCCGGCCTGACAGCGGAGGGGAAAGCGCGGCGGCTGGAGGGTTATGGCTGCAATGATATGGTCGAATCTGGTATTTTGTTAGGTTTAGGGACACGTATATTGCTATTAGAGGAGTGAGGTTACAGCGCAATTTTTTCAGCCTGGACTGGAGGCATTGAGTCTAGTCCCCCGCGCAGGTCAACCACTCGCTCCAGGCCATTCATATGAGCTACAACATCCGAGGGTTTAAGTTGGGCCCTATACGACTGTGTAATTATCAGTACCAAATAAATTGCATAGGTTAAGTTAAAAAACTGACTTCCCACATAGTAAGCGTTATAATCGCACCAAGGGTCTCATCTTTGGTAGCCAGCTCGGAGTCCGCCAGGCGGCCCTGGATCCATTTGATGGTCTCGAGACGAAACTGGAAACAGCTGGGCGTGTTGCTGATCCAGTCAACGAGCTCCACGCCGAGGACTGTGCTCTCGATCTTTGATGGCTCGGGGAGGGCGGCTTTGGGCATCCAGATTGACTGGCGGGGGAACAGAACAGGGCTGTTCGGATCTCGCGATGCCAGCCGAGAAAATAATGCAGAGGTGCGGGGGAGCATCAATACAGGTCCTGTGGCAGAGAGGAACGTGTAAGGGATCACTGTGGGGTATTAATAGGTTCCTCCGGAATTGGTCACGAACATAATGTAAAAAAAATACCACCCACAGTTGTCTTGGTACGGGAGAGATGGCTGTATAGAAGCCTTTACTGGCTTATCCCTTGCTAATGTAGTTTTTTCCTGCGTTATAACATCCTCGACCTCTTCCTTGGTCTTCTTGAACGCTCGCACATCAGCATCTCGCCGGCGCCGGTAGCGGAAACGAGCAACGTGGCTACGGACCACATTCTCGGTCCCTCTCTCTCTTGCCCTCCCAGGAGCCTCTTGTACAAAGCAGATCTCTGTAACAGGAGGCATGTAGTAGTTGTGATATGCTATCTTATCTGGGGCGCTGCGAGGTTGCAGTCCGATGCCTCCGTGAAGGAAGGTGGCCGTTTGACCTAGAACGCCTACACTTGAAGCGTGATTTGCTACCATACATACACTAGCTTGGATCACGGGGGACCGATTCGTATTAGCCTCGAAAATGGCTCGACTACAGGGATCTACTTATATCTTTCGAAATCAGCCCTGTCTCGAAGCCATATTTACTTCGAGTCGAATATTAGTCGCTTAACCATGGATGGTTTGGTAGATTGATCTGGTCGCCACAGGCATCTCTTGATGCCCATGCTAACACTCGAGATGTAGCTTCTCTAGAAGGGCAAGATTTGATCGGCGGGAGCTTAGTCATTATTCCATAAGTGTGTTTTATATCCGGCATCTCTTGTGCTTGAGTGTTGTCAATCACATACGAATGAAAACATCGCTTCTCATCTCCTAGAATCCAAACCCAACCGTGGTACTCTCGGGCATGCCAGAGATCCAAGTACTGATGTAGCTCCGGTTCAATCTCCTTGGCTAATGTACTCCCGAAAGGCTGCCAACCATATGGCAACTCCTCTGCATTCGCAAGGTAACGATAGTTGAAACGAAGGCGGGCAAGATCACTATTAGATAGCATCCTCGTGCCGTTCTCCTCATAGCAGCCTAGTCCAACTTCATCTAAAAACGACTGCTTACAGCCAAGCCACGCGGCAGTAACAAGATCAGGTTGTGACGCACGAGTAAATTGCGGTTGTTCTTCCAAAGTTGTAAGATAGGATTCAACCATGCCAGCCCAGTCTGAAGATCCCAGCCAAAGAACGCCCATCCAGAGCGGCGCTTGCTGGGGGCGATATAACATAAACATTTTGATAAGTAATTCTGTGTCTTGAGATTCAAGCACAGGCTTAATCACCTCATGAATTGAGGACAGCCAAGCACTAACAACGTTGCAATCAATGCCTGATTCCCAGAAGACACTCCAAAGACTCGATCCTATTAGCCTAGGGCCAATACTGATAGTCATGAGTTGAGATATCTGCTCTGAATATTGGCGGAATGGGTAGTGAGCATGTTTCGGATGACTGCGCTGCAGAAGTATTGGAACAGGTAGTGTAGCTGCTAATTTTCTAAAATTGTAGAAAGGCAGCATGATTGTTGCAGAAACTGCAGCGTCGAGTTGGTCATCAAGTCCAAATAACGCGCAAAGTTCAGAAATAAAGCTTGCCGCTTTTTCCGAAGACGATGATGTACCCCATTCTGGGGAAGAATATGTTGGACTAGTAAGAATGTCGAAACGGTTTACTCCTTCATATACCAATGCCCATGGTGGAATAGGCTTCATCATCCAACGCGAATTGGGTGCGAGAAGGATAGATAGCCAACACACAAGGTCTGGGGATGCGTAACGTAAGTCGAGGAGTATTTTGTCATTCTCTGAGCAGCCTAGATGGCTTGTTGAAGGTTCCTGAGAAGTAAACTTGACTTTCCGCCCCTGCATCTCGAGGAGTTTTGCACAGAAATAATAAGAGATGCATTGTATGAGTATAGAAATGCCGTTAGAAGGAGGGGCAGGTGACACTTTAGCGTTGGGATTGCATTCTTTTATGAACTGGTATCTCGTCGGCTCCGGAATAGAGAACCTGAATGTTTTCTCGTTGCCACGCCTTTCATCGACTTTGGGAGGTGAGGTTGGCTGCCACGTCACATCAGAGTCATCTAGGGTTGCTAGAGTGCCAGGCTTAGAAACATCATCCATAGAGCTCTGCATATCATCTGACTCGAGGTGTGGAAATTTCCACATCGGGTAGCCCCTAATTGCCTTCAAGCCACGAAGTCCAGAAGGTAGAGGTGGGACCCCCTTTATTAACCCCAAAACACCCAGGCTTCCGGGTATGCTAAGAGTTTGTTGCTGTTCTGCAAGACCAAGGCACTCTCGCCATTGGGATTCACCTCTCCAAAAGGTCCTCTCAATATCCTCAGCGCTTGGAATCACTTTATCATCCTGACATCCGTGTAGTAAATCATCAGCAGCTTGGTCCTCCTCAGCGAAGCCACTGCTAATACTGCTGTTTGGTGGGGTGCTTGTGCCTCCGTTGCTTTCGTTCTTATAATATGAGGAATGGTTATCGGAAGGAATAAAGCTTGCCTCAAACCTGTTCGTTCCAGTCTCTATCCAGTGGGCAACGCGATCATTACCCATGTTAGAGTTGGCTGGCATCTCGAGCTATTTATGACGGATTGCTTTGCGAAGTACTCCACATTTGTTGCAACTTTTATGGAAATAAATGTGTAATGCCGAGAGAGAGTGATTTTATAACAGGCAACCTTCATAGACCGCCTCAGCTCATCGAGTGATCTACAACGTCACGTGGGCCACACAGTCTGAAACACATGAGTCAAATCTTCAATGCATCGTGAACTCATTTACGAACATGATCTTTAAAGACATCAGGGTGAGATATTACTTATTGCCAATTCACGAAACCTAGCGCACAATGTGCAGTTAGTGTAGACTACATATAATCGCAGCGTTTACGAGCACAAGCTGAAGAAACAATAACCCACACAACAACAACCTTCTATGATTTGATATACACATACATAATCGTACACTCTACACATCTCCAACCTCCTGAGCTGAAGCAGAAGCTAACATTACTAAAAATTCCAAATATCCCCCCCCCAACCAAATATCCACCACCACATATTTTATCTATGCCAAGACCCCCCCTCCCCCCATCCGTCCCCCATCCCCCATCGTATTAAAAAATCTAATTATCACGGAACCATTATATATCTCCGTGTCACCGCTCGCTCACCCGCATACATAACATGCATGCAATGCGCGGTGCAGCAGCAGCTGTTTAACGTAGCCATGCGTGCTACGACACCGGCCAACCCCCGGCTCTGACGCGGTGTACCCAAATATATATGGTCTGGTCTCACATCCCGTATTGTGCTGTACTCCAATACGCGCCTCCCCCTCCCCCTCGACCAGTTTCTCTACACCTGGCTGTAGTCCCCTCTCCTCGAAATGAGCGCTCGAACCTCGCAGTGACAATACGAACGCGCTGAAAAAATGGTGATGAGATGAGATGAGATATCAGCGCACGCTCGCTCGCACAGCAACCGCCAAGGTCAACCCACCACCCAGCTCAACTCCTCCACCCCGAGGAGGAAGAGCAATCCCTACTAACCCTCCACGTCGCCAAGCCCCTCCTCCCCACCACCCTCTTGAGCGTCGGCCAGACCCCATCATCCCCGAAATCCAAATCATCAAGGTTAAGATGCATCCTATACCTCCAGACCTCCTCGAACCTCAGGGCCCCCTTCGTCCCATTATTCTCAGCAATATACTCTGATAAGTAACTCGCCGACAACGGCGCAACGAGGTACGTCCCCGTCGCATTGTTATTATTATTCCCCGACGATTTAGAGTTCGCAGATGATGAGGGGGAGCTACACGTCGCCAGCGCGCGCAGCTCCTCGATCATCTTGGCACCAGGCATGCCCATCAGGTCGTGTGTGGTGAGGACTTCGTTTTTCCCGTTTAGTAGCCAGACGGGGGGGGAGTAAGTTTTCCACCACAGAGCGTGTGTGGCGTCTTCCATGTTGGCGAGGTGGAATTGTGTTGGGACTACGCCGCCTTGGTGGTAGGAGCCCATTAGCACGCCGAAGATGATGTTGAATACCAGCCAGGCGGCGGCGAAGATCTTGAGGTGGGATTTCTTCGCTGGCAGGCGGATGGAGGAGAGGATTAGGGGGATGGTGGGGATGAGGAAGCGCGCTTCCTGGTGCTGCAATATCGACAGGACGAGGATTCCTGAGATGGCGGAGTATAAGCGTAACGACGCGTGGGGGCGGAAGAAGAGCAGCAGGAATGCCGGGCCGAGGAGCTGCGGGAGGTTGAAGAGGAGGTGAGTGTAGCGCGGGTGTAGGCCGTGCAGGGCGAGGTTGGAGGTGGCCAGGTTGTAGCGGAGATTGTTGAGGGGGGTGATGATGGGGTGGGTGAAGAGGGTGGACCAGGTGACGGGGTGGGTGCGGGCGTAGAATTCGGTGTCGATGGCGATGGCGAAGAAGAGGGTCCAGAGGCCGGAGATGACCATGAAAAGGAGGGAGAGGGGTCTGTTGGGGGGGAGGAGGGTTAGCGGATGAAGGGGATGGTGGGAGGGGGGAAGGGGAGGGAGGGAGGGGGACTCACTTCCGCGCGAAATGGGGTATCAAACGAAACGCGGGGATGAACAGAAATGCGGGAAATGTGATCCGATTGAAGAATCCAAAGACGACCAAGAAAGCCAACAACGCAGATGCGAAAGGAGATGTCCGCTGCTGTAAGACCCGTTAGCTTGTGTACTTCCCATCCTCCCATGCGTATTCCACATGTGCCCCAGGAAGTCCATACCTTATCATCCACAATCCTCTGTATCAGCACCAGACTCCACGCCACCAAAATCGTCTCCAACGAATTCGAGAACGTATGCGCCTGGAACGTCCACGTCACATACGACGATGCGACCAGTAGTATCACTAAACTCCTATGCCTTGGCTTCCCAACCAGCTCATGGATAGCCCAGTCCTCCAGCACGAAACTCAGCAGGAACATGAGCACGCGCAGCGTCCAGAAGACCACCGCGGGCGTCACCTCCCCACCCTGTCCATTACCAATCCATATCCACTTCAGCAGCAGCATAGGCAGGCCATAGACAGGCCAGAGGGGGAAGACGCTTCGAATCGGGTTTTCGGATGTGAATTCCCAGGTCAGTTTGACGGGGTAGCTGAATATCTGGCCTGTGAGACGGGGTGCGTTAGCGGATAGAACGGAGGCACGCCGACGATGACAGATGGGAAAAGGGGGCGCTTTCTTTCCGGGATATCCGGATGGCCGCGGACTTGAACTGCGAAAATTGAAGACATACCAGCGATGACTTCGGGCCCCTGAAAGTTCTCATCGGGATGCAGATAGCTGGGCGACAGCGCAAAGTATAGGCGCACCAGCGCCAGCAGCAGGTATGCGCGACGCCACATCGTTGCGCGGTTTGTGTGTGTGATTGTGGTGGTCGGGGTAGATATTTCGGTCTACTACGCGGCGGCGCAGTGACGGTGGGTGGTTCGAGATCGCAACTGCGATGTGCTGGCGGTGGCCAACATTGGTGATGGGTGCGACCTGGGGATTTGCGAGCGGGAGCAGCAAGCAGCAGCGAGGGCGAAAAGGGATGGTCGTGAAGCTGTTGATGATTCGTGTGTGTTTGGTGTGAGTGTCGGTTTGGGTTGGGATAGAGATGGAGATGGGGGGGGATGATGATGATAATAATAAAGGCGCGGGCGCGCTTTCGCTTTTCTGGGGTTGGCTCGGTCTCGTCTGGGTGTGGGCTACTATCTATTCCCCCCCTTCTTTTTTTTTGGTGAATTTGGCAGGGGATGGGATAGGATGGGGGGGAAGAAGCTTTGGGAACGTGCCTGGGATGACGGGCTGACGGGGGTTTGCTTACTGGGAACGGCCGCTACTCTAGTTTTGGGGGGGGGGTGATGGGGGTGATGGGGGTGATGGGGGGGGATGGGGATGGTAGTGGGAATGGTGGAAGTGGGAACGGAAAGGAGAGGAGGAGAGGTTGTTTCGGTCGCGTCGCGTCGATCGTGGGGAGATGGAGAGTAAACAGAGATGGTGAGGATGTGTATGTAGGCTGGGGTAATTTATCATTTATTGTTTATTTGTACAGTGTTATTGCATTAATTATATGCCATGATGCTCTCTTTTGATGGTGTTTAATATCTCTTTTTGTAGTGATTTGTTATCGAGGAATGAATTCCAATAGAGTATATGCAACTGTACGTGGCCATATCTCTTATCTCTGTTGGTTCGATATGCAAGGCTACGCTTTGTCCGGAGTAGCGGTTGCTTACTGTGCGGTCCAGTCCGGACTTTCCATTAATTGCCACTATTATTGCACCATCTCGCTTTCTTTCCCGTCTGATCAGTAAGGCGATGTACGATGGGGATGGGATAGTGGAGAACAAGACGCTGATAAATATCAGACTGTTTGTTTGCGACCAATATAAACCCCATAATACGATTTATCGCTTTGACGGGGTCGCTGCTTTCGGCGAAATTTGCAATTTTGCACTCCGCAAACGAAAGGCTGAGAGACAGCGGGGAGCAGGGAAGCAGGGTCCGTGTGGGAATTTGTTGAGGACTGTCTCATTTATCTCATTTCCTGTGAGACATGACTTATGGACTTTAATATCCGAGATAAAATCTGGGGGAGTGAGAGTGAGGTTATCATAAATTCTAGAAGATCAGACGATTTATTTGCATTTTACCCTTTTGATTTTTTTTATTATTTGTCGAAATATAAAAATACGAAATTCAAAATTCATGAGTCTTTGTGACAAATAAACAGCTGACATTAACATGACACCATCGCCTAAAAATATCAGACAACAAACTTCCCCTTCATTCTACCTAGAAATCAAAGGAACCAGAAAGAATTACAAACTATAACCTATCATTCCATATGAATTCATGATCATTAAAGAAGCCCCTCCCTTTATTCACTCCCTCCACACAAAGAACTTAGCCTTGGCGCTTGCCTACCCGTGCCTTACCACCCAATCCACCCTCCCACCGCGTCAAAGAAAAATAGCCGAGCCCCTCCAAACGCGGCTTAGCCCAGGCTGCGCTGCGGCTTTTGTGAGGCAACCACGAACGACCCCACACCGATCACTACCCGTCATACCTCTCGTCCTTTCACCACCTCCAGGCAACTTATCATACAAATACCCCAACCAACGCCGAAGCCAACTACAACACCAACAACAGCTTCAATCCTCACCTACCATCGCTCACCCACTACAACTACACCAAGAAACTCACAACTGAACTCCATCGCTATGGCTGATCAAGGCCCAAACACCATCACCCTCATCTCCAACGATGGCGTCCCCATCGTTGTCAGTGAGTCTAGCCCACAGCCTTCCGTGGTCCAAGTGAAACACAGCTAACCCACCCGCCTTAGAGCGCCAGGTCGCCGAGCGCTCTATGCTCATCGTCAACATGATGGAGGATCTTGGAGAGACTGCTGGTGCTGAAGTGCCTATTCCCAACGTACGTTTTATCTCTCCGGCCTCACTCACGCCACAATTTCCACTTCACCCCCACCAGCACTCTCGAACTCCCCCGCCCCCAAACCACTACAGAGCTCTCTTCCCACCGCAAGAAAGTGAAACCCTCCCCACTAACACACCAACCAGGTCAACGAATCCGTCCTCAAAAAGGTCATCGAATGGTGCGAGCACCACAAAGACGACCCCCCCGCCTCCGCCGACGACGACTCCGACTCCCGCAAGAAGACGACCGACATCGAAGAGTGGGACCAGAAGTTCATGCAAGTCGACCAAGAGATGCTCTTCGAGATCATCCTCGCCTCCAACTACCTGGACATCAAGCCCCTCCTCGACGTCGGCTGCAAGACCGTGGCGAATATGATTAAGGGGAAGAGTCCCGAGGAGATTAGGAAGACGTTTAATATTACGAATGATTTCACGCCTGAGGAGGAGGATCAGATTAGGAGGGAGAATGAGTGGGCTGAGGATCGTTAAATGGAGTGGTTGGACAAGGATGGTGGTGGGGGAGGGGGAAGTGTGGCTTGCGGCTTGGGCTACTTGATCTCTCGCCCTGTACACCGGATATCCTGGCAATGATGATACGAACCTTACCTTACTTATCTACCTTCATTCACCCTCGACATCAGCGGTCGAACTCACCTACCTACCTCTCGCTTCACCACACCTCGCTCTCACGCAACACTTCTGCTCCGCCTACTCACGCACTCCTCCGTTTCTTCGCCCTTTTCCCTTTCTCTCTCGCCCTGCTTTTTGCTGAAGGTACGGGATGCATGCTGGGTTTGGAAAAGATGGATTCGCTTTTTTTTTGCTTGTGTGATGCGATGCTCTTGTCTCTCGTTACTTTCGGCTTTGCGGGGATGCGTAGAAGATTAGGTGAAATATGAAGGTGGGGGTGGGGTAGATTTGAGAGCAGCGGTGGGGTGATGGCGGGGTGGGAGAATTGAATGAAGATGTTTTTTTAATGCTCTGTATGTGCTGATGTGATTTCTGTCGGTGAAGTTGATACTGTTGAGGGGAAGTGGGCTGTAACTCGTGCCATCCATATGACCCCTTCCAAGCCTGAGCTTCTGGTAAATATATATCCCAAGCTGTTGGTGAAGAGAGGAATTCTTGAGAAGGCGTGTTACTTATCCACAGTTACCTACACCACACAGCCTCAATTCTTGATATCGAAGCAGCGCTGGATTTGGCTGGAGTGGGGTGTCTGTCTCTCTCTCAACCTCTATTTCCCAGAAGGGCTGCGAGATAGGCAGTGGGGTAAGAGGGGTTGGCGGAGGTTGAGGAAGGGAGGTCGAAGTAAGGTTCGATGGATACGGGGTAGATGCGCGTCACGCATTGTGAAGAACCCGGAGTAATGTACGGCGGGGTGATGGGTGGGAAGGACGTTCCGGAATGTGTTTGTACACAGGCTTCCGGAACAGCGCTTCCATTGGGGAGGGAGGGCTGGGTGGGGGTGAGATCGAGAGCAGAAAGGAAATGTTAGAAAGTCCGATAGTACTCGATTGGGGATAAAGGGAGTATATCTTGTTCGTGGGTAGAGATTCATGAGGGCTTGCATGGCATACTTCATCATACCCATCACGCTTGATACCAATATCGAGGACGGCAACTCTCGTTCCTGGGTTAACACATCCATCCCCAACATACACATCACACATCACACCCTCTCACTCTCAAAAAAACTCATACAGTTTGGCAGAAAATTCGTGCATCAGCAATCCATTGATCTCATGCTATCCACCTTATCCCCTCCCCCAACCAATCCGACCGAACCATCCCGCCTGCAAAGATCCTTTCTCAATCAATAGCAACCCATTTTCGTAGTCGTCGTGTGTTCGTGACCAGGATGTTCGTCGGTGGTGGGGTGTATCAGAAACCAGAGAGCGAGTCGTCTAGATTCCAATACGGGTCTTTCTCCAATGCCTCCTCTTGGCGTTGTACCTGTGAGGTAATCAGCAGTTGTTCGGGCGCCTGCGGACGCAGGCTGTAATGGCTTTTATCATCACCTCTACTCCCTCTTCCAATCTCCTCTCCTCCCTCCACCGCCCGTCCCATCTAGGGGATCTAGGCGATAGGAGGAAGGAGGGGAAATGAGGAGGAGGGGAGAGGGAGACAACGGGGAGAAGGTTGATTTACCTGATCGTGTTTCCGGTACGGAGACGGATCCATTGGGGAATGGGGCGGTTGGACTTCTGGGCCTTGGCCAGCTTGACCTTGGTGCGGAAAGACTTGTGGCTCTGGGGGGGAATGTGTTAGCTGTTGTTCTGTTTCTCGTGTTTTCCTTCCTTCGTTCTGTCTCGGTTTGGTGGTGCGATGGATGCGATGCGGTGCGTGCGAGAAGACGGGTGTGATAGTCGCTGTATTAGGTGTGATGGTCGCTGCAGTGGGTGTTGTTGGAGTCGTTTGCTGGAGCCTCAAAGTTCGATCGCAGGTCGCTCGTCATCAATATCGCTGTCTCTCGGTCGCTGTCGTAGTATTCGCAACCCATCGCACTCATCACACCCATCGCATCGCATCCCATCACACACGCCCATCCATCCTCCAGGAGAGGAAAAGTAAACATCACATACCGGCATCTTGAATGATTGTCGAGTCGTTGGTGGTTGTCGATAATCCTCAAAAAGAATCTCTTCAAATTCGTCGTTAACCCACAAGCGGTACACACCTCCAATTTTTGGCGCGCAGGGCATGGTGCCCTAATCTGTTTTCTAACGTATCTTACCTAAGCCGTTTTCGCTTGGCTTGGAGGGTGGATGTCACGTGGTTTACCCACCCTAAAACTTCTTGGGTTCGGTGTTAGTGCCAAGTAGCATTACATAAGCGAAACCCTCGCTGAATTCCAACGGAGCTATCATCACTTTAATACGTAATCACATGATCTACGGAGGTGGTAGCAACACTTCGGACCCGAACAACACCCCTACAAACCCGGGCCTTGGCACCCCTCCTCGGCCGACGCCACCACACCCCTATCGCAATGTCCGCGTGGATCCCTCTGTGAGATGACAGCGTTGGCGCGTGGTGATGTCGCTGGTACTTGCTGGGATTGTTTGGTCATCCCTGGGAGGTCGGTGAGAGAGGGAAGGTCAAGGAAGGAAGACTCATACGGCGGACTCACTCAGTCATAGTGATAGAGATAGAGCTTACTCTCGGTGGTCTGGGGGGCCTTGCCGGGTCCGAGAGGTGATGGGGGCCGGCGTGGTGAGGAGGGGTGGTGAGTGGTTGGATAGATGGATGGGGAGCTTGGGTATGGATAGGGATAGGGATGTGAATGGATATAGAGGCTGACGGTGCTGACAGGAATACGGATGAATGTGGAAGTGCTGTGGTCAGCGTGGATATACATGCATATATGCATATATACATCTGATAACGGCGGCGGGAGTACTCTCGGGTGAGGCTGGATAGGGAACGAGGATGGATGGTACGGCGGACAGCACGGTGACTATGTTACTACAACCCATGTGGTAGGGCGTTGTGCGCTGTGGGATTTGGGGAGGAAGGCGAGGGACGGGAGGGCAGGTGCTGTAGGTGATGCGGTCAAGCTGTGACTGGAACTGTAAGTTGTGTCGCATCGGTATGCACGCCCCGACAGCCGTCACAGCAGTAATTACTACTGTATAGTACATACATACTGTGGTACTGTCTGTACTACTATCTGGATATCACCGTTACAACCAGCGACGACGACGATGATCCAGCCAGCCAGCAGCTACACCACCACCGATCCGACCCCCCTATGAGATTCGAAAGGCTTGGTTTAGTCGACGGTGGTGATTACGTACGTACGGACGTACCAGTCGCGGGTGCGGAGTGCGAGACGATCCGAGAGAGTACGATGGGCGCTACGACGAGGAGGGCTGGAATTGGTAAGCTTGGGTCGCGGCGTGGTCCCGCTTTTTGGTGGCTTTGATAGAGGAGAGTGGGTAGTGGAGGAGGGACTGGGAATGGGACTGGGGAATCTCCCGTCGTCGCTGGCTGGGTGGGTGTCGCTTAGAGGGGTGGAGGAGAGGAGGAAGGCAGCAGTAAAGGGAAGTAAGGAAGGAGAGGGTGCAGGATGGTGAAGAGGTAAGAGAGTGGTGACAGAGTGGTGGGGGATTTGTGTGGTTGATAGCAGGTGTATGCCACTCGTCGTCTCGGTGTCGTCTTCAAGAGACTGTTGAAGCAATTGATATTCATATCCCCTACCACCACAACACAATCAACAACTCCCAATCCAATCCAATCCAATCCCATCCAATCCCAAAATAAACGCTGTGTCAAAGTTCCAGACTGGACTCCTCCTTCTAGAGTTCTAGAGTAAAGTAGTGTGGGGCAAAAGGAAATGATACAGTACTCATACCCATCCCATCCCTCCCAACTCCGTACCATACCTACCCTTTTTGCATGGTATCCCACGTCTGCCTAACTTTTTATGCACGGTCGGTGGTAAGAGTTATGAATAAATCCCGTTTTTATTTGCGACTAGGTTTAGTATAGTGACTGACGACGGCTTGGATGCGTCGCAATGGGAAAAGTACATGGTATATCACCCTAAAGTAAGCATTTTTCTCGGGGGATATCCAACACCCGAGAGATGCTCAGTGGTTGTTTAGCTGGTTGGCGTGGCTGTAGTGGCTGTAGTCGCAACAAGCGCCACGCGTGGTTGGCCTGTTAATGTATGGAAACAGCTATAGCAGCCATACCAAACCCACCCTTTGTATCTTCTACCGCCTCTTCTCTCCCTTCCCTCGTACTTCGGACCCGGCGTCACCCTCGTACCTCGCATCCCTCGCATACTTCGCATGTATAACCCCACCGAGCGGACGCATCAAGCTCCGGCGAAGAAAGTTATGGACAGTCTCTCAACAGAGGCAAAAAACAACTGTCATACATAATAACAACCACTCAAAACAACCACACCCCTCCCAAACTCCGTAGCATATCTAATTAAATCTTGGGTTACCTCCGTACCCTATCTCCATATTCTACTTTGCTTGTCACATATATACCTATCGTGCCCTCTCCCTCTTCTTGCTCTTTGTCCCTTTCTCTTCTTCTACTATACGCTTTTGCATAAATAATTTACCCCACACGAACGACGACACGGTTGAATACCGAACCGCGTGTGCAAACCGGCTATAACATAATACGGCGCTCCTTGCTTCTACTTCTAATCTCCATGTCTGTCTGAGACTTTTTCATTCTTCATTCAGAGCGTAACACACACTGCAAAAGCACAGCACAGGAGCTGGTGCCACCGCTCCCCACGCTGCTGCAGCCATGGGGTCTCACCCCTCCGAAAAAGACCTCGAGGTCCCGACAGCCACCCCCTCCACAAACGGCGACTCGTCTACCGACGACGTCGAGAGCGCCAACTACCGCAAGGCCGTCGACAACAAGGAGACCGGGTCGCCTGCCCACAAGGACGAGGCCGACCTCAAGAAACTCGACTCCAATGTCATTAAAGTCAAGGACGAGGACGACGATCCCTTCCGCCACTTGCCAGCCGACGAGGCTGAGATCCTGAAGCGACAGGTCGATATTCCCGTCGTCACCTCCACATACTGGACCCTGTACCGCTATGCCACCTTCAACGACAAGCTTATCATCGCGCTGAGCTGCGTCTGCGCCATCGCGGCCGGCGCGGCGCTGCCTCTCATGACCATTGTCTTTGGTAACCTGGCGGGCCAGTTCCAGGGCCTCTTCCTCGGGTCGATCCCCAAGGAGGAATTCAAGGGGATTCTCTCACACAATGTTTTGTATTTTATCTATATCGCCGTCGCCGAGTTCGTTACGGTCTACATCTTCACGGTCGGGTTTATCTATACGGGAGAGCATATGAGCGGGAAGATCAGAGAGCGCTATTTGGAGGCGTGTATGAGGCAGAATGTTGGGTTCTTCGATAAGCTTGGTGCCGGTGAGATTACCACGCGCATCACGGCGGATACGAATCTGGTGCAGGACGGTATGTCTGAGAAGGTCGGCCTCACCCTTGCGGCAGTGGCGACTTTCGTCACGGCCTTCGTCATTGGTTTCATCAAGTACTGGAAACTCACTCTCATCCTGTCTTCCACGGTCTTTGCGATCGTCTTCCTCATGGGCGGCCTGTCGCGCTTCATCGTCAAGTATAACAAGAAATCCCTCGAGTCGTACGCCCTGGGCGGCACCATCGCCGAGGAGGTCATCAGCTCCATCCGCAATGCGACCGCCTTCGGCACACAAGACAAGCTGGCCAGGCAGTACGATCTGCATCTCGCCGAGGCCGAGAAGTGGGGTTACAAGGTCAAGGTCATTCTCGGGTTCATGATCGGAGGCATGATGGGTATCGTGTATCTCAACTACGGTCTTGCTTTCTGGCAGGGCGCCAAGATGATCGTTAACGGCGAGACGGCGCTCAGCAACATTTTGACGACCCTGCTGGCTATCATGATTGGTGCTTTCTCGTTCGGAAACGTCGCGCCTAACATCCAGGCTTTCACCACTGCTACGTCTGCTGCTGCAAAGATCTTCAACACTATCGATCGCGTGTCTCCGCTGGACTCCTCGGACGATAAGGGAATCAAGCTCGAGCACGTTGAGGGAACCGTCGAGCTCCGCAATATCAAGCACATCTACCCCTCGCGCCCTGAAGTCACCGTTATGGAGGACGTCAGCCTTTTGATCCCAGCTGGTAAGAAGACCGCTCTCGTTGGCGCATCTGGTTCCGGAAAGAGTACCATTGTTGGTCTCGTCGAGCGCTTCTACGATCCCGTCAAGGGTAACGTGTACCTTGATGGCCACGATGTCAGCACGCTCAACCTCAAGTGGCTGCGCAGCAACATCTCCCTTGTCGCCCAGGAGCCCGTCCTCTTCGGCACTACTATCCTGGAGAACATCCTCCACGGTCTCATCGGCACCAAGTACGAGCACGAGAGTCTCGAGAAGAAGACCGAGCTCGCTGTGGAGGCATCCAAGATGGCCAATGCCCACGAGTTCGTTACAGGTCTTCCCGAGGGATACCAGACTCATGTTGGTGAGCGTGGATTCCTGCTCAGTGGAGGCCAGAAACAGCGTATTGCCATTGCTCGCGCGATGATCTCGGATCCTAAGATTCTGCTCCTCGATGAGGCTACATCTGCTCTTGATACCAAGTCTGAGGGTGTTGTCCAGGCTGCACTCGAAGTCGCGGCTGCTGGGAGAACTACTATTACTATCGCTCATCGTCTGTCTACTATTAAGGATGCCGACAATATCGTCGTTATGCAGGAAGGTCGCATCATCGAACAGGGTACCCACGATCAACTTTTGGAAGCTCAAGGCGCGTACTTCAGACTCGTCGAGGCGCAGAAGATTGCCGCTGTCAACGCCGTCACCGCCGAGGAACAGGCAGCTATTGACGCCGATGATGAGAAACTCGCTCGCCACATCTCCGAAACCGCAGGACAGGATTACATCGAAGACCCAGATGACAAGAACATCGCCAACAAGCTGAACCGCACCGCGACCGAGAAATCCCAATCCAGCGTAGCCCTCCAGAAGCGCGTTACCGAAGGGGAGCAGACCTACTCCCTCTGGACCCTCATCAAGCTCGTCGCCTCCTTCAACAAGAAAGAAACGCACCTCATGCTCGTTGGTCTCTTCTGGGCCATCATCTGCGGTGGCGGCAACCCCACCCAAGCCGTCTTCTTCGCCAAGCAAATCCTAACCCTCTCCTTCGCGCCCACCGCCTCCTCCCCCGCCCAGGTCATCAGCGACTCCAACTTCTGGAGTCTAATGTACCTCATGCTGGCCATCGTGCAATTTATCGCCTTCGCCATCCAAGGGTGGGCCTTCGCATTCTGCTCCGAGCGTCTCGTCCACCGCGTGCGCGACCAGGCTTTCCGCTCCATGCTGCGCCAGGACATCGCCTTTTTTGACCGCGACGAGAATTCCGCAGGCGCACTGACATCTTTCCTCTCGACCGAGACGACGCACATCGCCGGTCTCTCCGGCGCCACCCTGGGCACGATTCTCACCGTCGTCGTGACCCTCATCGCCGCCCTCGCCGTCTCCATCGCAATCGGCTGGAAGCTCTCCCTCGTCGTCGCCTCTACAATCCCCATCCTCCTCGGCTGCGGCTTCCTCCGCTTCTGGGTCCTGGCGCAATTCCAGAGCCGTTCGAAGAAGGCATACGAGTCCTCCGCTAGTTACGCGTGTGAAGCCACATCAGCTATCCGCACCGTCGCTTCGCTCACCCGCGAGAACGACGTGCTGGACAAATACAAGGAGCAGCTCGCCTCGCAGGCAAGCGTCTCCCTCAGATCCACACTCCACTCCTCCACCCTCTACGCCGCCTCGCAATCGATGACCCTCCTCGTCATGGCCCTCGGGTTCTGGTACGGAGGCACTTTGCTCATCAACAAGGAATACACAATCTTCCAATTCTTCCTCTGCTTCGCCTCCATTATCTTCGGTGCCCAGTCCGCCGGAACCGTTTTCTCCTTCGCCCCCGACATGGGCAAGGCCAAGGAATCCGCCCGCGCCCTCAAGGTCCTCTTTGATCGCGTCCCGGCTATCGATTCCTGGTCCACTGAGGGAGAACACCTCGAGTCTATGGATGGGACGATTGAATTCCGCGATGTCCATTTCCGCTACCCCACTCGCCCAGAACAGCCCGTCCTCCGCGGCCTAAACCTCACCGTCAAGCCAGGCCAATACGTCGCCCTAGTCGGTGCCTCCGGGTGCGGGAAATCCACGACCATCGCGCTTTTGGAGCGTTTCTACGACCCCCTCGTCGGCGGTGTCTTCGTGGATGGGAAGGAGATTTCCACGCTCAATATCGCGAATTACCGCTCCTACCTCGCCCTCGTCAGCCAGGAACCTACGCTCTACCAGGGCTCGATCAGGGATAACATCTTGTTGGGAGCAGACCGCGATGACGTCCCTGATTCCGAAATCGAGCATGCGTGTCGCGAGGCCAATATCTACGATTTCATCATGTCCCTCCCCGACGGCTTCGGTACCGTCGTCGGTAGCAAAGGCTCTATGTTGTCTGGTGGGCAGAAACAGCGTATCGCCATCGCGCGCGCCTTACTTCGCGACCCCAAGATTTTACTGCTGGATGAGGCCACGTCAGCGCTGGATTCGGAGTCTGAGCATGTGGTGCAGGCGGCGCTGGATGCGGCTGCGAAGGGGAGGACGACGGTTGCGGTGGCGCATAGGCTGTCGACGATTCAGAAGGCGGATGTGATTTATGTGTTTGATCAGGGGAGGGTGGTGGAGCAGGGGACGCATGGGGAGTTGATGAAACGGGCGGGACGGTATGCGGAGTTGGTTAATTTGCAGCAGTTGGGGAGGAATAATTAGGTGTCTGCCTGATGTGTGTTGTGTAATTATAATTTCGATTTGGAAGTGGGAGATGTGGGAGATGTAGGGAGGATGGATGGGGAGATTTTTACATGGCCGTCTTGGGGGATAGAGAGATGGTTTGGCGTTCACACATATTTTTTTTTGTATAAGGGAGGAGAGAGAGAGAGAGTTGGATGAATGTCGAGATACCACGGCCATCGAAGCCAGGGGAAGAAGGGAAGGGGAAGCTCAACTCAGTTACGCACACCATCATCTGCACAACGTCTGCGATGGGGACGGATTTTTTTAATTGTCATCATGTTAGCATATCATCATATCGTATATATATATTTATAGGAACATAAACATCATATAAGAAGAAGTATCTACGACAGCGATCTATGTACAGCGCGCATTAGTACGGTGTGATGTGAGGGAAAATAGCACCACTCCTCCTTCGGGGCCGGCTTTAGACATGAGATATTCCAATCCCGCCAGTTATCCAATACCTACATCCCTCCGTAACAACAACGCACCCATCCACCAGCGCCCCTTCCATCTCTCCTCTCAATGAAGTTGTCGTGATAACCTCCGCCTCCTCGCCACCCAATCCAAACCAAGCTTTCGTGGCTCAGTTGGCTAGAGCGTTGGTCTCATATGTTGAATATGACGTTACTGAAATAAATAAACAGTCACGGTGATCCAAAGGTCGCAAGTTCGAGCCTTGCCGAGAGCAATCTTTTTTTTGTTAACTTTCCTTTTGCCCTCCTCCCCTTTTAGATTTAAGATTAATATATCAAAAAAAAAAAAAAAAAATAGCAAAAAACATACAACAGTGGGTATTCGCTGGTGGTCACCCACCCAACTACTAATCCACTGATCTCAAGCTTTCAGTGGATTAATACTCAGGACGGTGCTGTAAGGCGGCCTCCTTACTCGGGTCAGTTACGGTCGTCACGTGGCGCCCTAGAGACTCGGGGCCGTTACGGTTCAATCGCGACTACGAGCCTTAGGCACATAGCGTAAGGAAGCCTTAGGCACACAGAGGGTTGAGTCGGAGGGGTTTCGGGTATTTAAAGAAAGGGGAACAGAGGGTTTCCCCTTCATCTTTTTTGTATCCTTCGTAGTAGACCTATAGGATTGTACCTACTCCTATCCGACTCGCACTCCCATATGCAACTTATCGTGATACGGTGCCCTGTGTCCTTACATATAGGGATAATGTAAAGATCTACGTAATCTACACTAGGGTTGTAAATAAGATTAAAGGTAAGTTTAATCTATATTATACTTATTATCTTCTAATTGTACTAAGATCCTTAGATATACAAATAAGTTATAGGTTAGAAAAGCAATGCTATATATAAGGAATACTATAGGTTAGGGCTTATTAAAGAAAATAGGAGAGGATAATAAAACTTTACTAAAACTAACTAGCAAGTTTCCTTTAATCTACTACCTTATACTAGAACACAATTATATTACAAATGTATTATTAGTTACTAAAGATCTATAGAGTAAAGAAGGGTAGGCTGTTTTATAAGATCTATATAGTTTATATATTAATAATAATTAAGTAGTATATTAACTAGATAAATAGCCTGTTAATAGAGTATGCCCTTATAATAATTATCTAACTATTATAGTAGAGTAAGCATAAGATGTAATTCTAAGGTAATTAAAGCTAACTAATTTAGGCTAAGTCTTCTAATGTACTTAAAGCATATATATAATTATTACTAACATAAGCTATAAGATACCTAAAGTTAACAACCTAGCTTATACTCCTACTAGCTTTCGAACTAAAAGCTTCTATTTACTAAGTACTATTATACATATTATAAATGGAGTTATAGTAAAGATAACTAGAATAACTATTATAAATAGTATCTTAAAAATCTAATAATAAGATATAGGCTTCTTACTTTTTGCTATATGCTTACTATTATAGGTTACTATCTATACTATATAGGTAATAAGAGCCTTTCTCTATTATAAAGGATATAGTAATAGATAATAAAATCTATACTCCTTAATTATATTAATAAACACCTTAAGACTAGTATAAAAAAGAAATGTTTATATCCCTTATGTTACATACTACTTATAAACGCTTTAGACTCCTAAGCCTATTTTTAGAATGCTTATTATATTAAAGAACTACGTTTAAACTATATAAGTAGGAAACGGAAGTGTAAAGATAATAAGGAAAATGAATAAGACATAAAGGGCAAGGCTTTAAACTATATAAGCAAAAAGGCAAAGAATGAGGACAAGAAGGTAGAGGGGGAAAATGTAGGACCTACAACAGTTATAAGATAAATAATACTATTGTTGTTTTCAAATTGCGATTTAAACTGTGGCTTAAATTGCGGTTGCAGTTGCGGTTGCTAATTGTAGCTGACTTCTTGGACGAGAGTGGCTCTAAGAGCATTTCCGGTATTAGTCATAAGCACACAATTCCAGATTCGGCACTAAATACATTCCGCAGGTGTACCAAAAACTGTTAAGATCACGTGGCGAAGGGCGACAAATTGCGGTTGCCAATTGTGGCTGACGATGTTGTGAGGAGAGCCATTAACGATGTTGGCGTGGTGCAAACCGTCGTCGCTCTGAAACTAAGATTACGTCTCAGATGCGGATTCAACTGTGGCTCTAATCCCACGTCCGGTTGCCATCTATGCTGTGAGTGAGAGTGGTAATAAGTTGACGGAAATAATGGCTCACAATTTGAAAGAGCAGCAATCTGCTGGCCATCATCCGGTGATACCAGCTGTGGACCACACACCTCAACTTTATGCTGCAAAGTGCGACTCACACGTAAGTAAACCACTACGACCGCGTAAATGCTCTGTGGCACCGTTATCGTCCCTCGTCTTGAAAACCTAGATACACCTGACGTATCGCACCCAAGGCGGGGATACCAGTCGCTTTAATGCAGGCTTGGGGAGATGTTGCCGTTGGTCCGTCATAGAGCTCATTATTTCTTCAGCGGTTGATATTCTTCGATTCTTATTGTAAATGAAGTTCATATTGATGGTATTTGGGTACTTGAAACCCAACGACCTCCAGCCATTATCCTCCACCAATTATCCTCCACCCAATTACCCTCCACCCAATTACCCTCCACCCAATTACCCTCCACCTACGCCTCACAACATAATCAGCCACAGTTGGCAACCACAACTACAACTCAAGCCTCAGTTTGAATTGCAATTTGAGAACGACAATAGTTTATATTATTTATATTATGACATATGATTCTAGTTGCAGGCAAACGTAGAACTGTCACCACTTCCTGTTTTACGATAGCCCCGGTGACTCCTTGGCTGGCTCGTCTTTTCACTTCCGTGTGATATTTCGATTGTATGAAATGCTATTTACATGGTAGTGATGTTACACTAATTTTGACACTAATTTGGTGCCTGAGACTTGCCCGCGCCGCAGCATCTCAAGCCCTGTAGCTAGGTTATGCAACCGCCATTAATCATTTTACTCGGGGGTGGTTTCAGCTTCTCTTCCGAGTGTCACGAGACCATTGCTATAGCAAGGCTTTATAGGCCAATACTTAAGCCGTTATGCCATATCAGTGATGATGGCTCTATCATATCATATATCTCTTCGAACAGTGGTCTAAAACCTTGCCTCATTTCTTAACACGTCTCTAGTTTAAGAGCTTCATTCTGAGACAGATCCACATAGATCAAAAGACATCTTGATATCATTGTGAGCATCACTCTACCGAGTTTAGTATCCGCAGCATTAATGAGTATAATTCAAAAATTTGTCGGCTATATGAAAATTGGCGATCATGGTAAGATGCATATCTCTGGACCCTTAGGAACCAAGTCAAACCACAGTCCTCTAAAGCCATTCTCCCGAGCTGATCTAATGAAATTCACAAAGGTGACAAATTTTGTCAAGTAGGCCACAGATATTCCAGGTCCAGGTATCATTTCAAGAATTTCGTCCCCGCATTCCCGGGTAACCTCTAGAATGGCTACAAGGAGGGGAAAACTGGTGTTTTGCATCGTAGTTTTGCCTTGCAGCTGTGTAGAGCATTGCTTAAAGTCACTGACAATGGCATTTGCATATACCTCAGCAATCTCATCATTGACGCCAAAGGGGTTTTTTAGACGATGAATAACCAGTAGTGCTGCGAGGCGATACACCCGGGCCTGGGTGAGCATGATCAAAACCTCCGACGCGAAATAATTCTCTGCGAAGCCTGACGGGATGGTTGGTTCCCATGACCGGACTTTCTCCTCGATCCCTAAAAATATAGCCGGGTCCCCATATGCACTTGCCTCCCCATATGCACTTGCCGAGCCTGCCATACTAGCTGCGTTGCTTAAATCGCAAAGTTCGTAAAGAATAGGTAGAAAGGAAGAGCAAATCCCGACAAATCGATCAACCCGGTGCAGATCCGGGGCGAACCTGATTACTGGAATCTGTCTTTTGACAAGACACTCAACCGTATCCATCAACACCGGCGTTGCTGTAATGGAATGAAGCCACTCCTCCCTGCAAAGCGCCGGGTACCATGGCTTCACACCAGTGAGGGAGTGTCGCAATATCATATGTGACCCCATACATGTTGTGAATATGTCAAAGGTTGCTAAGGATTGTCCCAAAAGAAGTATTCCAGCAGCAACATGAATACTATTGATGTGTGTGGTACGGAGCTGTTCTAGCCCTGTGGCACCCCTCTTTACATAAACTTGGTCTACCATCGATTTGCGGTGGTGGGGTTCGCTCAACGCCCCCAAGATAGCTAAAAAGGTGTGCTCCAGGAGTAATGGCGAGGAGAGGTAGATGCTTGTCAAAGTTGAATGAAACTCGCGAACAAATGTAGGCCCGATAACGAATTGCTTATTGGCCATATAGAACTCTTGGAGGTCTAACGCGCAACCCTGGAGTGACACGACTGAGGAATCGGCAAGACCCGCATATCGGCACAACAAATTTGACACAGCGGAGTTGATAGTAGCTGGATCTTGCAGCCGTACATGACGACTGATGAAACTGGAGGCTGCTGCGCTGCCAGTGATTTGGGGCGCCTGTGGGGAATAATCCCACTTCAGCTCCTCAGACGCTGAATAGTTGTTGCGCCAAACCTGCTCCGTACAGCCATTTCCAAAGACTCGAAGAACTGGGCGACGACCTGGGGCCAATTGGTGCCGTCTGGTTTCGCACTTCTCTTGTGCATGGCGGCATCGAAGACATGCTCGCGAGTTATCCTCGAAAACGCACTTCCCCTTGACCACCCGGCAACGATCGCACGCTCGACTAGATGGCATCCGGCAATATCGGGTAAAAGTAGAAGAATAATACTTCGTCAACCCGGTCGCTGAGAGGAAGGCCATTCACTTTCTGCGTAGTGAGACCTCCATGGTAAGTCGAGTAGTTCGCGAAGCGACTTTCACCCAGAATCTAGATTGTGAAAGGCCTCACGTGCGCTAATTCAGTGGCGGTATTCCATGCTCGAGATCAATCAACCAACCCCCCTAGCATTTTAGCGTAGTCCGAGGGTACTAGATACAATAGATGTTCCAAGTCGATCAGATTACATTTACTGTTTATACAGCTTATGCATGTCCGTTAAATGTTCTGAAACTCCACTGTCTTACCAGACGGTAACAGATGACATGGTATAAGGTAATCACAAACTTGCCTCAAGACACTTCCCCTCGTCGTAGCTTTCTGGTCCAGCCAGGATACCCTCAAGAATACATGGATATGGCGAGGAACAGAAGGATTACGCGGCGTACGGGATGTGTCGCTTGATGTACATACGTACATCGCGAGCATGTGCACACCTGCCAAACAGACTTGGCAGGGTACAAGATGGGGAAATATACACTAGCCATTTCGATATGAGGAACAGTTGCGCCAGGCCCCGGTTGCGGTCTGGGTGTTTAAACCATTCGGAGCCTAAGGTGTGCGCTATCGTCATAGGGTTTCCGGAGGTTTGTTTCCAAAAGAGTCCTAGCTTCCAATAGATCATTTTCAAGAGTTAAGTTCACAGCGTAGTTGCCACCCGCTGCCGTCCATCCTGACTCGATATATGCTCAATAATCTCAATTTGTCCGACTTCCAAGTCGGTAAGAATATTCTCCGAAAGACCCCCGGCCTTAGACTTCGGATGTTTGAGACAATATCTCATATCTTACCCCTATTGTTAGGAGTTACCTGGGGGGAGCAGCCCAAAACATCTTAAAACATTTTCATGCGTGTAGACATGGCTATGGCCCTTATTTTCAAATGTTGGATTATAATAGCTAGCCCCAGAGCCGTAGAGAACAGGACCGGCCATCATAAACCCCAAACGTCACCTAACTGATTAATAGCTTATCAAAAGCTTATTGATTGTAACACTTTGGCTTACCCTCGACGTAGGGCTCTTTAGCCGACTTATTTACTGCCTAGAATGTTTTCTATGTTTTCTAATGAATGTCTAATAAACAGGTATACCTACAGAATGGCATAACTGCGTCACTACTCAGTTTGAAGCACCTCCGACTGGCTATTCCGTATGCTTTCTTGGAGCCAACTTGGGCAGCTTTTGACCAAGGACGCGAGAGCATAGCCTGCCGGTAGGAAAACTTGCCCGCTCTGCCCTTTTACAATATGTGAAACAACTGCTTCCGCAACGGCGTCAGCCTCTATAGTCCGTGAATTCCACAAACTACTTTCAACCTGTTTTTGGATGAGTGGTGTGCGTACAAATGTTGGATGAATTATCCTAGAATATTATGAGCTTTGGGGAATTTCTCAATCAGCAGCCCAGTGTAACTTACGATGTACGAACTTTCCTTGCATCATACCTATGCCGAAGCTCCTGTGCCAGGCCTTCATGAAAACTCAGAGCCGCGGCCTTTGTACAAGAGTATGAAACATTCGATGCAAGCGTCACAAAGCTCGCCATGCTTGCAACAGTGACTACATGGCCATGGTTTTGTTTGATCATGTGCGGAAGGAATTCACGCACTACCCAAAAATGAGCAATATTGTTGACATCAAAAGTGCGCCGAATTTCTTCATCTGTTTCGTCGAGTAGAGGTTTTGCGCTGCCAATACCTGCATTATTGATCAAAATGCTCGGGCAGCCCACATCCTCACTAATACGTCGTGCTGTACTGCGAATTGTCTCTGGGGATGTAATGTCGCACTTGTAGAAATGAACAAGAGTGGGCATGGCGACCTTTGGGGGCGTAATATCGAGTACGACCACTTTGATATTGCGTTCAGCAAATTTCCGTGCGATCTGTTCACCAATCCCACTGCAGCCGCCGGTAATTAAAACAACTTCTCTCCTCCAGTCCCACTTGTCCGAAGTCCAGTTGTTCAGAATCAACCTAGACAGAGCTTTGCCGCAAATATATATGATTCCAGCGGTGCAGAGTGCTTGCAATCCCAGGCGGCTGTAGCGATTGGTTGATATGTGTCTGAGAAAGGGGTTCAGTACAAGCTTCTCATGTACTTTTGAACTAAGGATGTCGACTGACTGAAATATACGGGCCCTAATACAGAGTATGAGCCCCGGGCACGTAACCGACCAGAATTCTGCCATATCTGACGCTCTGTATGGTGGCAACTTGAAAAAAAATGATAAAGAGATTGTTTCAAACACCAAGTGAGCACATCTATTATATAGACAGATCGCAGTTATTCTAACCTCGGTATTTGTTATTTTGCCTCGGTATCAAGAAACAATTTATTGATTCGAGTTATTCCACCTCAATGCTCCGATACCCCAGGAGGTGCAAAACTCCTAGGACACGCTAGGGTAATGGGGCGCCTGAGTTTTGCGCTGGCAACCTCTTAATTAATAATACATATCAATAATACATATGATCTTTAAGCCAACTTCTCAAAGTGGGAGTGGGTCACTTCTTACATGTCACGGAGCGCCGGACTTGACTGTATTGTAGTAATGCTATGCGGCCCAACGACCGCCGCGCTTGCATTTGGGGAGGTGCAACATGGTGCCGTCAGGGCTGAGCCGGCTAGGACTCTTTGGGTAAAAATCCTCCGGCAGTCTAACTTGTTGTGATACGATGCACTCCAGGCTTCAGATAGTTTAGCAGATATACCTACCATGCCCTGGCTTAAATCGCCACTAGCGCCCTGCCTTGCCGCCCGGCTCCACGCACAACCGTGGGCCCACAAGACATTGTCATAGATGCGGCTTAAAGACAAAAGATATTTTGTGCGTACCAGGAGCCGAGGTAATAAGTGAATAGTTGACCGCGCGCTCCAAACTCATGTGCTCTGGAAAGGAAACGTACAAATTGCCGGCCTTTCCCAAAAACAGTATGGGGTGAAAGACCACAATATTTCAATACTGGAGATGGCCGCCGCAGGGATTGAACGTCGTGTGGATATCACAATTGCTTCGTGCTCAGGGGTCTTTATGTGTGGATGGCTTTACTCGTCTCAACGGTTTACTGCATCGAACCCGGGACCAGCCATCGTCTTGGCCCACGGCCTGGGTGGAACGAAAGAGCTAAAGCTTGATGTGTATGCCGACAGTTTCAATCGGATGGGATACACATGTGTTGTCTTCGATTACCGTTGCAGTGGTGGATCTGATGGTCTGCCACGAGGTCTAATTGACTGGCATCAGCAGCAAGAGGACTGGAAATCTGCTATCGAGTATACCCGTCAGTTGGAGAACGTTGATTTGGAAAATGTCGGCCTTTTTGGAACATCTTTCAGTGGGGGCCATGTCATACAACTGGCCGCTATTGATAAGAAACTGAAAGCAGCCATCTCTCAATGTCCCTTCACTTCTGGCTGGCAGAGTGCTCTTTGTACAGGAATTGCAGCCGCCACGAGGATTGCAGGGCTTGGTCTGCTAGATATTCTCTTTGGCTCAGACGAAAGGCCAATAACCATACCGCTGACCGGAAAGCCAGGTGAGAGTAAGTAAACCCTATTATACTTAGGAGAATAATACTAAGGAGCTAAAATCTACGATAGCGGCTTTGATGAATGCTCCAGACGTACTCAGCACGTTTCCACCACTTATCCCTGAAGGTCATCCGTTTCAAGAAAGAGTCCCTGCTCGCCTAGCTTTAAAGCTTCCTTTCCTGAGACCAGGATCTTTTGCATCAGAGACTGAATGTCCAATCCTTTTTGCTATATGTGGCAAAGACTCAGTGGCACCCGCAGGCGCAACCTTGGCATACGCGAAAACAGCCTCCAAGGGAGTGATCAAGTGGTATGAAGACGTAGGCCATTTTGAAATTTACTATGGTCAGGCATTCCAACAAGCTATACAAGACTATAAGCAGTTCCTCCAAGAATATTTGCCAATCAAGCGCCAGGGAGAGGAATAATTGAACAGAGCATAACATACATGCATAGCGAATGCTACAACATAGCGAATGACACAAAATAGCGAATGAGACAAAATATCGCGACCACGCCACAAGAATTGCGATAAATCCACCACCACAATAGAAATCAATTCAAACTACTTACTTACCAACGTGTCTATTACAATCTGACAGTGTCGACTCTCTGTCTTTGATACTGGTGGGTGACCACCAACGAATACCTTCCGTTGTATGTTTTGACTTTTATTATTATTTGTAGAAACAAAATTAGAGTTTTATGAGTGTGCTGTTATGTTAATGTGAGACGAAGAGCATAGAGCAGTGACGCCATGTACTATGTATTCAAACGGTATAACCTAATCTATTATCATAAGCTGCTCTCCCTTTTACTCGTGATATAGTGAATATCAGGGCCGTCGAAGCATGGAACGACTATTGGCAGACACCTCCGTTCTAGTTTTGGTATTTGCCAGGCTTCAACTCGCTTTAGCCGACCACCTGTAAGGTTATCGGTGCGGACACGAAGATTAATAGTCTTTTTTGCTAGTGGTGCTAGGTCCTGTGAAACTGTAGAATCAGGCTCTTATAGAGGGACGAATCAATGTATGAGGGCATGCACGCAGGTCATCGGTTAGAGCGACGAAGATTGGAATGGGAGGTCGAAAAACGAGGATATCAGAAGGCAAGACTGGTATACACTTACATCAACAAGGCATGCGTCTCCTTGAAGTGTGTACAGTCTTGGATTCTGAAGATAGGCATAGAACCGCATACTTTTGTAGTAGGATGATTGTCTATGCATCACTGGTCGTCACCAAGGTAGTCACAAACAGTGAGAAATTGGCAGTATCATGGAGTTACACCACGCAAACAAGTATCATGATGGGTCATAGTTTCTCTTTTGGTACTGATATCCACATCCCATCACATGTAGCAAACCTTACACCGTTCTCGTTCTTCACAGTGACATCTATAAAGACCTTTCTCCCCTCAATCCTATTCAACGTCGCCGTCACTAACACAATGTGGGGAGTAGCCAAAGGCTTCTGAAAACGAACATTCATGCTCGCAGTGAACATCGCAATGCCGTGCAAGTTCATGACATTTGGCGGTGTTGTTACTTTTCGTGCCTCGACGTCTTTGTAAACTTCGTGGTTGACAAAAATCATACTACCCATGGCCTCGTCCATCAAAGCAGAAATGAGACCACCGTGAGCAGAACCATTAAAGCCATTGATTCCTGGGCGTAGGTCGAAGATTAGGGTTGAAGAATTGACCAAAAGCCGTAACGCTGACCCTGAGGGAGGAGATGATGTAGTCTTAGAGAAAGGATCCTGGTAAAATCCGACACAATTTGGTATTGCATCATCGTTTCTGAGGCTTTTCCGGAAGAATTGATCTTGTGTTGGGCAATACCCATTCGCATCTTCTTGTAGTCGACATGTGGGTGTGAATGTAACAATGCCAGTTTTCTCTAAGATAGCGGCACACCACGGGATCGACTTGAAGTAATCCATTCGGCTGAATATTTGTGGCCCTGAAAGAATGCGCGATTATCGAGGTGTTTTGTTGATACCAAAATGAGATACTTTTGAACGATGGTGAACAATATATATTCTAAGATGACCTAGCACCTTGGCTAGGTGTGCCGCGGTACGCGGTTTCCCGATAGACATATGCATGTCGCGGACCATCTTTTTTTTGGGCCAACTGAGGCAGAGATCTGCGGCTCAATAAAATCTTCTCAGCCCACTCCGACAGGCCAAGTATGCGATGTAATTGTCTTCGATAGAGATCTGCGGCTCCATAAATCTGCTCTGGCGCACTGTGGTGGAAGCGCGCCCACTCCGACGGACGAAGTAGTCCCAACGCCAGCCTGCTTCTACCTTCTCAAGTGTCACGATCGAGCACGAGAGACTTCAAAATTTCTCTATTGTCTATCAAGATTTCTTATCATGGACAAGACCAATCTTCGTGAGGCGCGTCTGAGAGCTCGAAAATCTCTAGATAGAGCCGGTAAACTCGATTTCAAGCCTGTTTCTTCTGCAAAATGGGTAGATGTTGAGCGTAGCTGGACGGGGAAAATTTACGTCCGCATCAAACGACACTGTGCGCGACTGCACCCCAGAGATGATCCGTTGGTGGTTTGAAAACCTTGTACGACAGACTACCTGGGATGGCATTGGGTTTAACGGTCCTGAGATCTCCTATCACCTGTGGCATCACCGCGATCATGTCTCAGTGGCTCCTCTTACCGGCAGTCACAACAAAGGTTTCGCGACCCACGAGAAGTCTCGAATTACAGAACAGTTCAACGATCACCATAACAAAATCGAAGTGGATGTCTACACAGAACGCCTCGATGACGAAGAGTTTAATTTCTCAATCAAGAAATTCGGGTTTACCGCCGTCCATCTCAATCACTTTTACTCTGCTGAGGGTGATGGCTCTCGATGCTACGCTGAGAATGTAGTTGGTTTGGATGTCCCTCTCCTTGGGTGGCTTTTTAACTGGGTTATTCTTCCCTTTATATATTCGAAAAGGACCGCAGAGCATTGGATTCGTCACAATGTGGAGGAGACAGGAAGGTCAGAATAAATTATTCCGGTGTTGTACAATTACGACAAGAAACTTGCGCAGCGTGCGAAATAGGACTGGATTTTTATTATACTAGTTAACCCAATCTTTGGTGACGCTTCGTGCAGCAGGCCAGGATAACCAGAAACGCGAAAAGAGGATATAGCCTCATGAATGTGCTCGGCAACGCCTAGCTCATAAGCTCGTGCGCAGCAGTTGAAGTGAAACAAAAAAAAAAAGAAGGCAACCTTTCAACATGTGAGAACAGGTCAACTGACGGGTCAGGACAATTATAATTTTCGAAGTTAACAGGTGCGGCGAGAGCGACCTTGGGATGCTTAGCACCCAATTCAGGACACGTCACGTTTACGGCTACACAGATTCTTCAAAAATGACGGCTCAAACTATTACCTTAGCTAAAGAAGCAAAGGCTCCTATTTCCCTATGCCTTAATGGTAAGAGGTGGAGTAACTGCTAGGCTCTGAAAGGGACGGATTTGACAATTATCAATTCCTGATGCTGATTTGCGTGGTAAACGGATAATCCTAACTGAGCTAAGGGTGGAGTTGGTAGAGAAGCAGCGCTCCAATTTGCCAAATGGAGGGCTAAGATAGTTCTTGGGAGCCGCGATCCACCACCACATGAGCTGCATCCAGATGATGCAGTGCGAGAAATGAAGTCTGCAGCATTAGCTGCTGCTCATTAAAACACGACAGTTCAATGGTGGGCAGTGTTCGGCGGGTACCACTTGGGGTATATACCCGGAGCTTCGCGGGTAGAGTAGGTAGGTAGGTAGGATATCACGGGTAGGTATGGGTATATACCCGGGTATATGAGGCTCTGCTATAAAATTGCTATGCAGAAAAGTAGAATTGAGGTTAATAATAACTATGATAATAACGTTAGGTCGTGATATAATAATGTAATATACTGTTGCAACCCCTATTCCTCCCACTCATCGTCTCCATCGCCTTCGCTGTCGTCACCTTCTGGAAGTACACCCCAATCCCGTAGGCAGAGTAAATATCTTACAGTTGAAGGCGACAGCCGGTTCCGCTTCTTAGTAATTATATCGCTGCCATTACTAAATACCCGCTCTGATGCAGCAGATGTAGCTGGAATTGCAAGATAGTCTCTTGCAATTTGCGCAACAATTGGATACATATACTGCTTTGATAACCAGTACTTTAGAATATCTGTCTGTTGGCCAGGCCGTAGCTCAAGTATCCACCGCTTCCACTCAGGTTCTTGAAATGAGATTCCTTCTGTAGCGTATAGATCATCGTCAGAATCAGTCTCATGGACTGCTGCATTAGCTAATTCTGTCTGCTGCTCGATTCTCTCAGTGTCAAGATGATATTGACGGGTCTTATACTGTGTAAAGACATCTTGAAAGTGAGCTCTTACTCGATTCCTTTTACTTGCCTCTCTACTACTTGGCCATAAGCTTGTAAAGACTTTAAGATTCATTCTTAGATCACAAATTGTAGCTACACTTAAGTGGCTATACTGCTGGTTTGCTAAAAGAGTATAATACTCATTTAGCTTGTAAAGCGCTGCGTTGCATGCAATTCCAATTGTAGACTGCTCACCCACTTCCTTTAGCATATAATTAAGCTTATTAATCATTTTTAAATACTGTGGAATAGCGTAGTTAAGAGTAGGGTATGTGCTAGCTTGTAGCTTCTACAAAGGGCGTAAGAAGATAACGAAAAATAGCTCAAGCTCTTTAATCATTGACCAGTCATTAGCATTAAGAGCAATATCTCTCATGCTAATATCCCACTGCTGCGACGCACAGATAGCTGTAATTGGCACTTGAAGCTTTATTACGGATTTAAGCATCTTATGTGTTGAATTCCAGCGGACTGGCATATCAAGTGATAATTGCTGTACTTTAAGGCCAGCTACCATTGTTTGCTTCTGTAGAGCGTCCTTCCATAACCGGCGATTCCGAAACACATAGATATGTCTCCGAAGTTTAGCAAGTGTATTCATAACTTCTGTATGAGAATCAACAGTGCGTGGGATTCGTGCAGCACCTAGCTCACACCTATATGTCTCCGACTCTGCTGAAGGGTCCGCTTTGATTGTCTTTAAAGCGTGTTGAACAGCAATATTAATAATATGTGCAATACAACGTACATCGCCTTCTTTAACAGTAAAAGTCCACGGCTGTTGTATAGAAGTTGAATGATTGCGAGCTAAGAGCTCGTACTCAGCAAGCATAACAGTGTTAGCTGATGCATTATCTCGTGTACATGTAAAGATAGCATCAGTAATCCCCATATCATCTGTAACGGCATATAATTGGCTTGCAAGATATTCACCGCTGTGAATTGGCTCTTTCAGATGAATCACATCTAACAGATTTGACTTCTGCTGCCACTTGCTATTTATCTAATGTGCTGTTACTGCAGAGTATTCGGTGTAGTTGCGTGCAGACCATGAGTCGGTAGTCAAGCATATCCAGCCTCCATTTGCAATATGAGAATGGAGTTCTGCTTGTAACTGAGCACGGCATAGTGAGAACCGCCTTTAAAGGTCGCGATGTAGTGTTCTAGCAGATACTGACAAAGTAATAGGGCTTAAGAATTGAATAATTTGACGAAAAGATAGACTATCAACAAGGCGTAATGACAGATTGTTTGATACTATAAATTGTAGCAGTAAATCTCTATACTTTGATGCATTGACTGGCTGCTTAGCCGTTGTCTTCTTTAGCTCAAAGAACGATGAGCTACTTGACGGACTTGATGCTGCTTGTGCCTAGTCGTTCTTTCTCATGCTAAATGAGATTTGCGGGTGCTTTTGGGTGTAGTGCTTCCATAAGTTACCAGTTGATTTATCTGAGAATACTAATGGCTGCGGTGAATAACCGCAGTCTGGCTGGCTACAGGTAACCCGAATAGTTGGTGGTGTAGTGTCCAATAGCGTACGCATATATAGATTCTTAGCAAACAGCGGTGAAGAGCTTGGAGGAAGCATTGTACGAGGTGGCTGGAGATAGAGCGATGGAAGAAGAGTAGGTAAGGTTGGCTCATTAACCTCATCGAGGCCAATGTCGTCGAGGCCAATAGGCACATCTGATAATGAGGAGTCGCTCATTATATGTTATGGCATCTACATCACAAGCATATTACGAGCACAATATGGTTATATTCATAAATTCTAATTACTTGGCAAAGCTTGGCAAATACCCGGGGTATATACCTACCTACTCGAAATACCCGGGTAGTTTTCTCATATAAAAGGGTAGGTATATACCCGGGTATATACCCGGATACACTGGGTATATACCTACCTGTGCCGAACACTGATGGTGGGAGTATGATATGAGCAGTCTGAAAAGTGTCGAGGGACCCATAATATGTAAGGCGGGAGTCCCGAATCCTGGGAGAGTTTCAAAGATGGGTTGGTTCTTGAATGTGAGCCAACAGACCTCCGAGGATTATCTGTGATGGATGAAGAGTACGGAGAATGTGATCGAGCGCATTTACAAGCTGGCCAGGATATTTCAATTCCGGGGCAAGCGTGTATTCTAGGCAGGAGAAGTCAGATGCACCAACGGCGTGTGCACAGTCGAGAGCGAACGGCAATTGGCATTGGTGCTGATTGGATGGACATAGGCGCCTCCATAAAAGTAGAGAAGAAGTCTCGCCCTCGGACGTTCTGTAATACGGATATAGTGTAACGTCGCTCGGAGTCCATGGTTGCCATTGGTGATATCGACGGACCTGCAGGCAATACCTGCATGCTTGTAGAAAGCCGTAATGTTTTGTCTTGTGGGGAGAGCTATGGCGCAGCTTTGCTTGAAAGAAATCCAGGTAGCAGATCGCATATAGGCCAATGCAAGAATACTTGTAGTTGACCGACCAACAGATAGTCGTGGAATCATCTGGATCAAAAACGTAATTAAGCATTGCAGGACTGTGTAATGTTATTTATATCATTAGACAGCCCTCTACGTGATAGTACAAATTCACTTTCTTCCCTTTGGAAAGCTGAAGCCTCTGATGGCTAGGCATCTTGCTCTAATTGAAGTTTAAGTTGATTTCAGGATTGGTATTGAAATTGAAATATCTGACAGTTGACGGAAACTTAGTGCTACTCGTACACGTACTTGCTTATTGTCGGCCACAACTTATTCTTGGGCGAAACTTCCATTATTGGGGCTCGCTTGGCGCAGATATCTACCAAGTAGTACGTTCCACGCTCCATCCGACTCGTCAACTCTTCGACTCTCCGACTCTCCGACTCTCCAACTCTCCGACCTCCGACCTCCGACCTCCGACCTCCGACCGCCTCGTCAAATTCCCCTAGCTTTCCGATGTTACTTTTTGGGTTATGAGGAGCTTGGCTTGGAGCTGTAGACAAATTGGCCTCGGCTTCGTTGCTCCATTGTAGTGCTTCAGAAGAGGAACATGTCCTTTTCGAGTAACACATCAGGTTTGTGATCCTTTCCCTTCCCCTCAACCCCTCCGTACCCCTCCCCGGTCCCCCACAAGAACACATCTTACAGGTCTGGCAGCCGCAATGGGTATCTGTTGGCGTATTGCCCATAGATTTGTTTTGGTTATTATGGAATACCCACTCCATGCACCCCGCATCACAGTACAATTTCTTATTAAGGCAACAGTAGCCTCCCCAGGTTTTCTGTCACCTTACTTCTCCATCCTTCGTACAAACGACCACGTGCTCGCTCATTATACGCCCTGTCGACAAGAAGGCCCATAGATTCGTCGTATTCAAGCGGCGCTGTTGCATCTCCGGTCGCCACTGTCGCGTTCTATGTTCGCGAAGCTCAAAGGCTTAGGGATGCTGAGATAACACTCCTTTGCGATCGAATCTATAGCTTGAGGATCGCCTCTGTTGCGGTCGCGCATTCACCAATTTGACAGAGGCGCATCGCGAAGCACCGACCAGAGGGGACTGGCTTCAACCTCTTTGCGGCGACAGGTGCGGAATCCTCTTTGTCTGTCTGCACCTCGCAGTCCGGATCGCCGAAATGGTTTACGACGCAGCGGTAGATGCAGCCTTTCGGGGTAGCTGTTATATTCCCTTCCTCCAAGAGGAGCTATACGTCAATATTACAAATGGCTGTGAGTTTTGTCTGCTGCCAGCACTCGCTGGGTACTGCTAATAAGCCTTTCTAGATCTCCCTGGCCGAATATGTACAGAGGTCGCGCCAAACATTACATGTTGCTTGCCATGCCCCTTGACGGACTGGTTATACTCCGATTCCTTCTATACAGTAACAAATGCGAGTAGTTGGCTAAATGTGGTGGGACTAGTGTGCACAGTGTTCCTGCTCGTTTCGTTTGCGATTCTGCCTGTTGAGAAGACGCATCGGCACTATCTGAGTATATGTCTTGTCATTGCTATTCTGATCATGCAGGTATGCAGTCTAGAGCCCCCAAATCTTCTGGTTGACAATGGACTAATCGTCTGTTGTAGTTGGGATTTGTTATTCCCCTAGGAGCGAAACCTGCGCAATGCGCCAACAGCATTACGCCCCATGGTATGGAGAGTAGCATAACATGCGCACTATCTGGTGCATTTCTTTTGGCCGGTGGTTGGTGCGGCATCATGTGGGTGTTTATGCGTGCCCTTGCGCTGCACTTGCAAATATGTTGGCAAGTTGTTATTGGAAGAGCCTGTAAGTTGAACCTCTGACTAGAACAAGGGTATAAATAGCTGACGTAGATGGCTCTTAGTTATGTGGGGTGCTTTAGCTGGAGGCTGGGGTGTTCCTGCTATTGCTCTTACTATTGCTATGGTATTCAGCGGAGTTTCTTTTCGCTTTGGAGGTATGCCTGACAAACTATGGTCCTCATCTGCCTATGCTAACCAAGTTTAGAAACATGCTATATTAACTATAGGAACAGCCTTGCGGATTTTTGGATTCCGCTTCTGACATTTAGTGGCTTAACTGTCATCATCCAGTTTACTACGTTTGGATACTGCATAAAGGTCTATTGGGTCTCTCTTTCTGATAGCTGCAATACCACCAACAGCTCTGCGCTTCCGTCGTATTTGAATGATGTCGTTTCCCTCACTCCACGACAAGCCTACCGCCGAATTCAACGAATTGTGGAACTTCAATGGAGGGGCATCGCAGTTGTCATCATCATCATAGTTGATGTCATGTTCTTTGCGGTTGTCTCGACAATGCACAATAACCAAATTAAGGCAGCAGATGTCTCGATGGTCACTGGTGAACCTGCTAAACTAGGAGAGCCACTAGACCCATCCGTGGATTGGCTTTTGTGCTTGGTGACTAACAAGGGCGACAAAGACCCTTGCTTAGATAAATCCGCCAAGCTGATTATGAATCAGGCCATAATTACCGCTGTACTTGTTCTTCTCTCTGTAAGTCTCCTTCTGTTGTTAGTAGGTGTGAGGTGTAGTGCTGACAATCCTAGTGCAACGGCATTTGGTTATTGCTTCTCATGTCTCGCGTCTCCATGTTCACGGGCTGGTACTACTTGGCTAAGCCAGAAGCCAAACCTAGTGTCGAGTTTATAAGTGCAGATTCTGCCAGAGCTTACAGTAAGGATCCTAGAACTTACGAGATGCTTGCCTCAAATGGCCGAGATGTGGACAACCCGTTGAGACCCGATCTTTCTGTAACAACCTTAACTCCAGCCGTCATTTCTCTAACAGGGAGATCCGGGAGGCAAATGCCTGATTATTTCAGCTGCGAAGCCAAATATCAAAGTCCCACGCATTCATTTTCGTCACTGAGACCACCACCGGGCGGCAGAGATTGGAATGCTGCTGCAACACACGCACCGTCAGCGCACCGGGGCCACGTCGATCGGTTGAGCATTAACAAATGTTAGGGTTCCAATAACAACACTGCCTTGTCTATAATTCACAAATGATCATAATGCTGGGATAGCACAACAGGTAGCCTTGTCCAATTGATTCCAGCCTCACCACATGTTTCTCACATAGAGTATTTCCAGCTATCGACTTGCGCAATACCATCACTCGCTCAGCACATCTTCTTCTCTAAGTCTTCCACAATATCACAGGACCATTTCAACTCCCTCATCAGACCTCACCGACTTCCTCAACAAGCTGTAGCAGATAACGGATCATCCTTCGCCATGTTATATTTCTGTGGTAGTAGTGGTTTACTTACGCGTGGTGGTGGCACTTTGCGGAAGAAAATTGAGGTGTATGGTCAACAGCTGGTATCACCGGGATGGTGACCAGCAAATTGCTGCTCTTTCCAAAATCGTAAGCCATTTATCTCTGCCGGCTTATTACCACTGTGAACACTCGCGATCAGGATTCGCGGCCCGCCAACTCAGTGACTGGCCGCGAATTCTGATTAACACAGGCCCCTCAGTTCAAGGAGGGGCCGCGAATCCATGGATCCACCCAATATATGTAGTTCTGGCAGCGGATTGCGTACAACTGGGTGAACTCATGGTTGATGGTTTTCCAACATAGTTTATACAATCGTCCTAGGTGTCGGTGCAGGAGTCGCGGGACCTCAGTCAAGTGCTTGCTTACTTGTTTATTGAGCAGTGCAGCCTTTCCAGCTGTTAAAATACTCATTGATATAGGTTCTCCCCCTGCTGCCTTGCTTCTGGTCCTCACGTGAGCATACAAAAGCCTGGTCTCGCTCTCAGCCAGACGGGCCTGGACTACTCGCAGTTAGCCTACCCTTGCAAACAGAGCGGTGACGATCAAGACGGCTGGACTCTGAAAGGGACTGCTTCACCACTTGAGCTGGTCCTTCGAAAAGGAAACGTTGGACACAACTATCCACAGGCGGAGACATGATTCCGTCGACGACAAGAGAATGAATGGCCACTTACCAGGACCAACTACACACCCTTCTATCTGACAGCTGACTTGAATCCAACAAGCCAGAACAAAATATGTTGGATAAGAAAAACTTACAGAGCCCTTGGCAAGGGAAGGCCTTGTAACATGTTGAGCTTTACGTCGGTGCCTTTCGATTTGGAAACGGAGATCACTGGACATATCGTGGCACACCTTAATATATTCTCTAGTAGAGATTACTTTGGGAGTTCTCCGTCAGATATAGACATATTCATCATACTGCACCATTTATCACCACCAGGAGAGGAAACATGCTACACAGGATCCACTGGTGAGCCTGTTCCTGTGACCAAGGGTTGACTTCGAGTCCCACTACGCAAAACCAAATCCCAGAACCCCCGTCATCGTTCCTGGTTGCCACGTCGCGAGTTTTATTCTACGGATATTCTGCTTGTGTTTGTTGCAAACGAAGTTTACCCCGTTGAAGTGGAATTTTGGCCAACAAATGTGATTGTTAAATCTGGTGGGATGCTGGTCTTATAGGTGAGCTCAGGAGAAACTTCAGGTACTGGGACATTTTGGGGCCACGGTGATCTTATTGATCGGTATGTTCTCTATATGCATAGTGATCTTCATCTACACCTTACGATGGCTGTCTTTCCTAACTTTTCGATAGGTCGGATGACGTCTTCAGTGGCCAGAACCACGTTCATTTCGGCCCAAATTATTATAATTGCGTTACTTTACCCATAATTCCTCCCGAGTAGTTCAGTTTTCATCCGAACAATAGTTTGCGTCATTTACTACGCAAAATATTACTATCCTGGTGTTTTGTACATGGAAAAGATTAGACTGGACATCCGACTGTAGCGCCCGCCCCTTTTATTTACAGAAACGTTTTGTCTTGGGATTGGTACCGGTAGAACTTATCTGCCTACTTCAGTGGCTAGATCAATTATGAATCAAAGGGTAATGATTGGGACTTGTTGTTGGAGGTTACTATGCCGGATATTCATGCAGTTGAATATCAGCAAACTCAGCGTTTGGAGGTCACCAGCATGTCCATGGCAACCCCAAATCCCCCGCCTGGTTGATTGTCATGGCCCCCCACCTGCGTAGCCAAATTGACCACTGTAGAGTTTGGTAGCAGAGGAGGAGGTGGTGGTGGTGAAATGCCTGAGACAAGTGGGATGGTATTAGCGCCAGCTTTACCAATAAACTTGTTCCAGCCCAACCGTGAGTTTTGCCCGCTCATGATCATGATCAGGCTCAACTGTGATGATCATGAGCGGGCAAAACTCACGGTTGAGCCGGAACATGTGTAACTCTTTGAAAGATAATAGAACCTTCACATGAATACTTATCCTATAGGTGATAGGTGAAGTGGCGATGGTGGACAACAAATCTAGATGGGAGAAGGAAGGACCAGAACTAGTGCACTCCTTGGTCTACGTCTTCTCCCAAGTCCGAACTCCGAATGCCGAACAGTAGCGACGCCGATGTTGAAAACGAAACCAAGGTGCCTGCGTAACGCCTACCGAGACAAGACATCTCAATAGGGGCCTATCCAGGCAGATTTTTCCAATTAAGTGAGCCCACATCTCTACTCTGAACAGTAAATGGTTTTCTTTATATTTCCGTAGCACAGCAGCTACTACTTGTCACAAGCGAGCGCACGTGCAGACAAGAATCAGACGCGTGACTGCTATGCCGCATCATTCAAGAAAGAGGGAACCTATAACGAGATGCTGGTACAAGCAGGAAGGGAGCCATGACCTCGGGGTGTTGTCTAGCAAATGCACATATTTATTAGCTCCTCCATAAGCTCCCAAACTAGCTCTCTCTAAAACCACTGGGCATCCAATTGATAGTGACAATTTATTGTACGACTGATACACTAATGAGGTCGAACCAAGGGTAGAATGGGTCTTTGGCTCTGCCATCGCCGAATTCGGTACCGAATCGGAGAAAGGGTTTTCCCATCAAACACCCTCCCGCTGCTCTAAACTCTCTGGCTGCAAATGGGCAACTGCGGCAACTGCAGGGGTTCAATTTGTGGAATGAGAACAGGAGGCCAAGACTTTGTTTGCC